TCCCAGCGCGGTCAGTGCGTGCATTTCCGGAGACGCTTTGCTTTTGAGGCTCAAACCCCTCACTAAAGACTTTGCCTTGACAGCCAACGCAAACGAATGATCCGGTCTGAACGCGTCATAGGGCAGTAGTGAAGATCCAGGACACTCCACAAATCAACAATAAACAGTGGGCAAAACAGTCATTTATCAGCCACCGATTGTGCAAGTTCTCCCCCTAAAATAATGACAGTGGTCTGTAATTTTCATCATAGTACACTTTCAACTGTGAGAGACTGAATGAGAAAAAAAATCAGAATTTCACTTTGTTATTTTTAAAGAAATTTATTTGTAAATTATGGTGGAAAATAATATGTGGCCATACAAAATTCAACGCAATGTGAAGGAGGTTTTTGGCTCAAAATCCACGATACAATTGGCCCCATCTCATTCTTTACCTTAACCCGGTAATCATCGTCGACCTGTCCCACTTGCAAAAAACAGCCCCAAAGCCTGACGCTTTCCACCCCCAAGATTCACAGTAGGATAGGGTGTTCTTAGGGTATGCAACTCTTTCTCCAATCACGACGAGTTGAGTTTATACCAAACAGTTCTACTTTGGTTTCATTCTGACCACATGACATTCTCACCAATCCTCTGCTGTATCATCCATAGTGCACTCTCTGGGCAAACTTCAGACGGCCTGAAAATTCACATGGCTTTCAGCAGGGGAACACGTCTGGCACTGCGGATTTGATTCCTGGTCGTCGTAGTGTGTTACTGATGCCCAGCTCTCTGCAGGACAATCACCAGGTCCCCCCGTGTGGTTCTTAGATTTTTGGATCACCGTTCTCAATTACTCATTTTTGACCCACGGAAATGAGATCTTGCGTGTAGCCCCAGATCGAGGGAGATTATCAGTGGTTGAAATATCGTTTTTGGGTTAACATTTGGGCTAATCTTTCATACAGATAACGAGTTAAACCCTCTACGGCGCCACGGTCCGACTTAAAACAGTGCCATTAATACAGGTCACAGGTGGAGACAGAAAGAGTTCTTAAAGAAGAGAAGTTACAGATACCTGTGATAGCCAGAGAGCTTCCCCTGTTTGAAGGACCAAATACTTATTTTTCCCACCATAATTTACAAATAAAAGTTCATTAAAAAATTCTAACACTGAATTTTCTTGATTTTTTTTTTCACATTCTGTTTTTCACACAGTAGCAGTGTACCTATGATGAAAAATTACAGACCCTGTCTAGTTTAAGTGGGAGAAACTTGCACAATCGGTGGCCCATGACCAAATACTTTTTTTGCCCCACTGTATAATGTTGAATGGTGGAGTTTCCTGGATCATCACTACTGCCCTTATGCCGCTTCCAGACCGATCATTCGTTTGCGTTGGCTTCATGCAAAGTCAAAAGTGGAATGGGCGTTTGAGCCTCACAACGTGCACAAGCGTCACGGAATGCACGCACTGACCGCGCTGGGAAGTCGAAGGGGAGGAACGCAGAGATGAAATTTTGCTGAACCTTTTCCTTCCTCGGGACGCTCCGGCAGCAACCAATCAGAGAGCCCAAAGTGGCACGGAGACATTAGCGGTCTAAGCGAGTAGACGACTGAAAATACTTGTAAACAGCCAAAACAGGAGCTACACCTATGACAAACCAGACTACACCAGGGTTGACAGTGGGGGACATAGTGCTTGTTAACATGTGAGTTTTTCATGCTCCCGTGACTTTTGCAACTGCTTCGAGTGTGTCGCCGATGCGGAAATACCTTTTAATAAATAAAATTATACGTATGGCGCAACCTCCGTGAACACATACAGCGTTATATACGTCCGTGGAAGGTCCACCTGAACACACAACACGCCTTTTATTGCAAAGCGCATTAATTGGAGAAGATCTTTACACAATAAGCCGCTAGCTAAACTCAGTTCGCACAAAGGCCCTAACTTCCTCCACTCCCGACCGTCGCGCTACCAGGACAATCAAGACTGAAGACCCCTGCGTCTGGAAAAAAAAACTAGAGAAGTCGGTTCACACACCAAGCGTTAGTCTCTCACTGTTTGCACTTACGTCCAACATGAGAGCATTGTCTAAAAGACTTACCTACCTGTTCAGACAACCTTGTCTTTAATCACTCTCCTCTTTCATCTTTCACACCGTCACCGACATGTAAAGCTTGTTTCCTCTGTTTTACGCACACTAATCCAGACAAGATAGAAACCGGGACAATCCAGCATTAATGCCAGAGCCAAAGATACGCTCTTTAAAGAGCTGTACATGAACCGGACACAAGGCGAAGCAGGAGTAGTCCCACACTTATTTCCTTGATCAGCTCAAACAAGGCTCACAGACGGGTGTTGTATGGGATCAACAAACAGGGCCATTCACAAGCCATATTTACCCATATAAACTCCTGAGCACGAGCCAATCACAGCGCCATTTATTAACCCGCCCAAATAGTTTAGAGCTCCAGTGTCCTTGAGCACGCGCAATCGGATAGTTGTCCAAGAGCGCAGACTTCGGGTCGATACCAGAATCTGAGTTTTTATAGTCAAGGTATAAGTGAAAGGACAGAGATCATTCACTGTAATTTAACAACTGCTTTTTTAAATGTTTTTATTGTAACAAACAAACAATACATTTAATGTCACAATTCGACGATAAGGTTCACACAATCCTTATAAAAACTATACAGTATGAAACTCACCAATAAAGTTGTTCTTATTGATGTAAGCACAAACTCTGCTCTGCTGGAACCTTATTGCTGCCCCCATCAAAAGTTTCCTATTTCTTTGTTAGATTTTATGTGACTGTTGGTTCGACAACCTCACGAGAAAAAAAGGAGATCCCGGAGAGAGATCAGAGAGAGAGAGCGACCAGAGAGAGAAAGAGAAACAGAGAGAACATGCGAGCGAGAGCACAGAAGACCAGAGTGACCAGAGAGAGAGACCAGAGAGAGCAGAGAGAGAGCGAGATACCCGAGCGAGAATAGCGAGAAACAGAAAGCGGTGAAAAGCAGAAAGAAAGAAACTTGAGTGAGAAAAGGAGAGAGGCCCAGAGAGAGCCCAGTGGAGTCCAGAGAGAGATTAGAGACCAAAGAGAGACCAATAACGAGACCAGAGAAAGACCCAAAGAAGACCAAGAGAGAGAAAGACCAGAGAGAACCAGCTTCCTTTTCCAAATGCAGTATATAAAGTCTAACAAGAGATCAGAGAGAGACCGTAGAGACATGGTCTCTTCTCTCAATGGCATTTGGTGTCAAAGTCAAGGCCCGGGGCCAGGTATACGGGGCCGGCACCCAAAAAGAAATTATCTTTTACCCCCAGGATATATTTTATTATTATTAAGAACAGGCCACACAGAGCCATAAGAAAATGAATATAAAAGTACAGGGCAAGTGTTTTCACTTTGAAAGAAGGTGTGTTTTTTTGTTAAGAGCCTTTCCGGAGAAAAAAAAATACAAACACATAAAGCCTATATTTATTACTCGCCCGCGCGCGGAGCTTACGGAGTGACGTGACGTCACTTGCGCAACGCGTTGGACACCGCACTGCCCTCGAATTTTCCTAACTAATAATGGGCGCCGTCAGGATGCTCCCGCTGATTTCTATTTATTAGTGGAACACATTTGTATTTTTTTAGTTTATAATTGTTATTGTAGTTCAGCACTTTGGAAACGTTTTGTTGTTTAACTGTGCAATATAAAAAAGATGGATTGGATTGGATTGGATTGAGTGGTCCCCGTACTTGAGTGTATTGGAACAGGAAAGCAACGGAGCGGCTGCAGCAGGGACCAAGGACAGGCACTATGAGCAGAAGCTTTGTGCTAGAAGGAAAAGCATTATTGGCACACCAGCCTGGATATACAGGAAACTGTGGAACTATCCTAAACCAATATATCCGCTTAAAAACTGAGCAGGTCGTTTGTTTTTGCACAGTTCCTGTCCTTGTTTGAATCGTTGCTGGGCGTTTGTTGCTTTCCCCTTGCACTCGTAAAAATCAGTTCATGTTTGTCCCAGATATTACCACTATTAATAGTTTTGCTGTTTGTGTCTGAAAACTATTTAATAATAACTATGATTCCTTCCAACAAGACTGTGTCTTTATTCACAGCTTCACAGTTGAAAGACTTATAAAATAATGGAATCCATACAACGACACATAAACTACAGTACGAAACACGTGTAATGACTCAAACAGCTTTTGTTAGCTATTGGTTGTTCGAGAGGACAAAGTAGCAGCGTAACTGGACCGCGTCCATTGTGATCTCCGCGCCCTCATGTGGTTTGTTGTGGGATTCATAACACAACATATCTCCTCAAAACTTCCCGAATGGAACGCGCCAAGTATAACATCAATTGTGCTTCACCGTAGGTCCACCGCAACCGTCTAACCGTAAGCCCGCCGTCCGCAAGTAATACACCTAGGCCTTTAGGAGACAGAGAGAAGACCAGAGTGGACCAGAAGAGAGGACCAAGAGAGACCCACTTCAATCAGTTGTTATCAGTCTGAGCAACAGCACTATAATGATCTCATGGTAATTGGTGTATTTTTTGATCTTAGTTTCACAGTTATGATTTTTTTCTTTACTTCCTTCTGTACTTCTTTTTTGAGCTTGTTTAATATTTATGTACTTGTCTGGTGCACACTGGGGATTCTTGCACATGTATTCCAACGGTGGTTTTACTGCTACCGGGCAAATAAACGAATCTGAATCTTGTGTATCCAATGGGGCTTTAGGTGATGGCCCCAAAGACAATAATGTTAGGGGGCAACACTGTAAGATAGAACCCTAATCCTAAATTTGAAGGCTTCCTAACATTTACAGCCCGTCCTCATTGCTCTCGGTAGCCTGACTATCTCAACTTGTCCTCCTTCTCGCAGTGGAGCAGGCGGCATCAGATTTATGCCTATGTTTATAATCAACACAAAATCTCATGGTTCAATAGAAATTTAAATATGGAGAAGCCCAAGCGTCTTTATAGCAGTGTCCTCTGGTGGTGCTTTGTTATTTCATTTCCTCTGTCTCGGAGCAGCCAGGCTGTCCAGCTCAGGGCCCCGTGGGGAGGAGGAATAGGGCTGATAATGGATTTTGAGCCAATTAAATGTGGTAATGACGACTGGTTACTTTTAATGCCTTTTTTTGAGCTGCTACAGTATTTCCCAACGTCAATGAGAGAAGGCCACAGATTAGGAGAAAACACATCTCCTGGGCTCCATTGGGTACCATATACATAAATGCATGGTTACAGGAGGTCTCCAGGTCAGTGGTTAGTGGTTTAGGGCGGATCAAGGTGACTTGGTATTTTCACATATATTCCCTGCCTGGACCTATAAGACTCTAAATCAATGTTTTTGACAATCAAAAACATTTAATTAACATTTATGGACATTGGTCCCCGGAGAGTTTCTTCCAGGTCCCCGTGGAGGAGGGGGACATCGATCCATCCGAGTGGACCATGTCCCATGTTTTTCCACTCTATACCCGATGCGGTGGCTCGTATCTGTGGTTAACCCCCCCCCCCGCAATGTCACTGTTGGCTGGTCCTCGGCGACAAAATCCAACCCGTGTGGGCACCGGTAGAAGGGATGCCCGTCCAGGCCTGAAGGAGTCCTATCGAGCCATAGAGGTTCTCTCTCTGGGACTCCTGAGGCAGCTGTCCATACCGCCCGGCCAAGGTGCCGCAGCCCGGCTGTTGCACACGCAAAAAAACCCAGGACTGGGAGGAATTCGAAGAGTCTAAGGAGCCATGACTATCGTCGGCCTCGAAAAGAATCGGCAAACCGTCTGGCGCTCAGGAGGGGAAGCCAACATTATTGTGTACGAGTGGTGGGTGCGGACCTTGACTCGCGATAATTTGGCGGGGGAAGGAAGACATCCACCTCCACAAAGTTTTCTATCTGCCTGATGTAGGACCAGTCCTTGCCAATGAGTGGCAAGAACCGGGTGTAGTCCCCCTCTCTACAAGAGGGGGACCGAGGGTGTGTTCCAATTATCGGGTATCACACTCCTAGCCTCCCGGGTGGAAGGTCTACTCCAAGGTACCTGGGTATAAAATCAACCCTCCAAAGACGAGTATGATTTGTGCTTTGGCTAAAGCGACTGATAAAAACAATAGATGGACAATGACATTGATTTGAGGGCCACAACAAACATCTCCTTCCTCAAGTGAGACAAAGCACATGGTGGTGCAACAATCAGCCGTGACTTGAAATTAAGCGATAAGTTGAGGACTTGTGAAAGGGGCAGAAGGAAATTTTTTGTATAGGACGGCTCTTAAAGTGAATAGATCGTTTTCAAATAATTGATTTTTACATCTAAAATCAATAATTTGTGGCCCTATATGCAATTCCTGGGTCTGAGTCCTCATTATTTTAGCTCCACGGCCTTTCTTCTACACTATGTTTTCTGAGGTGCGTCCTGAGAGCAACCTGTATAGGTGCTGTCTCTTTAAATGCAAATGAGCGCTTTTGACCACGCGCCCCCCCCATCAGGTGACAACAGGTACAACTCCACCCCTGGAGCGGGCCCATTTTGTAGTTACTAACACAGATACAATTATTCATAGAAACATCTCATTACCCTCGCAAACAGGAAGTTTTTAAAAAAAAGTCCCCTTCCTCATTGACTGAAAGCAAATATAAAGTTTTTCATTCGTACTCCAGTCTTATTTATCGACTCATTCTCTTTTTAGCTTTGGGAATTCCATGCGCACAGTCTATGATGCTCCACAGACGCCAGTTTAGCACATTACTACAGCAAGTTACAGAACAGCAGCCGCCTGGTGGGGCCTACTGTACGTCGCAGATAAGCCACACTACTTGACAGAAATGTTAACATTGAATATTACTAAATGCACAATTTTACGCACTTAATAAAAAAACGTTAGAACGGATTATTTCCTTCAATAGAAGGAAAGAGACCCATGCGCCTCCAGAGCCCGCAGGTTTGCCGAACCTAGTTTTATACAGTACTGTGGAAGCAAATACTGGTAGAGGATTCGGAATATGTGGCAGTTTCAACAATATCATAAAATGTAAAAAAAACAATAGGTCTTACATTACAAGAGTAGTAATACACATGTGTCAGAAGTGAGGGAGGTGGACACGGACAATACTATTGTTTTGTTACAGTGATGAAGACTTGGTCAAAAAAGACAGAAATGCATAATTGTCAGCCAATTTCTGGCTCTCAATCTGTTTAATCCTGTTCAACAACATATACTTTAGGGCTCAAACATGAACTTTTTAATGCAAGTGGCAAAATTAGTTCAGAGCATTATTTTAGGGCGTTTAAGCCGCTTCGAAGGAGAGGTAGACGCGGACTGTTTCCCCGCACAGTGTATTTATTGTGTTGCACAGATGTACACAAAGACAACGCATGTCCTGTGCGCGTTTAATGGTTTTGGGTAACATGCCACGTTGAGCTCCGCGCTCAGCCACAACCACAACACGGGGAGCGGCTGCGAGCGGCACCCTCATTACAAAGCGGCAGCAGTGTTCCGGGGCACTGCGGCCGCTTTGGTAATGAGAGCCGCTCGCAGCCGCTCCACCGTGTATGAGGTTGTGGGCTGACGCGCAGCCTCAACGTGCCAATTACCCAACACCATAACCGCGCACAGGCCCAAGCTGTCTTTTGAGTAATCTGTGCACCCAATAAATACACTGCTGCAGAAACTGTCACGCGTCTCCCTATCCTCTCGAGCGCGATTAACGCCTAAATAAAGCTCTTGATTCCTACATTTTGCATTGCCATTTAAAAAGTTCATGTTTTGAGCCCAAAAAGTAATATGATGTGAACAGAATTAAACAGATTTAGAGCCAGAAAATGGCCTGACAATATGCATTCAGTCTTTTTTGACCAATTCTCAACCCTGTAACAAACAATAGTATTGTCCCGAGTCCACCTCCCTCAATCCTGACACATTTTTTATTACTCTCTTGATACTGTAGACTAGTCATTTATAGTTTATTGTTAAACTGCACATAATCCAGATCCTCTACAGTATTTGCTTCACATCTGTATACACTATGAGTCGGCAACCTGCCTCTGGAGGCGCATGCGTCCTTTCTTCAATCGAAGGAAAAACGTTCTTAACGTTTTTAAATGCTGTAAAATTGTGCATAAGTAATATTCAATTTAAACATTTCTGTCAACGTATGGGTCATATCCTGCGACGTACAGTGCCCGCACCAGGCCGGCTGACTGTGTAAACAAACTGCGTGTGAGCATCAAAGACTGTGCGCATGGATCCCAAGCTAAACAGAGAAGAGTCGATAATAAGACTGGACTAAGAATGAAACTAAATCTTAGCTTTACAGTCAATGATGAAGGATACTTCATGTTTTGCCGATGTGAAAGAGAAGTTTTTATGGATAATTGTATCTGTGCTTAGTAACAACAAAAATGGCCGCTCAGAGGTGGAGTTGAACCTGTGTCACCTGGATGGGGGCGTGTCAAAAGCGCCTCATTTGCATTTAAAGAGACAGCACCAAAACAGTTCTCTCCACACCTCAAACAGGTGTAGAATAAAGGCCCGTGGAGCGACAAATAATGGACTCAGACCCAGCATGCATAAAGCCCACAAATTAATGATTTAGAAGTAAAAATCAATTATTTTGAAAACACGAGTAAGTCCCCTTTAAGAGCCTTCAATCCAAACATTTTCCTTCCTAGCCCCTTTACGCAAGTCCTCAACATAACGCTTTAAAATTCAAGTCACTGCTGATTTGTTGCCACCAAGTGCTTTGACTCACTTGAGAAGGAGATGTTGTGGCCACTCAAACATGACTTGACCCACTATTTGAATTTTAACAGACGCTTTCGCCACAGCACAAACATACAGTCTATGCAGGGTTGAAATTTCATACCCCTGGTACCTTGGAGTAGACCCTTACGGAGGCCTGGGAGTGTGATCCCCGAAAAAGGAACACACCCCTCCGGTCCCCTTCATGTAGAGATGGACTACCCACCCCGGTGCGACAAAACGAAATGGGACCTACTGTACATAGGGGAAATTTCAAATTGCATCTATATTGCAGAATCCACTGTTCACAGCAATTGTCAAGGCATAAATACAATTTAAAATTGTTCTCATTTGCACACAGGTGTAAGGTTAAATAAGGGACAGGGCCGGACAACAGAGCCCCAGGCCCTGGACTATGTAAACATTTGACCAAAAGGAGGGAGACATCCCACTGCTGCTTCAAAGGAACCGTGGGGTCAACCGAAGGACTACCATTTGCCATAGAGATTACATGCGCCAAGCAGAGCAATAAAATCACCACAGGAATAAACATCGCCGTCTCTGCCTGCCTGGAAAGATCAAGAGGCCAAGGCTCTGCCCCACTCCCAGGACAGCCTGACCCTGAGACAATCTACGACTCACCCACGGCGTTATGGCGCCCCCAGTGGATACCGGACACTATCACACACGAGGCGGACACTCGAAACGGACATTCCCCGATGACATTATGTTGATAACCGTTACGGACCCTACTCGTATGTGGCGTTATCTGTGATGTAAATGCATTGTGTATCGGTAAATGATTATGAACGACAGAATGTCTATGTGTGTTGTGAACATGCCGGCTCAAAGAGGCGCCCAAAGATGACGTCACGGACGCGCCCCCTTTGACCACAACAAAACCAAAGCGCGGACCCAGATACTGCCTCTTGGTTTCCCTTGCAATCACTGTAACAACTTTCCCTTTTGGTACGTGTCTCCTACACGGCCTACGCCCGCCACCACCTCGGGCCTGTATATCCACAAGGACAGCAGCCACTCTCGCTGTCGGAGACAAGGACTTTCATCACCAGCCACTTTCGGGCTCTCTGGACACCCCACCGCAACGCTATTCTAGACCGTGTTGTGTGTGGAACCCACGTTTGGATCCGACCTGCTGGCTTCCTCCTGCTCCCCGTTCGGACAAAGAACACGTGGACGAGGACCTCGCTTTTCATCTCCATTCTGCATTCCCATCCTTCCCGCTGCCCTCCGTCGCCACCACCCCCTCTGGACGGCTCAAAGTAAGACTGTTCTTTGTTGGAGTGTGATTCAAATGATATGTATAGCAATCTTTACTTAATGTGACCAGAAAACCCTTTTCGTTGATATTTTCTATTTTCATTTTTGTAGTCTATAAACCCACGTTAACTTTAACTCAATCATTTAAGCGTCGTGTTTTTAAATCTTGGGTATCCCTGGCTGATTTTCGTACTCAAAACCATCAGATTTGTGATACTGGTATCGAGGCAAATATCCCTTTGGTCTGTCGCAGACTCTCAATGTCTGCTGGTGCCCTAAATAAATAAGACAGATCCCCTGGTGGAACGGCGAGTTTCTGATCCGGAGACTAGCCGATCCACACTACTAAATTTAAGTTACCCTACATAAATTATCCTACACAGGACAGACCTTTGCATTGTTTTGGAATGTTTTTTCCCAAATAGCAAGATTTAAAATATATTGTATTTGAATATATAATTGAATATATAATGTAATGATGAGCCTCACCTTGCTGACTCCCACTTGGTACGAGCCCGTCTTGATCAGAGCCAGTCTGCGCAGCATCTGGACACAGTTGTCTCCATCAGGGGGAGGCGGCTCCACCAGACACAGTAGAGCTTTGTACCTGTCACAAAACCATAAACATTGATTTATTTGTCAGTTTTTAGAAACAATTATACATTATCTGTGGAAACAGTTTGGTTCTTCTATCATGCGGGGATTCCTAAGGGAGCAATGCGTCTGTGGGCAAAAAGCTTGCTGTACATACTTAGCAATTGCGGTCACTTTGTTGTGTTTGACAGCAGCTCCTCTGGACCAACCATTGAGGAGGTCGACTAAACGTTCAGATGCCACTACCTTCATGCTGCTAAGAAATATACCCTCTTGAGGTCGACCTTTTAGAGGGTTCCACATCCTTACAAAGTTATCATGTCCTCCCACATGTCTTTTCCTGAAAGCTGGGTTACTTTTGGTTATTTCCATTCTTTGCACAAAAATAAATTGTCGCACGATTCCAAATCAAGAAATCGGTATTTTATCATGGACTTTTTACCTGACCAGAAAGCTGTGAAAATCCAGTCTGTAGGGGTATCCGTCCTTCCTGATTTGGATTGTCTCCATGATCCCCGAATACCGCAGCTGTGAGCTGACCAGCTCCATGTCGAACACAGAGGGCTCCTACACACCAGAGCAGCATGAGACAGGAGTAGAAGGCTGGCCCCTGAACAGCACCAAACATATGCAAGTGACCCCACACAGCACACGCTTGTTTACACAAGCTCTCAAGAAAACAGAGGACATAGCATGAATCACTGCAAACAGCACAGCATTGCCTTTACCTTACGATGGTTTGGTTTGATGCAGCGCACAAAATAAGGGTTACACCTGTCACAAATAAACCAGGATATTATGATTCTACAATAGATATCCTAGATTTTGCAAAGTTACAGCCACTAAACTTCAAGCTGCCAATGAAATTGGCAATGGCAGAAATTGGGCCGGTGTCACAAAAGGAACCTTCCCTCTTTCAAAACCAGGCCATGAGGTCTGAGGAACTGTCTGCAGGCCTCAAAGACTTGAATTATAGAATATACTATAATATTATATTGAGGCACAGACATTGAAGCAGCAGGCCTGACAACCTCCAAGAACAAGTTCAAAGCAAAAATCCAAGAGCTGCTGGTGGCAGCATCATGCTGTGGGGATCTTGTTCAGATGCAGGGACAGGGAGACGAGTCAGGATAAAGGAAAGATTAATTTTATTGATTGATTGATAGATACTTTATTGAGCCCCCTTAGGAGAAATTCAGGTTTATATTATATTATTTATATTATATTATACATTTATATTATTGTTATATTTATTGTTGCCGGATGTGGTCAGTCTGAGAGAGATCTGCATATTAGACAATGTATCTTACCAAATATGTGCAGCCCTAGTATAGCCTGGCCACACCATCGTACTTGCATTTAATTTTGTACTAAGGTCTGAATTTGCTCCATTGAGCTTTGTTAACTCCTGATTGAAACGATTGAATCTGAGTTCATCAGTATGTATTGTGCCTGAGTGAGCGAGTCCTTTAGCATTTAGCCTATCTCACAATGTACGCTATATAGCATGAAATGTGTTGAAAATAATACAACTTCTCCTGCATATGGCATAGAGTAAATAAAAGGAAGACACAGCTGAAAACATGACCAACCCATATTTTGAATAAAACTTAACCAAATGTGCACAGAGACACCTTTCCTGTATGGCGCCATACACATCTGTATTGCCCTGATGTTTCTAAACAGAATGTGTGTGAAGTCACCTCTCCATCTTCTCAATGAGCTCCTGGAGGCTGTTCTGGAACTTGGCGCTGACTGTGTTGGCCTGATAACGGCGCACAGAGCTTGTGCGGTGGGCAGTCTTCTGCAGAGATAGGGACTCCGAGTGCCTCAGGAACAGACTGGACACGAGCTGAGGTTACAGCGGGTAGAGTTCAAAATCTGAGTGGACTAATAATTTATCAATGAAGAATCTTAGTTTTTCTGTATTAATCATTATGAAAAAATATCCACTAGAGCTGAAGTAATCAAGAGTTAATTGAAGTAGTCCATTAAAAGGTTTTTTCCTCGAGTAATGATTTTCATATATACAGTAAGTACTTTATGTAAAACTTTGGTCAATTTATTCACATAAATATTTCTGTATTGTGCCAACAGGGCTCTGAAGACAGCAATGATCTGATTTATCCTTTAAATTTTCTAAAAAATCCTAAATATCCTATAGCCGTAAACCGTTTTCTCCAAGTAGGGTGGTTAGGCACAAGAAGATTCGATTGAAATTTGATTGATTTGATTAAATATGTTGTCAATTATGTTCAAAAAAGTACACAGAATACTCCATAGCTAAAAATTGTTTTAGCAGCAGATATAATGTGTTTTTTTTTCAGCTTACATGGCAAGCCGAGGCATTCCAAGAAAATAATCTCCATAGCAACAGGCAGGTAGCAGTCTCTTCAAACACGTTGCGCAAAGCCTTTTTAAAAGACAAATGTAACCATAAACACTCTGTCTGAAAAATCAATATTTTAAATAAACGGTGGAATTTTGTGTAAACTCATTTTCACAAAGTGTTATTTGGTACTTTTTCTTTCATCAGTTCTCATATGGATGTTCTAGTTTTACTTCTGGTCCTGAGTTCCCTGTTAATTGTTTGACCCACCCTAATATGTTTAACCTGTGTCTCTCTGTGTCTATAAGTATCCTTTGCTCCATTATTTGTTTTTTTCTATGCTGGTCCTATGTCTATGTCGATGTGTGTTTTTGACCCGGTTCGTGTATTGTTTAGATGATTGGATTTTATTTTTCACCCTGGACTTAATTTGTTAAATCCTTTTATTTTGCATTCCTGCTTTATAAGTCCTTCTTTTACCACAAGTTTCACCACATCACACTACTGTGGCTTTGTATGGGTCAAAGCGATATAAGACATTGCATTCAGCCGCCTTTTTCCATCCAATCAAAATAGTGGTAAATTACATCTCTAGTACATAAGTGACATACTTTGTTCTTGCTCTGGATGAAGAGGTCCAGCACGTCCTGACGCACCATGTCGAAGTTCTTGTCCAGAAAGTGGTGGACCTGTGGACATTTTCAGAGGCTGTATCACACACGATATGAGAGAGGAGAGAGGAAAGCCCCACGCACAGCCGCACCTGGTATGTGACTTTCCCTGCGTAGTGCTTGATGGTGAACTCCGGCAATGGCATCTTTGGTCTGGCGTAGAGCGGGCTGTTACTGTGGTGATAGTGGCACTTTTGTAGGAAGGTGTGATCTGTGGCCTGCAGAATTGAGAGTTTTTCAATAATCCAACATCCCTCTGCACACAGTGTAAAACAACTACTTATGCCCTTTAGTAAATCATATAACTAACTAACATAAAAGCTTTTCACCACAGGATAGGCAGGAACGAAAGCAGGGTCCAGCTTCACTCTTTTTACACGACTTGGTACGGTCTAATTATGCAAATATTGTTCCATGCGCGTAAAGTATGTGTAGTGAGCAACGAGCGGTTAAACTGTGATTTTACTGCTGTCTAGATCATTGCTTTGTATTGTTGGAATGTTCACTGAAAATGCCTCGAGAGGTGAGTTTAATGCTTAGTTGCAACACAGGCTGTGTGTGCAACTACACAGCCTGTGTTTGTACGCAGTGTGAATGAGGCTATAGACTGATACACTGATTTTGTGGATGCAATGCACCAGGATTTTGATATATATCAAAACACATCATACTACAAATACATGAATTATTATGACAAAAGTTGGATTGTGCGTAGATGAGAGAGCAAGTGTGAAACATGGTTAAAAATGTAAATTGCCAGCATAAATTTTTGGCCAGGCGGTACCTGTGGGAAGCCACACTGGTCGTCCAGAATGCGCAATATGCCATGGGGCTTGGCAGAAATGAGGTCCATACATTCCTGGTTCTGAGTGAAGGGCTGCTGCTGCCACTGTATCTGCTCTCTCATGTACTCCTCCTGCAAACAAGAATCTTTAACATTTTGTTCCGGCCGGCATCTGAAAATCTACGTTCCTGAAGTGTCTCACACAAGCCTCCGACCACATACCCCTCCTAACCACACATACTGTATATTTTAGATGATCTAAAAAGATTATGAATTCTAGGATCTTTGTTCTATGTTTGTGTAAGCTCTGTCGTACAGGGATTTGTCAAAGCAAACTGACCTTAGCCTGCTTTGCCTCGTATCTATGACTATCCTAAAAACAATGCCCTAACTATAGATAAGGTCAGTGACATGCTAAGGAGTTAGGATCGTTGGCCCTAGCAGAGTCGTTAGACCTGGCCCTACCACATCTTAACACACCTTAGATGTGTTTATGAGTTAGCCTCAGGATTAGGGTGTGGCTAACCACACCAACAGGTTATAAATCTCCAACGCGCGGTCTGAGATTTCATTCCCTTGAAAAAGTTCTTTGGAATAAGGACGAAACGTCGGGAAAACATGCTAAGAAGTACAGATGATGGGTGAGAAACCTTCCCTATCTTTGTTCTATTTTTGAATGACTATTTAGGAATTAGCAACGCTTGTGTGTAGGGAATTCTTTTATTGAGCACTTTTCACACACCAAGAGTGACACACATTGTATTACAATAGTTTGTATTATCAATTCACTCATCACAGAGTGGTCATGAGCTACAGTTGCCTTAGCTTCCCTGGGTCCTAGTTGCAGATGCAGAACAGCCAATCTGCACTGCTGACACCAGGAAATAATAATTGTGGCACCACCCATGGTGGAATCTGGTAAAACAGCAGTCTCTCATCAGTATGAATCACTGCTTATCCACAGAGATCTGATCTGATCAGAAAACAAGTTTGAATCTAGGAGTCTGTATTTCTCTTAAAACAGCAGCTGCCAGCGACAGTATTTTTATATCCTCTCTTACATACTTTGTATTCTGAATTAATATGTTTAGCCTCTTGTGCATTCTCTTGTTCTCTAAAATGTGTTTTCAAAATGAACTTGCAAATAAGTGAGCATGTAACCAGCCCCTGTATGTGGAGATGTCTGACCTGTTCCTCTTGGAAGATGACCTTAACAAAAAAAGACTGCAGCGATTCATTTGCGTAATTGATGCAGAGCTGCTCAAAGCTGTTCAGCTGTAGTTCCTGAAGGGGTGACATACATACCATAATTACATGTACATACCTACAACATATAATAAATATATATTTATGTATATATTGTTATATAATCTTTATATAATTTATAAATAGAATTATTCAAAACTAGAAAAAGCATCTGATCTGTCCTAATAAAAAAACTCTGTTAAAAAACTAAAACAATAAAAACACTACACTTGTCTTAAGTGTAGTGTTTCAAAATATCATATCACAGAACCAATGATTTGTCCTTCTGTGTGTGTGTTGTGTTGTGGGTGTGTGTGTTTGTGTTGTATGAGACCAAATCATAGTCTGCTTCGTCTAAGCTCAAATTTTTTCTCATTTTATCAAGACTGTAACTTGGTTTACTTCACACCTGTTAGCATACACTAATAATTTCTCTATCAACTACATTTAAAATGATGAGTCTAGAGGGAAAAGCCACATTATCCTCTTTAAGTAAATGATAGGTCTGTGTGGAATTCTCTTTCTACTACTGTGTGAAAGTGGCGGATCCCTGGTGACGCACTTTTAACATCAAGAACAAGGAAACATCCTAGAGTACATAATTAAGCACATGCACTGTCCTCTTGTTTAGAATTAGCTTTAGCCAGGCTCCAAACAGCTGTTACATCATCACTGCACAGTTCGAGTTAAATAGGGCAACGCTCTCCCTGCCACATCGTGCACATGAGGGGAATGGACAGTGACCTCAAATCCATAGATGTCCAATATGGAGATAGACAGGGCCTCATGGCGAGGGTAAACCCGTCCGTTGATGCGCTCCGTCAGCCAACCGAAAAGCAGAGAATACAGGATCTTGGCAACTGCGTCCCTGTGACAGGCACACACAATATGGTAACCATAGCAACAGACGGCTTGGGAGTGAAAGTGCCGCCCCCTCAGACTGTGTTGTCCTTATATGGCTCTGCACAAGTCTGGGATGGCATATCAAAGAAGACCAGCTTGTCAAGACTGGATCACTTAAAATGCATAGGTTTCAGACTGATGTATGTTTATTCTCACTTAACTGAATATTATAATATTTGAATGGGAATATAAACATATTAAATGAAAATGTGGCATAAAACATGCTCAAATGTATGAATAGGCAACATATTGGAATTCCGACAATTTTTTGTATTCAGTCCAATGGAATTTTTCATGGCAATCAAATAAAGTTCTTGGAGGTATTATCCAGGTTTTATCCCCTCTTTGATCTGGACCAAGGGTCAGGGTTAGTGGTTATAAACTGCAGTAAACATACAACTGTAATATTAGTTTAACCATGCCCTTTCAAAGTGGATTATGATTTATGAATGGGAGTCAACATTTCTCATTGCTATACAATTCTCATTGAATGCTTCAATGATCTTTGTGTCAATGATAGAACATTGACACAAAGATCATTGAAGTATTGAGCAAAAGCTTGAAGTCATAACAATAAAAAACATGAACTCTGTAATAAAATGTCAAAATAAGTAGTTTCTCTCACCAATTTACACATAATCTTTTAGACAGATTAGGGTAAAAGAAAGAACCACCCTCACTCAGCCAAAAATACTTGATTATTATTATGTCAAATAAGCATTTAGCATTTTACTTTGGACCAGAACAGAGAAAATGGTACGAACCAAGCAGCTCCATCTCTGCTGCTTTGACTCGTCCTGCTCCACCGAGAGGCTGCTGATGTGACCTGTGCTGTTTCTTGTTATTACTATTTCGATTGTTAGCTTTTTAGAATGATCTTTCCTATAGTCATTTTTATATTTGTTTTGTTTGTGTGGATGGATGTGTTTTTGCTGCTACTGGACACCTACATTTCTCCTATGGGGATCAATAAAGTATCTATCAATCTTTAAGAGTCAACAAGTTACTCGCAGGGCGCTTTGATATAACAGATAACCTGTTTTCTAATAAGACAGCATATTATGGTCTGATTTGTTAACATTTTACATCTTCTGTTGAGATTGTAGTATCATTTACTTATTACTTTGTTGTGAATTGTACTTATGAACCGTCTCTATAACATATTAAAATCATTTCAGGATAGATGGCTTGTTTACCTGGCATCAACAGCACTCTCCACGGTCAGAGGAGTGTAGATCTTCTCCCGTACAGCATCCTTGAGGTAAAAACAACACAACTTAATGAGGTGATATTTGATTTAAACAAGGAGTCATGTAGAGTACGTGCTTTTAGGAGTGTGCTTACTGTCATTTTGAAGGTCACAGACTTCTGCAGAGCTTCTGGAGAGACTTGCAGAAGCTCAGCTATGACCCTTATTTCCTGTGCACTGACCACTGAGGCCACCTCCTGCCCCTCCACCTGCACACACATTAGATTAAGTTTAAGTATTGTTTAAAAGGTTACTTTAAAAACACACACACGCACACACACATGTAAGGGCATACATCTGCTGAGAGAATACATCTCCATAATAGTTGTGACAGTAAACACACAGTGGCTGCAGGAGAACATGGACCAGTGAACCAACTGCAATACTGCAAACTCGATTGACAAAACTGAAATGGTTGTTTTTGGTCCTCAGAAACAAAGGGAGAGTAGAGAGAGTGCCATCCATGGTTGCCAAGGAATGTCCACAGATACTGGTTTGTTGTGGGTAGGTTGCTCTGATACGGTACCAGATACTGAAACGTAATGGAAATGCACCTAGGAAGGGTAGAGGCGAGTAGAATGTATTGTGTATTAAATCAGAAACCAAGCAATCTGCTTTTGTAAAGAATGAACTTCCACCAGGCTGTTGTGACTTGTTTTGCTTGTATTTGAATTGTAATTGTAATAATTTGTATGCATTTTTAGTCTATGCTTTGTCTACTTCAAAACCAGCAACTCACTTGTGTCTGTTGTGTTTAAATTCATACACTGTTCATCTGAATAAAAAGACAATCAAAAATTGACATATTCCACCCGAGAGCTACTTTTTCTGAACTAAAATGATTAAGAACTTCTCCTTTAAGCTTCAGGGGAACAAATGTCTATTGAGAATCAATATGCATCATATCTGTTGGCTTGCATTTGTAATTGTTTGAATCATACAGTATATTTGGGAAAATTCAATATATTTATGGCATTTCTAAATTCTTTGGGGAGCTACTTGCATGGGGGTGGGGACCTACTGGAGCTCCTAAACTATAAGTTGGAGACCCCTGTCTTTTTGGTTTTAAAGAGCCAAAAACACAAACAAGATGTGAATGTTCCAATTGATTGCACATAACAGAATGAAAAGGTGTCATTGAGACCTGGTGTGGCTGGAAGAACACGTTCCCCAGGTGAAGGACAGAGGACAACATCCTGTAGATAGCGGTTTGCTCGTCAGGCGTGAAGCACAGGATGTCCATAGCGCCCAAGAGACGCCTGAAGTCTTCTGCATCGTCCTTTCCCTTGATGGAGCAGTCTCCACCCTGGGCACAACCATAGTACAAGCTCCAGAATCAGCTTCTCTGTATATGCACCCAAGACAACTACAACAGCAACCACCAAGACTGAACACCTTGAGTTAGAATGTTTGAGGTTCAAAGAAATTGTAAAATAATATTCAATGAAGACCTAATAACACTGCAAAAAATGACAAAATATAAAAGGTAATAATTGCTTTCATCAAGTGTTTTTTTTTTTTTTTGTATTAAATTTGAGTACATTCTGTCTTGAAACAAGATTTTTCACCAAGACAAAGCAATTTAGTCTTATTTCAAGAACTGCTGCTTTATTTTCTCATTCCAAAGAAGACATTTATTTTTCCCATTGGCAATTCTTGTTTTAAATACTCTGACTGGCCTGGTATGTTTTGTACCGGGCATAATAGTTTTTCAATTGAGAGATGCCTGACCGACCTGCCCGCTGAAATTCCATTGAGGCGGGGCTAAAGGTCGGCTGGAGCCAGGCTAGAGTTCTTGAGCTACATTCATTTGATGCTTTTTATGTTATTCAAGGTTCTGCTCCGGGAATTGTTATTGTTGGTTTAAATAAAGATTTTCAAGCTACAGTGACGAAACCTTCCCAGTGACATGCCTTTGTACTATGTGTGTGTTGTGTTGCCCGTGGACTCAAATAACAACAGAGGCATAGAGTTGTCAATGTATCAAATTTTGAAAGAATTTTAAAGGGGATAAGGCTAGAGCAAGAACTAGGATATCCTGCAGAGTTTATCTCGAATACTAACCCTTGTATTATAATCCCTAATTTCATTGAAAACTTGAGCTCATTGTGTATGAATTCAGGCCGTAAAAAGTGCTGAGTAGAGACTTGGCTAGCTCTCCTCCACTCACAGAACGAGGAGCAAACAGCCTGCGTCCTCTAGCCTCTACAGCGCTGGTAAACACTAGGGCTTCAAATATAATTCGAAAATTAAAAAACATTGATATATTTGAACGAATATAAGACAGCCCTTAATATTCGAAATGTATTATTAGCCGACATGGTAGCCAAGCGTGCTTTGATGACGTCGCTGTTTACGTTACTGTTGCTCACCTGCCTATCACCTTATTAAAGGCAGTCAAAATTTGCTCAAATTAAGATAAATGTTGCAAAATTTGAGCAATTTTTGACTTTTAATTTGTTGACCTTTTGCAGTGAATTAGAGCTGCAACTAACGATTATTTTAATAATCGATTAATCTGTCGATTATTTATTCGATTAATCTATTAATTGGATGAAAAAAGCATTTTTAGTTTCCATCCCGTTATTAAAAACGTGGCCTTGGATCAACACAAAGAAACATACAAATGTATGCTATGCAGTATAAAGTAAAGTGCACAAAAACAGGTTTTGTTGTTTAACCCAAAGAGCAATTACAGACAAGACGCGTTTGTGTAATTAAGTCATTTTTAGGGTAATTGTACGTTGTTGAGTGCATATACTCAAAAACGTTTGAAATTTTTATTTCAAAAGGCTGTAACTTAAAAGTGATAGGAGATAAAGACTTTCTGTAAATTACAGAATTATTAAGGATGGCCAAAAGTTGTATTCCTATTCCTGGCAAAACAAGGGCGTGCATTTCAATATTATGAAGAAGGAAGAATGGTCCACTGCTGAGCGGGTTGTGTATGCGATTAGCAGTCACCAATAAACAGTTTTGGTAATAACGACGTGAGAGTATAACCTAAAGTATAGAGCTTTATTTTGGTCAGTAACGATGTGATTAGTTACTTAGGCTTCTGCTATAACTCTTGGAAGTAAGTATGGCAAGTTTTTTTATATAGCGCCTCTCACAGACCAGGATCACAAAGCACTTCTCAATTAAAAACATACAATGAAAAAAAGTAGTAGTCAGTTCCAAAACCAAACATACAGAATGGTCATGATCGTGAACATACTCCAGATAGATCTCGCGTCCACCACATGAGTTTAACCTCTTAAGCTCGCTAGCAAATGAGAAAAAAAAATACATCCGCTGGCAATAGCAGATGTATTTTGAACTTCATAAGCGACAAGCTATATATCATTTTAAAGCTTATTTTAAATAAATCACGTTTGTATACGTTTTTTACCTTTCGTCTTCTGCTGCTCCAACAAATTAGACTCTCCCCATCCTTGCTTAGTCTCTTTCTCTCCGTAAGTCTTAATTGAAAAAGAATATCCACGTGTATTTCCCAAAGTATAATCCATTCTTCAGAAATAATCCAAAAATGTGCATTTTTCTGTTGCAAAAAAAACGCTCAGAAAAATGTTCAGGCTTCTCTTTCACATTTCACCAAGTTTGAGCTTTGTTTACCCCCAAAAACATCATATCCACATGTTCCTTGAGTCCTTAGCTTTAAAAAGAGGTTCCATGAAAAGATAGGAGCAGGTTTCAGTCCGCAGGACCCTTGTGAAAAAGACAAACCGCATCCATTTGCACAGGGTCCGTTTTTGCCTTGTTGTTGATTACAGGCTAGCGCAATGTAATTTTCACAGTAAAAGACGCTGTTAGTACTGCTGCACATATTCTATATGCATTTAGACTACTAAAAAGTAAAATTTATAAGCACCAGAACTAAAAAATAGGCTTTTTATGATGGTGAAATGTTAGTAAAGCAGTTTGGCACAATTTGGCACAAATTCTGCCAAATTGGTTCCGAATGGCACTACTTGATAAAAAAGAGAAACTGCATAAAAACTATAAAACTTAGAAGTCTGAAACTTTACAAAATTTTCTTCTTCCAATGAAGTAGCCTTTTTTAGGGTATTTATACATTGAATATTTTAGGCGAGGCTAAAAAAAACAGGGTTTTTCCCCAAACTTCAAAGGATGCAGAGTGAAATATGAATGACATACATTATTTCAGTGTATATTTACATAAACTAGAAGAGCCTAGCTTTAAAATGATGCATCACACAAGCATGTGAGATGTAAGATGTGTTTTTAAATAAGCAAAGACATTTGGGTATGCCAAACTTTAGTGCACAAGCCAAAACAGATGTAGGAGCTTACTGTTTTCTGCTTATGTCAGCAACTAAAAGTGCTAATCAGAAAATGTGTTTATGGGTGGAAATAAGTGACGCTAAAACTATTCTGGAAACCTGTGTTACTCCCACAATAAAAGATGAAGCCCCAATCTGTAAGTACAGTGCTACTAACTCGCCATATACTTCTGTTAATTGCATAATCAGGGTCTGGTTTTTGATCTAGGACATAGGGCTCTATGTGACTCATCGCCATTGTTGGATAAAAGTTTATTCTCAGGTCTGAAAGGACAATGTACTGGTGAAGATTAACATCTTTGCGAAAGGCTACGTATACTTTGACTTGCGGCAAACATATATTTTGGGAATATATCACGTTTTAACATCAGTGTAACAATGGAAGTATACACAGACAATAACAGCAGGAGGAGTGCATGTTTTTGTCACACACAAATTGTCTCACACACACACACAGTGCAATGCACGGACAAAGTTGGTGTACAAGAGAGTGTTTGTTTTACCAAATTATGTCTTTTTCGCTTTTAGGGGTTCTTTACATACATTAGGGGAGAATTTGGCAAGTCTCACCTTTTATAATGTGTGAGGCTTATTATGTATTCACTAAACTTATTCAAGGGACAAGCCGCAAAACACACTGAATCCCCTTCAAAACAATCGCCAGAATACGTATATAAACAGCGTGATATAACTCTAATTATACACATTAGAGCCTCTCTGCAGCGCAAGATGCAACTTCAGACGCTGCTGTTTACATTTCAGTGCTATGATGTCAAGTGACCAAAGCGAATGGAGAGACCCAGTCTTTTAAAAAAACTAACGAATAATTTCCTTGGCAGCCCGGCTTTCAAAGACAACATATTATCCTTCGTGTCAAGTAAGAAAAAATTAGTGTACCTTTTAAAGATGAAATAATTGTACAAATGGCTCTTATTAAGAATACTAAATAAGTAGTACAGATAATTTTTGTGTCAATTGTATTTTATTTAATAAATACATTTATACATAGTGTTTGAGTTGGCATAGGCATGGCATATGCAAAAGCATGAATAATTGTGGATGGTTATGTGGTAAAATCCTCTGCAGGATACAAGAGTAGTTTCTCCCTGTTTCATCAGACTCATGCTGAGAAGCACACATAAAAGGAATATGCATGACATGAGGCGTCGTACACACATGTTCAGAAACTGCGCTCCTTTTAAAAGGATGCAAGAATTTTTGCGTCATCTACAAAAAACGAACGTATTAATTTGTTGTGTTGTTTTGAATACAATTCAATTCAATTCAACTTTATTCCGGACTCATAGTCCAATAAAATAAAATAAAAATAAATAAAAATAAAGGACAAGACAAACAATTAAAATGGCATTTTAAAAAGACATCATGCCAATGTCTCCACAAGTCAGATTGATACCGTGTCGCACTCCATTTTATATTCGTGAGGGACACTATTATTTCATTTTCAGACGTGTTCAATCGACACAAAAAGCTGTACATCAAAGTTCGTAGCACGGCCTGTAAAGTGTTCACTCTGGCATTAACAAACATTTCTGTGGCACTTGACCATCTCGGCTTTTTCAACAGCACACGCAAAGCATCATTATAGGCCACCTGGAGCTTACGCATGCTGGCTTTCTTATAATGAGACCAGAGATGAGCTGTGTATAAGGGAGTACAGTACGCTTTAAATAACGTTAGCTTCACTCTCTCTGTACAACAGCCAAACTTCCGTGCCAGGGTATTAGCCTGGGCATACAACACTCTGCATTGTCTGTAAATGTCATCATCATCAAACATGTCCTCAGTGATGATGTGCCCGAGGTACTTGATTTTGGTGACAACATGCAAAACATCATTACACAAACAAAAGTTAGGAAATGTCAGGTTCTTATCTTCCTTGGTTTTAGAAATCATAACCACACTCTTCGAACTATTGTACTTAATATCATGTTCCAGACCATAAGTTGAGCAGATATTAAGGAGCTGCTGTAAACCAGCCGTACTTGGACTAAACACGACTAAATCATCTGCGTACAAAAAAATGATTCATAATAGTTCTTCCAGAGACACAGCCAGTGTGACAGTCTTTGAGTTTAGATGACAGTTCGTCTAGATACAGGTTAAATAACACTGGGGACAGAACACCCCCCTGTCGGACCCCATTGCTCACTTTAAAAGGGGTAGATACACTGTTCCCCCATTTTATTTGCACTGTTTGCTGTGAGTACCAGTATGCTAAAAAACGCACAGCATAACTGGGTACACCTTTTTGGGCTAATTTCAAGAATAGTTTTCTATGATTGACCCTGTCAAATGCTTTTGAAGCATCCAAAAAGCACATAAAAACAGATGAATTTTGTCTTCTATATTTAGCAATTACCTCTTTAAGTGCATATATACACATGTCAGTGCCTAACCTGGTCTTAAATCCAAACTGGTTATCCGTAGATCTCACAAGTTTGAGAATCCTTTCCAAAAGGACAGCTTCAATGATTTTAGACACTATACTAGCCAAGGCTATCGGTCTGTAGTTATCTGAACAGCCAAGCTTCCCAGTTTTGTTTTTAATGACTGGAACCAATAACACAGCTAACATAGAGTCTGGTATGAAACCATGCACAAGAAAAGCTGTGAAACAGATAGAAAGCAGTGGGGCCAGCCTCACACTTGCAAACTTTAAGTGTTCAGCAGAGATTCCATCCAATCCTGTACTTTTGTTATTAGACAAATTGGTTATTGCCCTAAAGACCTCACTTGTCGTAATTACGTCAACATTGTCAACATCATTTACAGTATAGAGTTCACTCGGAACACAATTAAACAAACTGCGGTAATGCTGCCGCCATAGTTCTAAGATGTTCTCAGTACCATCCTCCATCCACCATCCAGGGCAGAGATGTTTTATTCAAAGATATTCCTTTCACTTCCTTCCAAAAGTCGTATGTATTGTTACAGGAGAGTTTCCTGGCCATGGAATCAGCTCTCAGCGCTCTCTCATTTTTACTGATGTAACGCACAGCATATTTATACTGGGCATTAGTTAGCCTTTTATGTTCAAAAACAGGCCCATATCGAGGTTTCCCCGCCAGTATCCATTCTGTAGAAGCCTCCCGAGCTCTAGTATAAACATCAGCCACATGATCATTCCACCCAGGCCTTACCCTCTTTTTAGATTTTGGTCTTTGAAGGGGTTTACATGACTCGTACAGCACTTTAACAATATCCTCATGCATAGAACTGATGACAGATTTGTGATCAGAATTATTGCAGTTACCATCTCTACACATCATAGCCTCTTTTGGCAGATATATATTACTCAAAAGAGTGTCTGTGTTCATAGTGTACAATAGTATATCCTCACTAGAAAGACAACTCCAATCAATGTAGGATGTACCACTTTCAATTTCAATTTGAATTCAATTTCAATTAAATACATACTGTTCCCCATGCAGAGTGTGAGATAAGTCTTACCTGGTTGAGATAGTAGTATGTCTCTGCCTCCTGCAAGTAAAGTGGGATCTTTTCTTCAGGGGGGAGGCCAGCCAACATTTCATAGAAGATGTGGTAATTCCTCTCTGATTTGGCCTGTTAATCAAACATGGTGGCAAAAGGGGACTGTGTGGTACAGAAATAGTATCAATGCAATTTATGGTCTGTGCCGTTTGTTAAATAAACCATGCCTTTTGAAGACTGATTTACTTCTATGGAATGAGGACACGGCCAGAAATATAATGGTGTTCATATCTTGATTGTAAATTGCACTTTGCCTTACTCTGGTAATTACATTCTATTACCTTTTTTAATTTCATTGCTCATTTAATTTTTTACTTCATTGTTGTCCCAAGTATTGAATAACTAGATTGACAGTGAACAGGGACTATATCATAACTAAACTACACTATATACTTTCTATATAGTCAAACAGACCCAATCAAATTATTTGGAGGGCCATAATTGGCTTCCAGACCTTAAAGGATCATATATCCACTGTTAGTTTAGCTTGTCACACTATAAACTCTGTGTTATATGACCACTTACTTTTCTACCAGCTTTTGGTAGAAATAAATGTGAGGCACTATATTTCAACAACTTTTTTATTTGAATAATATTAAAGCTGCTGAATTTCACCTGAGAAATTGGCAGCACACATTAGAGAACAAATTCAAGACACATTGATTAGAAAAACTGCTTGACAATCTTAAACATAAATCTTGTGGACATCATATCCATTAAAATTAAAACTTAATTTTTTTGAAAGGGACAAATATAATGTGAATATTGTACATATATGTTCATGTACATGTCCTTAGGTGTATGTATGACACGTGTATATATGTATATGTATATATGTCCATGTAATTTAAAATTAGGATATAGAAAAATTAAAACACACATCCCCATTAAGAAAAAACCAAATTGGTTATTTATTTATCCATTCATTATGTCATGTTTTTTAATGTGAAATCCTTTGTTATTGATGAGGGAGGAATGTTGTAACAAGCTTAATTAAGATTTGCATTATACACTATTTGTCCTTTAAGTTGAATAAGCCTGGTTTATTACAAAGCAGACTTATCTTTTCACAAAACCCCGATGACTAATCCTATATTCTTTGCAGAGGTGACATATGAAAGCATGATGTGTTGGAAACAGGAGCTTCTGGCACTCTGCGGTGGACTTACTTGAAAGACTATGCGGGACTTTTCCAGCAGGTACTGGGACGTTATGGCACCGCTGATCACACCCCTAACAAAGGACAAAACCGGTCACACACTTAAGTAACAGCTCATGCATCTGTGATGAGCACCGATCTTTCCCGGGCTGCTAAAACGCTCACATATCCGTGTTAGTGGGACTGCTTTGCATGCAAGTGACATCATGACCACATATGACTGAAAGACTTGTGATAGAGAAAAAACAAATGCACAGCAGTCTGATAGAGGCTAGTCTGGAAAAATGTAATTGTAAGAATTGAAATTCTTCAAGCCTGCAAATCTTTGGTCGTGTCTTTTTAACTAACAATAAAATGTTTTCTGCTGTGACACCGTCCCAGACCACCGCATCTTTTAAAATATTCTTCACATTTTCATAGTAGAAAAAACATGGAATGACAGAAGGCCTACCCTGCATAGTCCTCTGCACAATGACATCAAACCCCTCAGAAGTCACCAGTGTTTGTGCATTTGTGGAAACTAATGACTAACTGAAAGACTAACCCGAAGCCTACTCTGAGCTGTGTTCTGGATTACATGTTCTCGTGTTGCTACTAAAGACACACTAGTCGTCTTTGTCAACAAACATTTACTGCAAAACATCCAAGTTAAAGAACGTTATTGAACGAGTTAAGAAAGTGTTAAAAAAGAGTTTAGAAAGATGGTGACATACATGGTCCTGAGTCAAAGAAGGTCCAGGGTTCCAATATCAGTCAGGACAGGGCCTTTCTGGATGGAGTTATCAATTAGGTAGTAAATAAGTAAAGTAAGTAATTAAGTAATGTTTATTCATATAGCACATTTTACAGACCAAGGTCACCCAAAGCGCTTTACAATGTTCAGAGTTCAGATATTGTTCCAATCATTCCACACACAGTGATGATGGAAGCGAGTCGCCGAACACACTGGCGCATCAGCCCCAATCAACACCATCCATTCACTCTCTCATTTACATTCATACCTATTGTACATGTTTTTAGTCATGGGGGAAACCGCAGCACCCGGAGGAAACCTACGCAGACAAGGGGAGAACATGCAAACTCCACTCTATTTATGAAACCAATAGAAAATCTAAGATAAAAAAGATAGTTAAAACTCAAGGGCTTCAAAAGAATTAAACATTCTGTAATACGCATGAACGACCATTAAAAAAACAACAACTGGGAAAACAATTCTACTTACTCTAGTCAAATTATTACTTACTCGTCCATGTAGAGCTGAGTATATTTTCCAAAACGCGAAGAGTTGTCATTGCGCACCGTTTTGGCATTTCCAAATGACTCCAACAGGGGTGTCGCCTCTAGGATCTGGATCAAGCGGTTATAATAAAGGCGAGTTATAATGACTATAATGAATTGTGAAACTATTAGGACGTACTGAAATAGGATTGAAATGTACATCTTACCTCTATCTGATGAAGGATAGAAAAAAACAAGAGGAAAAAAAGACTATGATTAGATGAGGTGATAGGATTAATTATAGCTTTGCCTCAGTAATAATTGAAAAGGACGAAGGATAGTGATAGGTACCTGTTGTGTCACGTTGCGTTTGTGGTGAATGGCTGTCAAGTAACGCAGGATAAGTTTGGTCGCCTCTGTCTTTCCTGAGCCACTTTCTCCGCTGAAAAGATCATTCACAGTAAACCAGTGAGAAACACTTTAAAGCTGGGATCATGATTTTTGTTTATTTTATGATGTCATGGATTTAAACTTATATATATAACCAACTCTTACACACCCTTTGGTACGTTATGATTTATCACATGCATGATTGTGTTGAGGCTCTTCTCACAAAAGCACTATTTTATGAATACATAATTTATATAGTGTTGGAAAACCTGCTCATCCATTATGGACAAAGGGTTTTATCAGAAATGTCATAATTATGCATCATGTATGTTCAATTGTATTGTGAGGAGAAAAAGGTGGTGGGGTAAGGTCAGCGTGATGGTATGCTGTGTTGCTATAGTAGTTCTCATAAGTTTACACACCCTGGCACAATGGCCTAAAACTGTGGTGGTGAAGTGATGGCGTCACTTTTAAACATTTCAACAGAAACGACCAAGATCAAAAGTTTGCGATTCCTGTTGATGATGAGCTCACTCACAAGCAGGTTTGGAGGGTGATACGTAATACATGGTTTCACCCTACTACTACTGACCAAGAGTAAAAGAAAATATTCTCAGATGAATGGCCAAGAAATAAAACATGCTGCCAAGGAATTAAAACTGCATGTCCAACTGCATATCCAAGGGTTATCCGAGTTAGGAAGGAAAAAATAGTAGGATAATAAATGCATAAATGTTTTGTTATCTTGTCAGGGATATGAAAATAAAACAATGAATGTCCTTAGAGACAAGTGGGTGAAATTATGCAGGTACCATGAAGACATTATGTTAATGTAAATAAAGTCATAACAATTAGAATCACACTCACGCTGGAATCTTCCTGTCTGTGACACATGTAGCTCCTAATCACTGATTACTGTTGCAAAACACTTGCTAGGGTCTTTTTGTAATGAGAGCCAAAACCAGCAGAAATAAAAAAAAACTGGCAAACCAAACAAGAGCTTCATTTTGCTCTGTGATTGGATTATCTGCTTGAAAATTGTAAACATCAATATTTTGAACACCCTCGTCATTGTACATATTTATCAAGAATAACTCCACTTTGAATTCTTGTTCAGAAAAGGTCAGATATGATTTGTACATGTGATGAAAACAATACAAATCGTTTTAATGGAAATAATATTATGGACTCCATTACATGGACTTTGTACTAAAAGCATTTCTCCTGTACAACTGTATTCAAGTATTTCATATTATATATAGGCTGTTTGTGTGATATTTCAAATTGCAAATAAAGCTAAATTCAAGACTATGGCCCTGAATGGAAAAAAGATTTCATAATTTTACATATATAATTGTACGAATGTTTGCAACTTATGTGTCAGTTCAAACTTCATACCTGATTACAATACACTGGTCCCTTTTGGCATCCATCATGGTAGAATATGATAAGTTAGCAATGGCAAAAATATGGCTGGAAGATAAAAATAAACAATGTTAGATTAATCAAAGAAGAGTTGAAAAACATAGATAGAAAAAAAACATGTATTTCTTATTATCTATATATATTTTTATGTACTGTATTTCTGTTTTGCAAGACCTGTGGCTTTCCATCAAGATTAGTTAACTTTTTACAGTATGTACTTTATTTTTGTTTGATTTTTCATATAGAATGTAAACTAGACTCCAACATTCATATTGAAAAGCTGACTAACATACAGTTGTTGAAGTGGCAGTGAAATGCATAACCACACTCTCCCTGGAAACCAACCAACAGTGTAACCGGAGCTGCTCAGCAACACCTGAGAGTGCTGGCATTTACGCCCGTTTGCACCCCCGCTGTGGCTCCGGGAAGGGACAGCTCAAGGAATGGGCAGTTGTACTGACTTGAACCGGGGAGGCTGTGAGGGGTAGAAGGAGCACTTACGGAGGGTTGTCGCACAGCCCACGGCCCTCGTACAGCAGCACTATGTCTGTGCCGTACATGTTGATGAGCTTGTAAGGATTCACAGAGATGAGGATGCTGCCGATGTATGTCTGCGGGCCAAGAGAGGCAGGGTAAGCAAAGGAGTAACCAGGGCAATTGAAGGACAACTAATTGATGCTTACATATATAAGCTCCCGGTCAAAGCGCTTCTTCAGATTCATGAGCACAGTGGTGTCATTCAGCTCCCTGAAATCAAACCGAATGTAAAAGGTTCTAAAAAAAAAAAAATGATTTGAAGATTGTCCACTGTCCAGTACCCCTCCCAGGGATCGGGGAGAACTCCAACATGTGGCGGCCAAGATGGGGGGCAATGAGAATGGCCACCCCCTCTCAAGGAGTTGGGTTCCAGAGCCCAAGCTGTGTGTGAAGGTAAGGCCGACAATCTCTGGTCGGTATCTCTCAACCTCCCCCATGAGCTCGGGCTCCTCCCCCCCCAGTGAGGTGACGTTCCATGTCCCAAGAGCCAGATGTTGTGTGTGGACTGGGTCACCGACTGGGGACTCCATTATTCTCCTGGGGGACTTCAACGCCCATGTGGGAGATGCCAGTGACACTTGGAGAGGGGTGATCGGGAAGCACAGTCCCCTGGATCTGAACCCGAGCGTTGTTCAGTTATTGGACTTCTGTGCTAGCCACACTTTGTCGTTGTATCATCTGACCTTCGACCGCGTGTCTCGGACACTCTGGTGAAGAGAAGGGCGGAGCTGTCAACCGATCACCACCTGGTTGTGAGCTGGATCCGCTGGCAGGGGAGGAAGCCGGTCAGACTGGGAACGTCTCGCTGAGCTCCCTGTCAGACGGACCTTCAACTCACACCTCCGGGGGAGCTTCTCCCAGGTCCCGGCGGAGGAGGGGGACATCAAGTCTGAGTGGACCAAGTGGCAGTAAGGGATGCCGTCAGGCTGAAGAAGGAGTCCTATTGAGCCATAATGGTTCGTGGGACTCCTGAGACAGCTGTCCAGTACCGGCAGGCCAAGCGTGCCGCAGCCCGGGCTGTTGCAGAGACAAAAGCCCGGGACTGGGAGGAGTTCGGAGAGTCCATGGAGCGTGACTATCGGTCGGCCTCGAAGAGATTCTGGCAAACCATCCGGCGACTCAGGAGGGGGAAGCAGTTCTTTGCCAACACTGTGTACGGTGCGAGTGACGAACCTCAACTGCGGGTATTGTCGGGCGGTGGAAGGAATACTTTGAGGTTCTCCTCAATTCCCCCGTCACATCCTTTGTTCCGGAGGCAGAGACTGAGGAGGATGTTGGGGCAGACACTTCCATCTCCCAGGCTGAGGTCACCAAGGTGGTTGGCAGCCTCCTTGGTGGCAAGGCGCCGGGAGTGGATGAGATCCGTCCTGATTATCTAAAGTCTCTGGATGCTGTAGGACTGTCTTGGCTGACACGCCTCTGCAACATCACGTGGCGATTGGAGGCGGTCTCGCCCGCAACATTCACTTCTGTCGATTCTGTGCTCTTGTGGAATCTGACCTGCATGTTTAGACTTAGCTAGGACAAACATGAAACATTTGGAAGGAATAAGATTCAAAGAGTTTAAGGCCATGCAGACCTTGCTTGTATTTTGATTGTCTGTACTCAATAATTCAATAATGGTCTGGTGTCTCTGTTCTGACATATTTTTGGATCATTGCTAACCATTGTAGGTGAATGAAAATGCAGGTTATTGGACCTCTCAGGTCCCCAGTTTTATAGGATCTGTAGAGTACATATACAGTAAACAGAACAAGTTTATTACTTACGGTAGCTGTGTCATGTCCTCCATCCCCTCAGCCCAGCGCTTTGGTCTGTGACCAATTGTGGTCATGGTTAGGATGGAGTAAATCTAAAGACAGAAGACATAAGATTTTCCCATCAAGCATGTTAATATAATCATAATGCTTGTGTCAGACTGTACAACAAGGACTAAAGATCACTGCCATGTCAATGCAATGCAATATCCTTAACTAATATCAGAATGTGCGATATAGAATTACATGTCACTGTCACTTTACTGAGTCACTGTGTCCCAGAGCCACATGCTGCTAATGTACAGATGTAAACATACTGCTGCTAATGTACAGATGCTAACATATACAGTACATATTGCTTGCACTAGAATCCACAGTACTTTATATTTGTGTAATTAAATGTAAAAACATAATACTTCTTTATTATGTTAAAGGCAGAGATTTTATACTTGTTTCTTTGATGTGAGAGTTAGAGATTTTGTTTTAGTTTAATTATTGTTCACTTTTCTTGTGCTGTGTGCTCCTCATTCCTACTGCTCTGTCATTTTTGATGCAACGCTAAAATTTCCCCACTGTGGGACGAATAAACGCTCTCTTAATCTCTTTACATACAGATAGCACAGTGAACACAGTGGCATCACCATGCTGATGAACATTTAAATTAATAAATGTGGTAATCACTAGGTAAAATTACTTTTGTAGTATGTTTATACATAGAAACAAGTCAGTTGAAATGTATTATAATGCTATTTTAACCTGGAAAGACTGGTGAACTGCATCAGATTGCTTCATGGGTTACATCTTTGGGGACGAGACCCCACTGCCAACGTGCATGTTTAAAGTGGACATATCGTGTTTTCAAATAATTGATTTTTACATCTAAATCATTCATTTGTGGCCTATATAAAGCGTAACTGCAATGCCTGGGTCTGAGTCTCATTATTTGTAGCTCCACGGGCCTTTCGTCTACACCTGTTCTGAGGTGCGTCTGAGAGCAACCTGTTTTGGTGCTGTCTCTTTAAATGCAAATGAGGTGCTTTTGACCACGCCCCATTCAGGTGACACAGGTTCAACTCCACCCCGAGCGGCCATTTTTGTAGTTTCTAAGCACAGATACAATTATCTCATAGAAACTTCTCATTACATCGCAAACATGAAGCAGTCCTTCCTCATTGACTGAAAGCAAATGTTAATTTTCATTCTTAGTCCAGTCTTATTATTGACTCTTCTCTTTTTAGCTTTGGGATCCATGTGCACAGTCTATGATGCTCACACGCCGGTTTGTTTACAACAGCGGCCACCTGGCGCGGGCCTACGTCGCAGGGTATGACGCACTACGTTGACAGAAATGTTTACATTGAATATTACTATTAGTATTAGATAGCAATATGGCCTACGTAAAATCCTAACATTACTTATGCATAATTTTACAGCATTTAAAAACGTTAAGAACGTTTTTCCTTCTACAGAAGGAAAGAGACACATACGCCTCCGGAGCCGCAGGTTGCCGACTCCTAGTTTATACAGTATGTGGAAGCAAATACTGTAGAGGATCAGGATATGTGCAGTTTCAACAATAAAATAAAATGCAATAGTCTACATTACAAGAGAGTAATAAACATGTCTCAGAGTGAGGGAGGTGGACACAGACAACACTATTGTTTGTTACAGGGATGAGAATTGGTCAAAAAAAGACTGAAATGCATATTGTCAGCCATTTGCTGGATTCAAATCTGTTTAATTTGTTCACAACATATTACTTTTGGGCTCAAACATGAACTTTTAATGCAATGCAAAATGTAGGTATCAGAGCTTTATTTAGGGCGTTTAATCGCAGAGAGAGAGAGAATTTATTGGGTGCACAGATTACTCAAAGACACGCATGGTCCTGTGCACGTTTATGGGGTACATGGTCACGTTGAGGTTGCGCGCTCAGCCGCAACACGGTGGAGCGGCTGGACTCACAGCCGCTGGACGCGGAAGCTGCTCATTACAAAGCGGCCGCAGATGCCCCGGAACACTGCGGCCGCTGAGGTGGCGGAATCCCCTTCGAGTACATACAGCGGGTGCCCCGCGGATACGCGCGCCCCGCTCAAACAATTACAACGGATTTACACTTCTCACAAACATGTGTTTTGTATGAGGCAGACAGACCGGCCCAAATATGGGCATCGGCCCTTTGGGCATTGCCCGGTACGCCCGATGGCCAGTCCAGCCCTGTTCGCTGGCATCCTTGAGCTTGGACTACAAATTCGAAGTGATGCACAGTAAAGGGGGGCTGGGCCGAAGTGTTTTGTTAGACGCCCATGCCCTTATACAGCAGTCTCGCTGCAAATACTGTGACGTAATAATTCTAAACACGTAATAGAGAATGGCAAAATCAGAACGGGTTGAAAAATCGTGTTCTCTGCAACCCATGAAGAGACTGATTTCAACTTTTTTGCACTTCTAGAGGCTCCAACTACACAACATAAGGCATTTAAGGCACAAAAAGTGGATTTTTCATGATATGTCCCCTTTAAGACTCTTTCGCCACAGGTCAGAGATAATTCATGAAGTGAAAGCATAACAAATCATACAACATTGAATGTTCACACCTTAAATCCCCTAACCATTAAATAGAGGCCACCTGTGTGTAATCTACTCCCAGTATAATTACAGCATCATGAAATCCAAGCAGCACAACAGAGAAGTTTAAGTTGTGGAGAAATACAAATCACTTATACACACCCCATTATCCATGGATTCCACTGCAGATTTACCAAGACATGGCTGTCCACCTAAACTAACCAAGAGACCACTCATCAAAACGACAACCGTGTGCCCCCGAAAGACTCTGGAGGAGCTATGAATTACTGCAGCTGAGCTCAGGGAATCTGTACATGGGGCAAGTATTAGTCATACTCTGGCCTTCATGGGGTGTTTAATCGTTTAAACAAAGTAATAATGTCGTTTTATCAGTTTGCAACAAGTCATGGGGGGACAACTAGGAAGTTGTTTTGGCCCAAAATTACGTAATGTATGCAGCAAAACTAATACTGCTCATCCCCCTCAGGGCAACATCTGCAGTGTCAAGTATATCAATAGCACTTAGCAAAACACTTCAGGCTCGGGCAGATATTTACTTTCAAGGGAAATCACTGTAAACTTAAAGACAGAAAAAATAGTTACATATAATGTTTCATACCTAGATACAAATGCAAATCAATTGAAAGACCTGAAGACTGCTCTTCATATACACTTGTGAGCTAAAGTTCAGTTCTTGAGTTATTTTGAAATGTGAATGGGCAACAATTTAGTCTTCTATTCTTCACTTTCCACTGTGATTCCACAGAGTTCCACAAAGCATTTACTCATGTTGTATAAATACTTGTTCAAGCCACACTTTTCAGTTGTTTTAATGAACTAAATCATGCATGATTTTGATTAAATTTCAAACAGATGTATGACTTTCAACTCACACCTCCGGGAGAGTTTCTCCCAGGTCCCGGCGGAGGAGGGGGACATGGAGTCCGAGTGGACCATGTTCTCTGCCTCAATCGCCGATGCGGCGGCTCGTAGCTGTGGTCGCAAGGTCTCTGGTGCTGGTCCCGGCGGCAACCCCCGAACCCGGTGGTGGACTCCGGCAGTAAGGGATGCTGTCAGGCTGAAGAAGGAGTCCTATCGAGCCATGATGGTTCGGGGGACTCCTGAGGCAGCTGTCCAGTACCGGCAGGCCAAGCGTGCCGCGGCCCGGGCTGTTGCAGAGGCAAAAACCCGGGACTGGGAGGAGTTCGGAGAGTCCATGGAGCATGACTATCGGTCGGCCTCGAAGAGATTCTGGCAAACCATCCGACGCCTCAGGAGGGGGAAGCAGTTCTTTGCCAGCACCATGTACGGTGCGTGTGGAGAGCTGCTGACCTCGACTGGGGATATTGTCGGGCGGTGGAAGGAATACTTTGAGGTTCTCCTCAATCCCCCCGTCACGTCCTCCGTTACAGAGGCAGAGGCTGAGGATGTTGGGGCGGGTACATCCATCTCCCTGGCTGAGGTCACCAAGGTGGTTGGTAGCCTCCATGGTGGCAAGGCTCCGGGTGTGGATGAGATCCGCCCTGACTATCTAAAGTCTCTGGATGTTGTAGGACTGTCTAGGCTGACACGTCTCTGCAACATCGCGTGGCGATCGGGGGCAGTGCCAATGGAGTGGCAGACCGGGGTGGTGGTCCCTCTCTACAAGAAGGGGGACCGGAGGGTGTGTTCCAATTATCGTGGGATCACACTCCTCAGCCTCCCCGGTAAGGTCTACTCCAAGGTACTGGAGAGGAGGTTACGGCCGATGGTCGAATCTCGGATCCAGGAGGAGCAGTGTGGGTTTTCGTCCCGGTCGCGGAACACTGGACCAGCTCTATACTCTCCATCGGATACTCGAGGGTTCATGGGAGTTCGCCCAACCTGTCCACATGTGCTTTGTGGATTTGGAGAAGGCGTTTGACTGTGTTCCCCGGGGTGTCCTTTGGGGGGTTCTCTCGGGAGTACGGGGTCGGAGGTCCTCTGCTGAGGGCCATCCGATCCCTGTATGACCGGAGCCAGAGCTGTGTTCGCATTGCCGGCAGTAAGTCAGACCTGTTCCCGGTGAATGTTGGCCTCCGACAGGGCTGCCCTTTGTCACCGGTTCTGTTCACTGTATTTATGGACAGAATATCTAGGCGCAGCCAGGGGTCGGAGGGGGTCCGGTTCGGAGACCACAGGATTTCATCTCTGCTGTTTGCGGACGATGTTGTCCTGTTGGCTCCAACGAACCAGGACCTGCAGCATGCACTGGGGCGGTTTGCAGCCGAGTGTGAAGCGGCTGGGATGAGAATCAGCACCTCCAAATCCGAGGCCATGGTGCTTGACCGGAAAAAGGTGCCTTGCCCTCTGCAGGTGGGTGGAGAGGTCCTTCCTCAAGTGGAGGAGTTCAAGTATCTCGGGGTCTTGTTCACGAGTGAGGGAAGAATGGAGCGTGAGATTGACAGGCGGACCGGTGCAGCGTGCGCAGTTATGCGGTCGCTGTATCGGACCGTTGTGGTGAAGAGGGAGCTGAGCCGAAAGGCAAAGCTCTCGATTTACCGGTCAATCTTCGTTCCCTCCCTCACCTATGGTCATGAGCTTTGGGTAATGACCGAAAGAACGAGATCGCGGATACAAGCGGTCGAAATACAAGCTTCCTCCGCAGAGTGGCTGGGCGCTCCCTTAGAGATAGGGTGAGGAGCTCAGTCACACGGGAGGAGCTCGGAGTAGAGCCGCTGCTTCTCCACGTCGAGAGGAACCAGTTGAGGTGGCTCGGGCATCTGTTCCGGATGCCTCCTGGACGCCTCCCTGGGGAGGTGTTCCGGGCATGTCCCACCGGGAGGAGGCCCCGCGGAATACCTAGGACACGCTGGAGGGACTATGTCTCTCAGCTGGCCTGGGAACGCCTTGGGGTCCCCCCGGATGAGCTGGAGGAAGTGTGTGTGGATAGGGAAGTCTGGGCGTCTCTGCTTAGACTGCTGCCCCCGCGACCCGGCAACGGATAAAGCGGAAGAAAATGGATGGATGGATGGATGGATGTATGTTACTTTGTAGTAAGTAATGTTAGTGACGAATAATAGAAAATGTATCAGTACTTATGAGCAACTGTATGTCTTGCAGTGTAGTGAAACTGAAACACACCTTGTCATACCAGCTTTTACCGGGCATCTTCTCTCTCTCTGGGGCCCATTCTGCGTCTTCAGGGGCTCCGTCGGCCCTGAGCGTGGGGGTGTAGCCGTCTAAAATACCCGCATCTCGGTACATAGACCACTTAGACAGATTCTGAAGTGTCCCGTGTGGCAGGACCCTCTCGGCCGCCCACACGTCCTCCCCTCCCTCCCCTCCACCTCGAGCATTCCGGGCCCAGTGGCCAGAACGTGGCCCGTAGGGGGGTACCACTGCGTATTGATTGTCCTCCCCGTACAAGGCCGTTGGCACTCGGTATGAGGCGTAACGTAGCTGCTGGTTAGCAATGGCGTCAGACAAATTGGGATTGTGGAAGCGACGTGTGAGAAGGGAATCGTCTGCTAACCTGCCGGGAGAGAAGTCATAAGCATTTTGAGTGGTGTAATAAGAGGCAAAATATATTCAAGCAATATAATAACTGTTTATATTGTTTCCCTAGTGGATTGAAGTAGAGTACATGACTTTTAAAAATATAATATTTATTTATTGAAATTATATTTATTCTGCAAATTTCTAAGAAATAACGGTGGTTAAGGTAATTTCACTTTTCTGTCCTAAAAATCTCTACATTCAAAAACAGTGGGTGTGTATCTGAAAGCTTTTGAAGAACTAGAAGAAGCAATGACATTTTGGTTGTAATAATAACAATAACAAGGCCCTGCTTAGCTTTTGAGATCTGACGGGATCATACCCTTTATGTAAAAAGAAGAAAAAGAAAAACTTGCAAAACTTAGCAACAGCAATGAAAAAAATAATTGTCCATTGCCATTGAATCATCCATATATAACAAATTCATAAAAGATACATGAAAAACAGTGCCCTTTTATGGACGTAGGTAGAGTAAGTAAGTAAGTAATCTTTATTTATATACCGCCTTTCACAGACCAGAGTCACAAAGCGGTTTACAATAGAGACACACCTGAACTTGATGCCACGCATGCCGTCCGCCTGCAGGGCTTTGGAGAGGTTGGGAGGGATAGGGTTGGGGATCCCTGACAGAATGGAGGAGTCTGACAGCTGATACAGGCCAGTGGATCGGAGCGGCCGGTTCTGACGAAGGGCGAATGACAGGTTGGGCTTCTGACCGGGGATATGCAGAGTCCCATCTGGAACATTGTACCTTGCTTTACGCATCTGCTCATTGAGGAGAGCCTGAGGAGAAGGTGTAATAGTACATGTCAAAGTCAAAGTTGTAGGCATGGAATATTCTGTAAACATAATAAAAGTAGAAGAAAGGCACTAACATTAGAAAGGTTAGGTCCCACAGGTTTGCGTGGGTCTATGATGATGGTTCCGTCTGGCAGGGTGTAGGAAGCACTTTTAAGGTAAGGGTTCTGCAGAGCAGCTCTCAGGTTTGGTGTTTTGGGTTTGTTTGGATCAACAATGTAGGTGCCATCTGAAAGTTGGTAAGTTGCTCCTCGCAAGGCTGGGTTGTTGAGGGCCTACACAAAATGTTTGAGTTAGAGGTCAACTCGACATCAAACAACATTTATGGACTTTATCAATAAATATGGACATGGGTCATCCAAAAAAAATCACCAGGTTGTGAGAACCTATGGTGGATAGATAACTATGGCCTACGTAGGTGGACAAACACAAGACAAAATATCTGGCCCTCACAGACACAAGGTCCCATCGTTATGACTATAATATGCTCTGATTGTCTCTTGATGCGACGGGAGGAGGCCCCGGGGAAGACCCAGGACACGCTGGAGGGACTATGTCTCTCAGCTGGCCTGGGAACGCCTTGGGGTCCCCCCGGACGAGCTGGAGGAAGTGTGTGTAGATAGGGAAGTCTGGGCGTCTCTGCTTAGACTGCTGCCCCCGCGACCCGGCAACGGATGAAGCGGAAGAAAATGGATGGATGGATGGATGTCTCTTGATGCGACACGTATGTCTTTCTGTGTGTGACGTATCTGTGACGTAACAATGACTATATAAACCATGTCCTAACTTTGTTCTGTCTGGAAAGACTGAAACAACTGAAACCTGAAGGAAACTGAATAAAGTTCCAGGAGCTCTGGTGTGCCACGATCCCGTCTCTGTGTGCTATCTATCCACCATAAACCTTTCAACATTGCACTTTATGTCATTTCTCTTTGCATCATATTGAGTTACTGAGTGCAGATAATCCTCCTTAAAACCGCTTCATCAGCACAAAAGGTTATCATTAAAATATGTCTATAAAAGTATACATTCTGTCAGGTTATGCACACGTATCAGCGCAATATTACATTATATAGTTTTATTCAAGCTGACCAAAACAAGAACCATACTAGCGGAAAACAATTATTTATATTATCTCTACACACATTTACATCGAGACAATAGTAAAAATATTTCTTCAACATGCCCAACCAGACTCACCTTAGCCAGGTTTGGTGACACAGGGACATTGGGATCCTTGACACCCTCTGGGAGAGAATATGAGGCGTTGCGAAGAGCGGAGTTCTGCAGCGCGGCAGACAGGTTGGGTGAAACAGGCTTCCGTGGGTCAATGATGATGGTTCCGTCGGGCAGAGTGTACGAGGCACCTCTGAGGTAAGGGTTGTTGAGAGCTGCCGACAGGTTTGGGCTCTTTGGCTGGTTTGGGTCAATCACAATTGTACCATCAGGAAGAGAGTAAGAAGCTCTACGCAGGGCTGGGTTACTGAGTGCTTTAGCAAGATCTGGGGAAATTGGCTGCTGCAAATACAAAAAAAACAAAAGGACACAAAAAACCTCAAATGTTAGATTGAACTCATGTGGCATATTCCTGATATTTTGAAGAGTAGTTCCGCACTTGCTGTCTGGGGTCGACAATAGTGCCATCAGGGAGAGTGTATGTGGCACTTCGAAGATCCTGATTCATAAGTGCTCGGGAAAGATTGGGGGATGTGGGTCTCCGTGGGTCCTGTAACGACAACAATACATAAAAATACCTGTACGTCTACAGTGCCAGATCACAAAAAAAGTAGTTTGGCATGTGATGAGAATGAAATAGAGCATCGGAGGAAGTTCTAAACAGCATTCATATGTTTTTGACTTAGAAATACAACTTTAAGTCAACCTGAATATGAATATACTTTGCTGATAGAAGAACTGTAACTTGAGCAATATCCCTTCCTCTTTGCTACTTTATTTGTCATCCTTATGACAGCTATACTTTGACTGATTGAGTTGAATTCATATTGAGGTTAGTCGTTCCACTAAACTCTCAAGATCTTTACATTTAAAATAGGATTAATATTTGACTAATTCATTTCTGCTTCATGGTAATGTATGTCATGTCATTTTAAATGTTCTTCACAAACTTCAGCTTTATTGGTGTATAACAATCATTTAAAAAAGGTTTCATTCCACCTGAATAAGTCAAAATAAAAAATAAACATAACTATAAATATTATATGTCAATAGGTACAGATGTCTGAAACAATGGTTTTTAACAACCTGTCGAGGATTTTGAATGATTGATGGTGCAAGTCCTTTGGCAGTCTTTTCCATAGTAGTTGTATATTGAGATGATTTAGGAATTGAATAGTCTCTCTACACAGGAAATTCTGAAATATTTTAGAACTATAATTCTAAAATATAACAACTGTTGTCTAAACTATGACTACATTATGATGAAACTACATATTATCATAATGCAATACAGTGTTTTATATCAAAAAGAGAAAAACATCATATTTTAAAGATAACTTGCAGGTGAGCAATTGAACCCTTTTGTTACCAAAATTGGCATAAAGTCCATGGGCTCAGGTTCTCTGCCCCATTTTAACCCAGGTACTTACAATAAAATTTAAGTTTACATATCACAATGAGAGTACCTCCAAATCTAGACTATACTAAAACTCAAAATATGCTCTTACCCGTATTATTGATCCATCTGGCAGAGTAAAGGAAGCTCCTCTTAGTTGTTGATTTTGTAATGCACTACCAAGCATAGGTGAGGTCCTGGGGTCTGCATAAGGGGACATCAGTGTCCCACCTGGCAGTCTATAGGATGACTGCATCATCTGTCGGTTTTGCAAAGCTGAGCCTAACATAGGTGAGGCGGGTGCATATGGTGATCTGAATTGTATTGGTGAGTTAAAAGATGCTTGACGAAGGTGGGGGTTCTGCTGTAACGCTCTGTTTAGCTGAGGAGTAGCAGGAGCATAGGAGGTCCGTCGTTGCATCATTGGCGATCTCAGACTGGAGACACCTTGTAACCCTGACCTGTTCTGAAGGGCATCATGGAGCATTGGGGCAGGCCCAGGTTCAGTTATATCACCATATGGCCCTATCACCGTGGGTCCGTAGGGTGACTGCATGCCAGAAATTTGATAAGAAGACACTCCTCTTAATGCCTGTCCATGTCTCATGGCTCCAGAAAGCATTGGGGATGAAGGCACTGAGGCATATGGTGATATAGGCCTCTGAAGAGGAGACGCAAAAGACGCTCCTCGTATGGCCTGATTCTGTAGGGCCCCTGACAGCATAGGCGAAGATGGAGCCATAGGTTGCTGGTAAGGTGACATTGGGGAAACAAATGATGCATTCATCAGAGCCTGGTTCTGTAGGGCCCCTGAGAGCATGGGTGAAGATGGAGCCATAGGTTGCTGGTAAGGTGACATTGGGGAAACAAATGATGCATCTCTCAGAGCCTGATTCTGTAGGGCCCCTGACAGCATAGGCGAAGATGGAGCCATAGGTTGCTGGTAAGGTGACATGGGGGAAACAAATGATGCATCTCTCAGAGCCTGATTCTGTAGGGCCCCTGAGAGCATGGGTGAAGATGGAGCCATAGGTTGCTGGTAAGGTGACATTGGGGAAACAAATGATGCATCCATCAGAGCCTGGTTCTGTAGGGCCCCTGACAGCATAGGCGAAGATGGAGCCATAGGTTGCTGGTAAGGTGACATCGGGGAAGCATACGATGCATCTCTCAGAGCCTGATTCTGTAGAGCCCCTGACAGCATAGGCGAAGATGGAGCCATAGGTTGCTCATAAGGTGAACCTGGTCTTTGTAAAGGAGAAACAAAGGATGCATCATGAATCATTTGGTTTTGCATAGCACCAGAAAGCATCGGGGAAGCCGGAGCCATGTACTGCTGCATTGGATCGGAGTATGAATCTGCATACATTCCAGGCATCTGAGGTTCTGGTGCAAAAATAGGTGGGTGTGGGGACATGATAGGGGACGGGGGGTGAGAATACCTTGGTGAAAATCTTGGGGATGCTGGGTGTGACATGTGTTTAAGTGAAAGCTGCGGAGATGGAGGGGGCATACTCCTCATAGACTGTTGAGCCATTAATGGGCGCCCTCTAGCTATTGGGCGATGAGGAAGACGACCTGATTCCCTTCTAACAAATGGGCCGCGATGTATCATGGGAGGGGAGTGAAAAGGGGAGGAGTGGAGAGAGGAGTCTATGGTGAGAACAGAAGACCTGTTACTGTGAATGGAGGAGTTACGGAATGGACGTACATTTTGTGTTGGTGGGGGCACAGGGCGACCTCTGAGACCCATGGGAGATGGTCGCACTGTTCCAAGAGGTACACCCATTCTTGGCCTGGCTAATGGAGTAGGGTCCCTGAGTAAACGTGTTGAGCGGCGAGAGAGGGTAGGGGATCCCCTAGGCCGTGGTCCAGTGGGGGAGACGCTGCGATAGGTTGGGGAAGGGGAGGGAGAAAGCCTTCTGCTAAGAGTGGGTGATACAGGTGGCGATCGACGTGTCGGGGAATGTGGCCGTGCAGGGGCCTCAAATCTCCCACCTCCCAACGGGCTACGAGCAGAACTGGGTGCAGGAGGAGGACTTTGTCGCCTCATGGAAGCACGGGGTGAACCAGGCGGGGACCGGCGGCGCATAGAAGCCCTTGGTGAACCAGGAGGACTGCGACGAAGCATTGAGGTCCGTGGAGAGCGTGGGGGGGATGGGGGCCGTGCCATGGGAGGAGGTGATCTCTGAGGGGACATTCGTCGACGGGCAAGGGGAGAAGATCGTGGTGAAGGAGGTGGCGACACATGTCTCGACATCACTGAGGGTGGCCTTTGAGCACCCATGAAGCCACCTCTCATTGAAGGGTGTGGAGAAGACATCTGTCTCGGAGTCATCATGGGGGACCCAGGCATGGCCATGGGATGTCGTTGCATCTGAGGAGAGGGCATCATCACAGAGCGCCGAGATGGTGTGGGGGAGGCCTGCATTCTGCGTGCAGGTAGAGGAGTCATGCCTGCCTGCTTGATGAGCATCGCAGAAGGAGTGGGTATTGAAGGTGGTCCGTAACCCTGATCCTGGGACATAATCATCATCTGGTCTGCCATCATTTGCTGAGAACAAAATAAGACAAAGTAATAATTTGCATGTTATGTTAAAACAGTGGACACACACCCACACACACAAGTACTCGTGATATACAGGTATATACACACACAGAGTCAATATATAAATATACAGAACACTCATTGTCATACCTGTGGTGACATCATTAGCGGTTGAGGGGACATCATCTGTTGGGGTATCATTTGTTGCTGTGGTAACATCATTTGTGGTTGGGGAGACATTGCTTGCATCATTTGGGCCGACATTCCAGGGTCTTGTAACATTGGTTGCTGCTGTGGTGACATCATTTGTGGTTGGGGAGACATTGCTTGCATCATTTGGGCTGACATTCCGGGATCTTGTAACATTGGTTGTTGCTGTGGCATCATCATTTGAGGTTGTGGCGACATAGCCGGTGAATATGTCATTGCAGACATGCCCATTAGCTGCTGCTGATCAAGCATCATTTCCTGCTGAGGTGACAGACTCTGTGGGGGCATCATCATGCTCTCTTGAGCTGCCATCATTTCTGCTTGTTGCTGTTGCTGCATCATCTGATTCTGTTGCTCCATCATCATCATCTGTTCTTGTTGAGCTAACATCATCTGATCTTGTGGAGACATCATTTGTTGCTGTGGTAGACCAATTTGGGGAACAGACAACATTCCACTAGGGACCAGACCGGGCCCAGAAGAAATGTAATCTTCATATTGTATCTCTGACATTCCTTCGAACTCAGGGTCTGGGGGGAGGGTAGGTGGTGGTGGGAGCGGTACATCCAGACGTTCTTTACCAAAAAGTCGAACTTGCGGCCTTGGAACTCGAAAAGTGATATCTCCCCCCTCCATGCCCCCCATGTTGTTCACAAATTGATCTGGTTGGTTTGCAAATTGATCTCCATAGAGGGCCTGAGTTTGGTCCATCATTCTTTGACCTGGAAATCCTAGACCCTGTCCTCCTAGCATTCCCATAGCCTGTTGAGAGCTAAAGTCTTGGTAGGGCATTCCTGGTTGGCTATAGTTTAGCTGGAAGTCAGTTGGAAGCCCCGCCTGCATTTGCATTTGTGCGTAAGGATTTTGTAGAGCGACCTGCCCTGTATCATAGTATCCAGCTTGGCCGTCCCCCACATAACCAACTTGTGTCATTTCACCTGGATAAACTTGCATCATAGGATCCATGTAGCCATCAAGCCCGCTTGCGTACATGGGATTTTCTCCCATCATGGCATAGTAGTCAAGAGCTTCATCACCATACGCACCCATCGCTTGTTGCTGATATCCGTAATAATTGGCTTCCTGTTCATAGTAATCCGCGGTGGAATCGTAGGGGTTATAATAATTGTCCATTCCATTCTCATAAACACCTCCTTCATAATATTCGGCGTTAGGATCATACTGCCCATCATCCTCATAATAACCTAAGTCCTGATAGTCAGCTCCGTCTACTCCGCCATTGTAGTAACCATATTGATCCTGATAATGACCTTGATCAGCATGATGACTTGCATGGCCTCCGTATGCAGCCGCCTCCTCTCCGTAACCTCCATAGCCATCATCATATGCAGCGTAACCATTAGGATGACCTGCATATCGTGGATCACCATAAGCTTCATCGCCATAGTCATAACCATCGTTTTGATATCCGTGCATGTGCCCTCTGCGACTTTGCCCTCTTTGGCCACCATGACCTTGCTGCCCCTTGCGGCCCCTCATTTTACTAGACAAAAAGCGATTGGTCAACCAGTTGGTAGCTGCGGCAACCCTGCCCAGCAATTTGCTTCGGTTCTTAAGACCAGCGGCATCTTTCTTCCCAAACATCCCTTTGAAAAAGCCGCTTTTCTGATCCGAGTTTCCGCCTAAACGTAGCAGCATATATGTTGGTTTGTTGCCACCATTGGCTGCAGCCTTCTCTTTGTCCTCTTTCTCTTTTTTCTTCTTTTTGCTTGCTTTGAATCGACCCATTAATCGAGAGGTATGTTTGAGCATGGACTTGCGACGTTTTCTTCTTTGCTGACTTAATACGATTTTTTCTTTTCCCTAACCCAAGGAATAAGCGGGACGTACTCTTTAACTTCTTCCTGCTGGTCCTCCGCCTTTTGAAACCAGAAAATTTCATGAACATCCTGGACATGTTTTTAAGGCCTTTCTTGTGCATTTCCTTTATTGGTGCAGCAGAAATATCCTTCTTTTTCTTCTTCTTTCCATCTGCATCTTTCCCACCTTTGGCTTTCTTTTTGGATTTGTGGTCGTCCTCATCTTCATCTTCATCGTCGTCCTCATCTTCATCTTCATCCTCATCAGAGTCATCCCCTCGTCTCCTACCGCCCTTCTTTCCTTTGTCGCCCTTTCCCCCTTTGCCTTTCCTGCGCTTGTCGTCCTCTGAGTCCTCATCTTCATCACTTTCTTCTTCCTCCTCACTTAGTAGCTCCTCAGACTCCTCCTCAGATTCCACCTTCTTTCCTTTCCCTTTGTCCTTTCCTTTCTTTCCGTCATCCTTGCCTTTAGGGGGAGGCTCCTCTTTTCCCTTCTTTCCTCCTTTCTTGTCATCCTTTCCTGCCTTTTTGTCATCTTTCTTGTCGTCTTTTCCCTTCTTGTCATCTTTTCCCCCCTTTTTGTCATCTTTTCCTTTTTTCTCCTCCTCCTTCTTTTTTTCTGGTTCGGGTTTTCCTTTCTTAGCATCCTTTTTGTTGTCTTTCTTTCCAGGCATGTTGATGCGTATTCAGCGGCGCAGCATGCCCTCCTAGCTGGTTAGAAAGATGATACCTACAAACACAAACAGAAAATGTTGTTAAAAGTTGATTTTCACAGAAAAAAAAATATGCAAAAGAGTGATAGCACTCATGAACTTGACGCAAATCCAGATTTTACATTTCAACCCAGCTGAGACTTGCACCTAGAAAAGACTAGACCCGGGTGTACGTTGAAATGAAAATATGTCAAAAAAGACATAACAGTACATACATGAAATTAAGTATTTGATTACAGTGTTTATAATGTTATTTCATTGATGATTATTTCTTCTTTGAAAAGAACACTACTGATCTGTATTTTATCATTGATGTCAAATTTTTGGAAAAGGGGATTATAATATACACACTATACGCTAATATTCCATATACGTACGTCGCCTGTCTTAATTGAGAATGTTTTGTAAGTTATAATTTCCTATAATCATTCAGTTATTGAAGCTTTACCATCAAACAAGTTAATTCCGCCAAACGGCCACGATCACATTGGCAACTTCTTGATTGCTAAAAATTATTTCAAATCCTTATCATTGGATAAACTATTCACCTATAGCTAATCTTACTGGTTGTAGTTTTGGAAACTATTTCAAATATATTATAGTTGTAAAAGACTTAAGCCTAGTGTATACTTGCGCGGTGTGGCTTACGTTAGCGGTTGCGGTGGACCTACGTAAGCACAATTGATGTTATACTGGCGCGTTCCCCTTACGGAGTTTTGAGGAGAATGTTGTAATCCCACAACTAACCACATGAGGGCGATCACACAGGAGTGGTCCCATTTACGCTGCTACTTTGTCCTCTTCAGAACAACAATAGCAAACAAAGCTGTTTGAGCTCATCACACGTGTTTCTACTGTAGGTTTATGTGATAGTTTTATGGATTCATTATTTTATAAGTCATTTCAACTGTGATGCTGTGAATAAAGACACAGTTCTTGTTTGAAACATGCTAACACTTCCCTCACCGAACATTTATTCTTTAAATGTTTTGAACAAAAAATGTTTACAGTTATATGGAATAATAAGCCAGTCAAAATTAAAAGACAATATATGTTACAACTCGCCTGAAAAAGGTGGATTAATCTTAAAAAATCTAGAAACATGAATGAATCTTCTGTAAAGCCTCCTGGATTCATAAATTGTATCACAACCCTAATTGGGATATCTAGTCAAATGCTAACTAAAAGCCATCACCCAAATTTTCAGAGTAAATTATATCCATTTTTTCCAGATTAAAGCCAATCATATTAAACCAATAATAGAATTTGAACTGATAATATCTTCACATTCTTTCAAGATGCATTCAAGGCATGGCTGAGCTTTCAAGCCTTTCGTGTTTGCCACGAGTGAGATGCAACAAATTCTTAATGGACAAGATAAACCAACATAATGTACAATATATATGTTTGTATTGTCTGGAACAGCCTTCTACCCCTCACCACAGAATCTGCACTGCATGGGAATATGAATTTAATTGTCCGGTTTTATGGAAACCCATTTTTCCAAATATATACAAAACTGCCATAGACTTCTTACTCTAAAGTTTTCCAAATAAAGCTATTCTATAAAAATTACAGCAACTAGAAAACACCTGAAATTTATGTAAGATCATTAAAAGCCCCATGTGTAGATTCTGTGAAAGAGGAGAGGAAGACCAATGCATCTATTTATTTTGCCCCATATGTTTTCATTATTTTGACAATGGACCAAAGATGCGTGTTGTGGATTAGGATCGGAGATTGACATCAATCCCATTAATATAATGTTGAATCTTGGACAGCAACTCAACGAATGTAGAGAATGTAATCATCCTGATGGGTAAAATTGTTCTCTTTAAATGTAAAACCAATGCTGAAACTCTGTTTGAATAACTTTAAAAATTTAACTGAAACAACAATATGCAATGGACAAAATAATAAGCGTCAACACAAAAAGGATAATTGTGCACAAAAAAAAATGGAAGATGTTGAAAGGGGACTGTGTCCCAATAAAAATGGCAAGTGAGAAGAATGGAAAAGTGATGAAGCCTCGGGGACTTAGTGTGTGTTTGGTTTGTTTTTCTTATTTTGTTGTATGTTATTTAGTTATTTGATATATATAGATATATTTTTTTGTCTAGCCTGTTTAGTTATGTACTGGCGAATACTTTCGCCAAGGCACTGTATAAAGAAATGATTGTATATGTTCCCCTTTTGAGTTTTAAACTTGGTATCCCCAGCTTAAATAAGCCCAAACTACAGCAGAAGATATAGCTTGAACATGTTTGGGTGCAGTACCTTCTTGGAGGACGTTCCGCAGTGTCACCCTCTCCCTGCAGGATAGCGAAGTCTTTCAACTTTGGCTTTGGGCTTCAGTCAAGTAACAGGCTGAGGGTGGGAGGGGTTTTGGGTGGGGTTTAGGTCGTTCTTCTCGATGCGAAGAGACGGGAAACCTGCGCAAGGACTGTATTTAGATTCACAAATATAAATACACCTGGTTCCTCGGTTTATTATGGGGTTTACCTTTTTGGAAAATAAGTGAATTAGGTGAAAGTAGCACTCATGTGTTTAAAGGCTGTATAAACCCCCACACACACTTTTCTAACCACCTGAACTCACGACTGCGGGAAAATCACAACCTGTTGGCTGTGGGCCTGAACCTGCTGCAGCTGTCAAAAGACGAGCATATACTGTAAAAAACAACAGCTGGCAGAGGACCTGCACTGGGGGGCAGCAGCAGCAACACGGGAAGACTGCGGTAGTCTCTAAACTAATCACAATCACTAATCACAGCGCGCAGAGACAAAAGAATGACCAAAGAAAGACCAGAGAAGACAAATACGCAAAGACCAAAAGAGACCAAAAGGCAGAGCCTTTGAACTAATCACCATTGGCACAAGTCAAAACGTTTTCTTGTACTTTTAAATAAAAGGTAAATGTCCCGTTATACTAGCGTTTATAAGATGTTGTGGGAGTATAAACGCAGTGCATGTGTAACATAAAAAGACCGCAATAAGTGAACCGCGTTATAGTGAGGGTATATCTGTACTGCAGTGTTCATTCTAAATGGCATATTTTCTTTTAAACAGAGTAGTCGCAGACAGTTAATACGAAATACATTAAATTCAATTGTATACAAGTTTAAAAGATATCAATAATGTTAGTTAAACTATAAGAGGACCAAATTCAAATAACTTTCAGCCTTTAACAAGAAACCGGCTTCTTGCTTCAACCAAAGACGATCCCGTAATGACAGTGGGGCTATTACGTAAATAAAGACTTTGCAAAAGTCCATGTTGGTGAAAGTTCCCCACAGTGTAACTTACAAAGGAAAAAAAACAGAGACTGTGTAAAGACATTTTTCTAATTTGGGCTTCATCCAATCATCATGGAACGAATAAAATGGCCTTTCTATATATGGGGTCAAAATACACACAACAGGAGAACATATATGGCCTGAGAGCAATGGACCATTTATTAAAAACAGCAGTGTAGGTCGCCCCCTGTGTGGTTGAGAAAGGTACAAAATAATTTGGGAATGAAATTTTAAACATTTTTACACTCAGTAAAGTCAAAAACAACCGTGTTTCATTTCTGAATGTATCTAATGGTAAATTTCTAAATAAAATATAAAGTGAACAAAATTGAAAAGACGACAGAAAATTTTGTTAAACAAGCAGAGATAAACGACTTGAATAGAGGAACAAACATTACAAAAATATATATATATATAGATTTATAACATTTTCCATAGAACAACTTCAATTAACACAAGATGAACTATTAGAAGCAGTGAATGGGTAAAATCTGAGGTACATAACTTTTTCCATGTTTTATCTGAACAGAAATAGTTTTTAAATTTTGTAAAATTAGAAGTGTAGTGACTCATGATGCTTTGGGGTTGAGAATTTTTTTGTGATATAAAACGAACGCTTTAATTAAAATATTTTCTAATAAGACAAAAGTCATATATCATAATTAGGGGATTCCACTATGAACCCGCTAATTAAGAACGTATTGAGACAAAAAATATTGTGTACTTTTCCTTCTTATTTTTTTTTTTTTAAATAAAAAAAAAAAAATACCTGGTTTGAATCCGGATAACTACGTCCGATGCTCTCAAAAAACTGTTTATCACATGCATGTATGCGAGCCTTTAGCCAGTTTAGAGACCTAGCATCTGATCCAACCCGGCCTCTTCCTCCCTCAGCCAATCACTCACAGCTTGTCAGAGATAATGCTAAACACCCACTGCGAGATTTCTGTGGTCTTCAGTTTTATATTATTTTACAATAGCTTTTTATGTATGTATAAGTTTAATTGCCTTCCATAGTCCATAGTTTTTAAATGTTTCTTTTTTTTTTTGTATTTATGTTTTGATTACACATAAAGCTGGCAGGCCAGTATACTACTAAATGTGCTATAATAAAAAACGTGGATTGGGAACAAAAATATTTATTTAAGTTTATAGCCTTAAAAAAAACTTCAGCAGACATCAGAGTAACAGGGCTGAAAGTCTACAACTGTACGCTGAACTAACAACCAGTTCCTGGAAACACCTAGACAAGTTCAGATTCATTCTAACAAACGAAATATAATAATTACTTACAAAGACAAAATTCAGGAACCACACAGCCTGAATGGATGAATGCCCCCTGGCCTATTACAGCTGCTACTGAACAATCTACTTTTCTCTGCTAATAAAGTATCTATTTTTTAACCTATGAATGTAGGAATGTATTTATCCACATGCAAAGGCTTAAAGCAGACTGGTATTTCCTTTCGGAGACCTGACTACTACACATACTTTTTTTTGGAGGTTCGTGGGGGGACAAAAACCCGGGGTTTTGGAAGGAGGGAGGCGGCAAGCTGAGGAATGGTGTGGAGCCAGGGTGATTATCTGATTGAAGAGGATGAAGGGAGATGAGACAGGGTGTATTAAAAAGAGGCGTGATGAGGCAGAAAAATATAAATCACAATTGGGCCCAGACAGACATACAAAAGGCAAGAGGGGGTTAAACGAATGCACAGGTGTTACATGTCCTATCCACAAAGGGGGCTAGCCGGAAATATTGGAAAACACATCTCATGCTCCGTCAGAGGACATGGAAGTGGTGGTAGCCATTTTGGTAAGTAAAAAACTAAGATAACTGTATCAGAAACTAACAACAAAAGCAGGACACATACAATATGGCTTAAACTGAAGTAAACTAGGATGACAATTACATTACACATTTCATATAGTGGAGGCTGGGTGACCAAATTTGATACATTATAATTGTATCAAAGATGTATTTCACTATTTTGTGTCCCAGTTCGGCATCATCATCATTTTTGACAATACGAGATGCATATTTTCTTCATCATGTTTTATCCTATTCAGAAAAGACTTTTGAAATGGCCAAGAGCCTAAGAGGGGTATGCAGTGGTGTAACAGGGAGGCTACTAAATACATTTTCAAAACTTCCAATACAGAAAAAAAGTTATATGGGGCTACTATGCGTGGTCGCTCTATCATACATTTATTAAATTCTGAACATTGAGCTAGAACACAATAATAATAATAAGTAATTGGGGCAATAGCATGACTTTTGAGCCTTGACCTGAACTAATTGTGTTCAAATTCAAATCTAAAATTCAGCTTAACTAAAACATACCTAAATAATAACCATACAATTGAATTACAAATAATCAAAAATGCAAATGAGAGTATAAGCAGACGTTACCGAAAGGATGGACCCCAACAGAGACCCTTGATATACATAAAGCCTAATAGTAGTGCCCCAGACCAGAAGATTTGACCCTTTGAAGGGTACATCAGACAACTTTCCCCCCCTTAACGATAAAGCTACATTAAGAGATTCCTTCCATTATCCTGCCAGTGTTGTAAATTTCATGTTGCATCACAAGTTACAGAACATCCGGAAGCACACAACACAACATAATTTAGTACCGGTAACTCGTTGCCCAATAACAATGGCGAGGGGGTATACAGTCATAGAACGCTTGGTAAAGTCTCTGCCATAAGTGTCAGACATGAGCCCTGATAGCCATCCGAGCACTGCCCCAATGTTCTCATTTGGAGAAAAACAAAAAAACTACACTAGATACACGATTAAATCACAAGATTGTCAAAAGATGCCTTGTCAGATTAAGTGGAGAGAGCAGGGACCTTGTCTTAGATTCACAAGAAAAATCAAATGGATGATTTGATACAAAATCAACTTATGTTTATAACAAACATCACACAGAGAGACACAAAACACCATCAACAATCCGAGTTGTTTGTTTAAATATTTTGTTTTATACGGACCTTAGAGCATCTGAATATAATAATTTAAAAATTGATTGAAAGTTATGTCATGTTTTTTTTCCCAGATTTTTCTCACAAATCTAATATTCAGGAGATCCTGATCTGAGAGAGAGGGGAGCAAAAATGTACATATTTTTGGTGGTGGGGGAAACTGGAGCAATCCCAGAGCAAACTTACGCATACACGAGGAGACCATGCAAACTCCACTCAGAAAAGCTCCTTCTGAAGGTGGCAATTGAACCCATAACCTTCTTGCTGAAAGCGAGAGTACTAACCACTCTGGCCATCAAACCACTCCATCTATGTCCCAAAACATTCTATACTAGCAGAAACGAATCGGTATAAAGATAAAACACATAAAAAGTTATGTGGCCATAAAGCAAAAATCCAACATTAGAGGTATAGTGAAAATATTTGTAGGCTCTGTACTTTGTCAAAGAGGGCAGTGATAAAAGGATTTTTTATGTGCGTTTTACATTTACATAATGTTAAAACAGTTACAGCTGGGACACTTATCACACCAAAAGCTTTTGATACCAAACTTTTGACATTTAGATCTCATAAATTGCTCAAAACAGATTCTTAAAAGTCATTCCAGATTATTTGCCTTTCGCTTAATAAAGCCAGGCCTGCGCATAATTACAGCAGGAACCCGGGCCCAAAAACACCGAACTAAACTTAAATCCTGGGAAGATTTTTTAGATTTCAGTCTAAACTCTTCGAGGACATATGGGGATGATTCTTATGAAAGTAGTTTTGTTTGACTTTAAGAAATGATTAAATTGGGCATTTAGAATTCTGCACAGAATACTTTCCAAACATGTTATGACAATTATAGCCCATGGAACAAGACCAAACGCTTAAACCAAGTCGTAGAATAATCAATGACTCTTCTGGCCGCTGGAAAAGCCAAGTCCAGCTTCTTTCCTCTGGCAGAAGACATCATTGTTAACAAGATCCAAACAACTTCTTTCCACAAGCTATAATTAGCCCGAACAAAGCTACTTTAATGATCTGGCCCTGGTTATGATACTATTTTTGTTGATTGGTGTCACAGTGCAATTGTTCAGTGTACTTAGTTTTTAAGAGGGATGACCTTATACCACACAATGTATTCAATGCAGTTTGATATTGCAAATGGCAATAAACTGAATCTGATCTAGGTTGTGTTGACTTTGAGACAGAACCGACTGTCATGCCAGATTTTTAAGGCCTAAAATTCAACTTTTGAATGTAAGACTTTTAAAATACACTTTTAAAGACACTGCCTTGAGAAACTTTTGCTTTTAATTGAGGGAAATTGTTGCAGTAATTTGGTGCAGTGCTAGTTCAAATCAACAGTCTGTAATGCTACACATATGATCAGAAAATAACTAAGTCCCAAAACCAATAGCTCTAACAGTAAAACAAACCTTTTACAGAATCCCTTATGACACCATTTAGCGAATAGGTCATTCAGAGGCTGGTTATCGGCATTGAGAGAGGCAAGCAGAATGCTGAGTAAGTGAGAATAAACAAACTATATTTTATGCACACAATGTTCTTTCCAATATTAAATTAGGCGAATGTTCTTAAAATAAAAACCAAGAGGACAGTAAATAAAATGTTGTTTATGAGGACAGAGAGGTTAGTGAAGGAGGTGGGGTTTGGAGCTGGGTCTTACGGTGACTGAAGTGGCCGTTGTTGGTAGTGTTTTTCCCCCCCGGGCCCGAAGGTACTAGAGCGTGGTCTCGTGGTGACAGCTGGGACAGGCCCTGGGAGCAGCCAGACTGTCACTCACACACAAGAGAAAAGAATGATACAATTAACATTAGTGAGGATGGGGAAAGTGGCTCGGTTTCAAGAGATCTCGGAGATCTACGTCATTTTTGCTAAATTACAGCGATTATGATGAGCTGGTGGAGACATAGATAGAGAGGCTAAGAGAGAGAGACAGTACAGAAAGACAAAAGCAGAGAGACAAACCTACCGACAGAGAGAGAGAGAGACACACACGTACAGGCACATTCACTTTCACTGCGGCGATGTGAGAAATCAGAAGCAAAATACGTTGAATCCTTAAATATATACAATAAAACACTATTCCTTGCCTAAAACTATTAACAGTAAAACTAATATACAGTAAAATAATCATACTGGTTGTAAGCGTCCATTAGATAAACAGGACAATGACATATCCAGATATGACTTCCAGCCTTCACAGAGTGCCAAGTTTGAGTGTAAGCATTTATGAAAGAGAAATGCAGAAGGAAGGATGTTATCTATTTCCTAACAATATTAAATGACACTCCCCTGAGGCTCAATGCAGTTAAACTTCAGTATCCCAGCACATTCACCACACCATGTTCAAACTTGCTAAAAGCTTCACAGATGACCCATTTTGGAGCTGAGTGACAAAACTGTGTCCGCACCTGTCCTCCATCTCTACCTCTTCATGCTAGTGCAGATGGAGAATGGCCAACACTAATGGCCACAGGAAGATGACGATGCAACACACGCTAACGCTGATGTAGAAGACCTGAGTAGGATGAAGGTGGGAGTTCGTCACATCAACTGGGAGCAAAGCACAACAGGAAAAAACATGAACGAGAGAAATACAGAGAAGTGCAGTGTTTATGAAGCAGCCACAGGCACAAAGAGAACAAAGGCTAGAATAAGGCATGTAAAGCCTGGTTCACAATAGACGATTTTGAAATTGGCGGCGATTTTCCAAACCTGAGAATCCTAAACAACACGGAGATTAAAAATCAATGGGCTAACAATTGGCAACTTTTGACAAATGGACTCCAGCAGTCACAGGTAAGACAGAAATCTAGCCAAATCTCTCGAGAACAAGCTTGACTTTTAGACTATAACAATCATGGTGGAAGATAAGGTGGACGCCGTGAACAAAGTTAGCAGTTTGTTTTTAACATAGAAAAGGCATATCAAAAGTTGGCCATTGGTTGAACGAGTTTGGCCTTCCATCACCGACGTCACCGACTTAACTGGTACGCCATGCTGCTAACAGTTTTTAATTTATTCCTGTGTTTCCTTGCCAGCCTCGTCACCTCGTTTCTGATTGGCTTACACGCTGGCAGTCCACTGGCAAAGTGCTCATCTGTCTTGGGGACCCACACACAAAGAGACATCGGCCAAAAACATGTTGAAATCCAAGATTTTGAGATCGAGCAGTCCCGAAGTCCCTTCTGAGCGACGAAGCAGTCTTAACACACCACACATGGCAGGCAAATCCATCAGAGATTATTTTACAAAATTCTGAGTGTGTTTAAGGTTGTTGTCAGGATGAATAGTCTTAAATCGGCCCTAATTATTCTGCCTGTTAACCAGGCTTTACACTCACTGGAGCAATGCAAAAAAATGACATGAAAATTACAAAAAGTACTGTAATTTCCAGAATTATAAAATGCTTTTTTTTTTTCTATTTCTTTGATCCCAGTGGCTTATATAGCAATACCGGCTAATATGGGTATTTTTATTGTGGTAGAGTTTCAGAGCAGTAATCATAACTATGCATAACTTTATTTTACCTTCACAAAGCAGATGCTAGCTACCTCAATGGCCTATTTATTGCTGAAGCTCATTCCACTTTCTGCTTTTTGTTCTTCCATAAACAATTCCATAAAATAATTTAAACCTATTATAAATACTAGATGAAATATCTGACATTTTTCTTTTCGTTTCTTCTGAATTTGGTCATATTCATAGTGTGAATATACACCATTTTATAATAATCCTTATTAGTTTTTCAATAATGGAGTATTCCCCAAAATTCCCCCTGCTTAACAAGCCATAGAAATTACCAGAAACTTTTCCAGAAATGTCCGCCCCATTGCAACTCTAGTCCTTAAAATCATGACTACTAACAAATACATTCACTCTGCTTACATCACCATCCATAGGGGTCCAGTTAAAGGTTAATGGCAGCCTAAGCCGGGACGGTCTTTCTTATTCTTCCCCTCATGTCCTGAGAGCGTCATTCTCATTACCCTCTATGATACGGGATCTCGAGGGCCCCAGGGTTCCCTTAGGGCCTACCCAAGCATAAAGGCAGACTGCTAATGGCACTTTGTTACTGGGCGAGAGGGCTTACACAAAGAGCGTGCATGAAACCGCAACCCCAGCACAAATGAGTGGGGGGAAGCTGAACCCCTGTCACTGTGCAAGACGCGGACTCCTCACTCTTGGCTTGTTATTAGCTGCCTGAGGAAAAGCAGCATGGTCCATCTCCCGGCACTTCCCTCATCGTAAATAAAGTGCATTTCTGATGTTTTTTCATTTGCATGCAAGGTAGATGGGAGCACTTACAGTCGGGACTTGGCATCGAGTGTTTGAAGAGAGAGGGACGTATTTTTGGATCAGTCTAATCTGGAGGACAAGAGAAGAGAAAAAGGCATATTACTGTCATAATCATTCGGAATGGTCAATAGATTTAAAGTGACTATTGTATACATGCAAGAAATCATGAAATAGAACATGCAATAAAGGCAGCAACAGTATACAGTAGATGTTGTTGAGGCAATAGAACCAGGGGGGACTAACTAGTCGAAGATGCCTTTGAGAGCGCCAAGGTCGGAACCACAAATATTAATTTTGGATAGATACTATGAAAATTATAATAATATTAACAACATTTTATGCACATTGTGTAAACTGTGCTATACTAAATAAAACGTCTATCTAGCATACAACTTGTGATGGATGTTTTTAGTAGATTTTTTGCTTTGCCTTGAAAGAAAACAAAAACAAATATACCATATTTAAACTATTGTATCAAGAGTGGAACATATCTAAAGTGGATATTGCAGTAAATACTAAATCATTAACATTTCAAATGTGATCACTGCTGTGTTAGAACATTTGTGAATTTCTCTGATCATTCAACTTTGTGTCATCCTTAGAGACGATAACTTGAGAATTAAGGTGACGCACAAATAAATTAGATTGGATACTGACTTTGGTAGCACATTTTTCCCCTCCTCTTGAAGTTTGAGCACTGTGTAGTTGTTTGCGTGGACTGGGTGAGTGGAGTCTGCACACGTCACCACCGCCTCTCCCGTCCACCTTTCCCGAACAGAAGAGATCCACTCTGAACACTGCAAACACACACAATAAAATTCCCTCAAGCATTTCTACTATTCTAACCATTTGCCAAGCAAAGAATGCATGTTATTTTTTATTATTTCACATCCAACCCTTGTTTATATACTCACTCCTGTTTATATGCAAATTTGTACTCAAATAATGTATATTTGTTTTATTTAGATTGGTGGATATATCTTTTGTATTGTATATTGACTATACCCCACTGTGCTCCTCAGATCTTCCTGCAGGAAGAGCTGTACCAGCTGCTGGAGGCCAAACGAGAGCGCGTCCTTAACATCGCTGCCCTCACTCTGCAGAGATACATACGCATGTTCTCTGTCCGCAAGAACTTTGTCAAATTCAAGTGGCGCATTACCCATTTCCAAGCCCGAGGCAGAGGTTACATGGCCAGGTAACAAGTGTGTATGGTCTCTTGTTCTGGTTCATCACGCTTTATTCAAAACAATACAAAACACAGAAATAATTACAGCAGAAACAAGTTGGAGTGGAGTCTTGTGAGTGACATTTTCACAGTACTAACTAGGGGTGCAACGGTTTGAAAAAATCACGGTTCGGTTCGTACCTCGGTTCAGAGGCCACGGTTCGGTTCATTTTTCGGTTCATTTTTCAAAAAAAAAGTTTTGTCTTTTTAATAAACACAGCTCATGTGGACTCGGCTTCTGCTCTGACTGCCCCCCCCCTGACCTAGAAATGAATTAAGGGGAAGGAAATGGATGGATGGATGGATGGCATATTCCATCCATCCAATTATGTAACATAACATAACATAATTAATGAAAAACAACACAAAGTGCAACATAAGAAGGCACTTTATGAGGATATTTACCCTCATATATTAAACCACCTTCCTGATTCTCCCAAGGAGGCGCTCCATTCTGGGCCCAGCCTCATTCACTGCATTTATTTAATTTTTGGCATTATCAGTTGTGACTGGAATATTAGTACTGGGCCTTTGTCTTCCATTCCTCCGCTGCTGTGTCAGAACCTGCGCTGTGTGACTGTGTGACTGTCGTAGAGGGGGCGTGTCTGCAGCGCCAGACTTCTCATCTCCCAGTCTGCGGTGATGAAGTGAGCGGTTCCGCTCATGGATCTATTATAGGTTCCGCGGGACGTCCACGCGTCAGTCGTGAGCGCAGCTGAGGATGCGCGGGAAAGTTGACTTTAGCCCGGTCTGACTGTGCGTAAAGGAGCTGCTTAAATGCCGCGACAATAAGCGGTCATTGAGACGCTTTTTTCACTCATGTCTTTCTTGGTCCACAGTGCTTACACATCGTGACAGTTTTGTCAAATATTAATTATCAGTGTAGTTACAGTGAAGCCAAAATGCTCTCATACTGGGGATTTAAATGACGCAGGGCTTTCAAGCATCTCCGTTCCTCCGCTCGCAATGACCGCGCTGTGTGTGGACTGAACAACGTGCGCACAACTTTTTTTTCATAAATCAAACCGCGGATCACGTCTGTACCGAACCGAAGACGTTGAACCGAACGGATCACGGATCAGTGATGAACCGTTGCACCTCTAGTACTAACTAATACAGTGGCTTTCTAGAAGACTGATTCTTTTAATGATAAAACTGTTCATATTAGCACGCAGCATGCATCAGACAGGCCTCACCATTTATCTCCTCTTTAGTTACATATATGCGTACTACCAATTCATCATTATTTTTAAGAATCACTTTTTCAGGGCAGATTTCCTTTTTGACTCAGGTCCTTGTCGTATGTCAGTATTAAACTGCCAAAGTTACAGTTAAACGACTGATACATTTGTCAACACATATTTCATTTTAAAAAGAATGAAGCCGACGCTTCCAACCCCCTTGACTCATTCAATCAGATGTAGGGTATGAAAATTGTATGTGGAGAGGGGAGGCTTTGTACCAGTTTGTGTCGGTATTAAACGTCGCAAACGTAGTCCTAAGCCTCGCCTACTCCGGGTTGAATGGACTTAAATTTAAGTAAGAGGGGCACCAGCAAGAAGTTGCAATTGAATTAGTCCATTCTGCCTCGATCAGTCTCATAATCTGATAGGTCTTGAGCTCTATATCGGCCAGGGATATCATGAATTATACAAAGAACACTGACGACTCTTAAAAGTTAGCGTGGGTTTATTAACTACATATAGAAACGGGAACGGTAACCGGGAGGGATCACACAAGTATGATAAGTCACATGAACAGGAATGTCAGAAACACATCACCGTCACACACAATCCAACTCCAGCAAGTCTTACTGTTACTGCCAAGTCCCAGAGGTGAAGAGGCTCAATCACTTCAGTCTTCCTCGCGCACGGAGAGCGGGCACGCACACACTCCAGTCTTTCCCACACACGGGAGCAGGGAGCGGGGATCGGTCCCGGGAAGCCCAGAGGTGGCTTGAGGCGCGATGGTCCACGGTGCTCCTTTTTGGTGGGAGTTGGAGAGCAGTTTCGCCGCTGCGGGACAGGCAAGTCGAGTTCAGCTCGATAGGAAAAAAGGATCGGGCAGCTGTCCGGGCAGCGAGCTCCAACCTGCGCCTGGGTTGAAGTTGTGGGCCCCTGGATCGCGCAGGGGAGTGGGCCGCGCTCCAAGACGCGGCCCACTGGCCCAGAGAAAGTTGCAAAGAGAGCTCCCAAAAGGTTCACAAGCAAAAGTTAACACGAAAGTTATTGTGTCTCTGTTTTTGTTCCGGCTCTGGGGGCGTGTCTTATGACGTCGACTTTCCGCGCCTCCAGAACTCCTTTCATGCTTTCATGGAATCATAGTTTTAACCACATACACGTTACTTAGACATAGACACACAACACACCTTGTTCACAGACAATGGTACACACGTTTTCTGATTTAAGATGTTAGCAAAACAACATATTCATCCGTGGTTTCAGTTGTCCGTCTCCGGTGTATTGGCGTCCCGTGTCCACTGGGGGGGGTGGTGGAACGCCGTTGCCGGCCCATGGGTGATGTCTATGGCTTTGTTTGAGGCAATGCAGGCCCACTGGCCCCCTTTGAACTCGCCGGGGTTGGGGGCCAGAGGTGTGCTCTGGGGATGATCACTGTCTTTGAGATGACTGCTGTATCTATGTGAGCCATTGTGGTGCTCTATCCGACCTCCATTGCCTTAGATGTTCCGAGCCGTGTGTTTTTGTTATCTCACACACAAATGGTTGTTTGAATGGAAAGATAAATGACAACAGTGTACATATGTACAGGATTTGTTTATTATAACAATAAATCCACATAATAATGGCATTAACATTAATAGCATTCTGTCTTTCTGTAGTAGACACTATTTTTTCAGCTCAACATATTCAGCATCTGCTAAAGCCTCCTCTTTCTTCTTCGTCTCTGTCTCATAAAGGCTGTGGATCCTATTAATTATTTGTACCTCTACAAACTAAGGTTTGTTACAGGGATGAAAGACATTTGAAAAAAGTCTGAAATGCATGTCAGCCAATGGCTGTCATTAACTCTGATTTGCTCACAACATTTCACTTTGGGCAAAAACAACATGAAATGGTAGTGCAAAGGAGAGAAGACTAGGGGGAGACGGACTGTTTCTTGTTTATTGTCTGTGATAGGCTACTGTTTGTGTCCTCCATGATAAGACCATCCATCCTCACTGACATAACAATGTGTCGGACAACCATTTAACACTAATTTGTTCCTATTGACAGTTCAAGAGATCACTTTACACTTTATGAGTGTACTAAGAAGTCAATAAAGAAGGTCAGGTCAGATTGTGCGTGTCCGCTTTGCTCAACTACACACACACAGCATTGTCATGTAATGAGTTGAGGCCATGAAGAAGTCTCAGGTCAGGTACCCCAGCTTTAAACTGCAAACGTCTTTTGTGAAACAGGAAAAAGTTTGGGCAAAAAAAGAAGAACCTGATAAAGCTGCGTTCTATCACGTTGATCATCATGAACCGTCAGCGCTACATGAGGGTATGTGTGACTGCCACTGCCGTGTGCCCTGACCCTGTGCTTAAAATGATGTCTGTTTGATGTCTCTTTGTCAGACAGTGGTGGAGCCCGCAAGACAAGCTGAGGAGGTGAGCTCAACTTTTCTTTTCTTTAAAGCAGGGTTCACATGCAAAATCCACTTTTCACAGGATTTGACAGAGCATAAGTTTTTCTTTCCCTTTGCATTTTACACACTTGCACTCTCGGACATAGACATACTGTACACGCACATAAATACACACACACTAAAACATGCATGTTTGAGTTCCTATGCGAGAGAAATGCACAAACCCAGTTTTCGGCATCGCACACATAAGCTTCTTCCCAAGAAGATGTGCACTTCTTCCACTATGTCAGACAAAATAGACGTAGATAACTTTTACTGGAAGTGATTTGAAATAGATTTATACAAATAGAAGGCCCAACTTTACTTGTCGAGTAGAAATTTCTCGACTGAAGCATCAGCAGCCTACTCTGCCGAGGAGAGGAGTGCGTCACTCACTGCTCTTGAGATGTGTATGGGCCATCAGGTGAAATAATCTCCCAATAACACTCAAGACTTGTTTGACGAACACGTACGACAACATTACGTCACAAATCACCAGAATGATTGAAAATTAGGAGGATCAATAGTCCAATCATATAAACCTTTAGGTATGTCACAAAAGTATGCTGTTAACCTTAAAAATGCTAACCATAATAACCCATAAAGTTAATTATTGGATATTTTCTCATTCCAAAATTCTAATACTTTAATTGAACTAGTTTAGGCTAGTAAATAATTGTACACTATAGTCATTATATATATATACTGTGACTACAACTGTGAACCACAGTTACAGTACATTTCTGCATGTCATGTCTGCGGCTACAGTACAGGAATGAGAAGCACACCGTACATAAATTAGCAAAAACTTGACCTAAATGATACGAATCTGGTGTGATTTATATAGTCTCAAAACAAATGTAGATTACACCCAAAATTGTAGGTCGTTAGTCTAAGCCAGTACGACAACAGCCGATCAGGATTCTGCCAGCCGTCTATTAGCTTTGAGGGCATCATGAGCAGTGAAGTACACAGTAAACACTACACTTCAAAGGAAATCAAAATCAAAAGTCAAGTTAAACCCGCACAACACTGTGTTTCACCTAAAGTTAAATGGTGAAAGTAAAATGTTCCTCATCTGCTCAAATGGGAAGTTGCAGTTAAACACGTGGTTTATTTGGTGAGTTTCGCAGAAGCCTTTGCTGCATGAACTTTATAATGTCACTTCCATCCCTTCAGACACATGCAGCTGTTGGAGTGCACACTTTGCTGATGTTATTTAAGAATGCCTCTGTTGTGTGTAGGATCGCATTAACAGAGAGGTGGTGAACGTAACTACCCTGCCCATCCCTGCGGAGCTGGCAGCGCTACTACAGGCCACCTCAGGTACAGTCACAATGGGAGCTAAAAATAGGGCCCCGGCTCTACAGCTGGCTATTGTGTTCAGGGGAAGAGATCTCACTACAGATCTTATACTAGACATGTCCTAATGTGGAAATCCAGGTGAATCCAGTCCAATCCAGGTAGTCTGATTTAACTCTGGGGTGTATAACCTTCAAACCACCGAACAAACTCCATCCATCCATCCATTTTCTACCCTTTAATCCATTTCTGGGTCAGGGGGGTGGCAATCAGAGATGCCACCCAATTCTCATAGCACCAGCCCCTCACTGACCCTCTGCAGGTGGTGAGTCCACAGGAGGACGGCTGCTCTCTGAGTGTGAGCATAGCCTTGATCTTTCAGTGGAAAGAACAGAACAAACTATGTAATACAATATATCTAACTTGCACCTCACTCTCAAAAGAGTTTGGTTATATCTAGTTTACATGCATGTATATATTGTTGTCTGTCACATCTTTAGATTATTAATATTATTTACAAGCAGAGGCGAGCCATATGCCAATTAGCATGTGTGCCAAACACATAGATGTATAGTGCCGAAACTGAAAAATGTTGAAAATGGCAAACAACAAGCGGAATGCACACACATGTCCACCAAGCTCATTTCAGGTTTTGTGGTTCTAAAAAAAGGCCATTATAGACTATATCATTTACCAATAGAAACATACAAGTACACTGTTCTGAAGTTTGAATAAGGCCCGGACTCATTGTAATCTCCTTCTTATCTCATTTCGAGAGGACAAAAAAAGACAGGTATTTACCAACTGAATTAGACAGAAAGTGCGTTTTGTAGGAGTTAAAAAACATGACACATCGACCTCCAGAGTGGAAAATCTCAATCACGCTCACTCTTGGCGTTCCTTTTGAAAACTGATAAAAAATAGTACATTTCAACTAGGGATAGTAGCTGATAAATATCTACACTAGCAAAAAAACCCGCCCTCGAAAGTTTATGTGGACTAACCCATAGTAGGGTGACATTTTATTCATCATGAATCAAAATACCTAATGTAACTTAAGTTCTACGAATAGGTGCGTAGTCCCTTAGCTACGAGCCCATCAGGCCAGCCCGGCTTGGCAGAGTTCAAGAGGGGGTGCGGCCTTGTGCAGGGGCATTTATAGAGGAGGGTGGCTGGTGATTGGAGCAAATTATTTTGATCTCTCTGGCGTGTGACCTGGGGGTCACGTGATATCCCACTAGCGAAGTCCTAAGGGACTACGCACCTATTCGTAGAACTTAAGTTACATTAGGTAACTATTAAATATCTCATGTGTCAAAAGGATTCCAGTTTGATTTCAATTCAATAGTTGTTGATATTTTTCAGAGCATGCATTACACTAAATAATGTTTTTCTATTACAGTGGTAATTACAATTACAGAGGCTCTTGAATCCAGGACACTTTTTATATCTGGCTTCACACAAGAATTTCTCTATATTTTTCTTGTTTTCTTTTATTTCTTTTTGTTAATGATTATAGTTATCCTCGATCTCATCAGAGCCCACGTTGTATTGTCAAATGGAAATTAACTTAAAGTAGTACTAGAATTTAATATGCTGCTATCCAGAATATATAACTACAATATGTGTTTATAATTTTTCGGGTGTTCATTTTGACATGTTCAGATGAATTATGTTAAAAAAAACGGCTTTGAAGTGGCACCAAGCCCCGGCGATCCAAGATGGCGCCCTTTTCAAATGAATGGTTGTGCTCAGTGGCGCTTTGTGACGGCATGGGGGCTGAAAGATTAGCGGAAGTCGCCTGGAACTCGCAAAGATCTATGGGAAACTCGCAAAGATCTATGGGAAACTCGCCTGTATTTGGGCATCGTCTGGTCCTCCCGGTTCTGCGCAGTGGATGATCTCCCATAATGCGTTGCATCAAACACGCGTGTGTGGGTCTCACACCGGGTCTCACGCACGTGCACAGAGGGGCTTGGCCGCGCTCTGACCAATCAGAGCAGTTCATCAGAGCGGGAGTTAGAGCGAGAGCCAGAGGAGCAGAGTTTGTGGCACTAAAGTGTGGATTTAAACAAAATGAAGAAGATGACAAAGTCTGGGATCGCGTCTTTATTTCAGACAGAAGACATGTTTTATTGTCGATGGTAGAGACAGCACGAACAAAGCACACGATCACAGATACAACAGAATGCAAGTGTATTATACAGAGCGGAGGCATGGAGACCTCCAATCAGCAGCTTCCACGGTGTGCTTGTAGCTTGGCCTTCAGATAGACAAAACAAGGGAAAAGTACTGGCTTCTGCACATTGATAGAATGATGAGTCTAACTTTAACAAAAGTTGCTTCAAAGTGTTATGAAATCTCACATTCCCCCCTCTGGTCATACATTCACGTGTGACCATCAGGATCGATAAACAGCAACATAACATCATAACTCAATACTTCAAAAACTCATAAACTCTGTACTTCACTCGGTACCTCAAAAAACTCAGAACTCGGAAAACTCATAAAACATGTTCGGATCTTTCATAAAACTTGTCAACAATCTTCAGTAAAATACCAAACTTCATCAGTCGATGGTTCCAGATATTGCTTTGAAAACAGTCTCTCCCACTTCTCTGTGTTGATTTCTTCAGGCTGCATTTGTGTCGAGCCATGAATTCTTCTGTGACGTGTCTTTCAATCACACGTTTCAGCTTTAGTGTCCAGATTCAGCAATTCAATTCAGTCCAGATTATGTCCAAATTCAGAAATCCAATTGTTCCAAATTATGTCCATGCAAAAGAGGACGATGGTATTGTCCATGTCTCAGCAGCTCACAGCCTGACTGGAATCAGGGGCTGTGCAGATTGTCCATGTGCTGGTCCAGACGCATTCTCTTGAGGTTTTTCAGTTTTGGCTTAAAAAAAAAAAACACTTTTTGTGTAAAAAAAAAAGAGTCTTCTGTTCTCTAGATGTTACAGACAAGGCCCGCATCCTTCCACCACCTGAAGAAGATGACATGTCTGGGATCGTGTCTTAAATTCAGACAGAAGACATGTTTTATTGTCAATGGTAGAGACAGCACGATCAACAGATACAATAGAATGCAAGTGTATTATACAGAGCGGAGGCATGGAGACCTCCAATCAGCAGCTTCCACGGTGTGCTTGTAGCTTGGCCTTCAGATAGACAAAACAAGGGAAAAGTACTGGCTTCTGCACATTGATAGAATGATGAGTCTAACTTTAACAAAAGTTGCTTCAAAGTATTATGAAATCTCACAAAAACCGAAGGATTTAAGAAGAAAAAAAGTTCAGGATGACACTAAAATCCTTTATGAGAGCTGTAGGTTCTCTGTCAGCTGAGGTTGAGCTGTTTTAATATGCAGTGAGTCCTATGGGGTAAATTTCTGGGTAGCCCACGTGAATTTAGTCTGGTCTAGTCTGCAGTACCGCGACAATCCCCCGAGCACATGAGTTATTCAGCTACAAGCTAGTAATACCCTATCCAGTTATTATAATAGATCCATGAGTGGCACCTTTTCACTTCCGCATAGAAACGCTAGGGGGCGCCAAAATGGCGGCGATGACGTAGGAGAATGACCTCTCACAGCAGCAGCAGAAGTCTTAGCTGGAAACTGTAGGAGGTTTCACTGTCATCTGGACAAGGTATAAACATATGTTCATCAGTTTTGTACATAATAGTGTGCAACTCTTTTAACCTTTTAGCCTTATTTGTGAGATTCAAGCTAATTAGTGTTGGGCAAGTTAGCTAACTCTACTTGATATCATAAAACATGCTAACAAGGCTAATATTCGTTTTTACATTATGCCAGTCTCACTTTGGTTGCCTTAGATTTATTTACCACAATGTACATTGTAATATTCAAAAATGCTAATCAAAATAACTTGAATTAAATAAATATTTTACTTTTATGAACAGAAAGCTGCAGAAGTTGAAAACATAGACTACATGTGACGCAATCATTGATAAAATGCTAATTAAACCGTTAATAGGTGTTAGCATTTATGGATATTACAATGTACATTGTGGTAAATAAATCTAAGGCAACCAAAGTGAGCCTGGCATAATGTAAAAACGAATATTAGCCTTGTTAGCATGTTTTATGATATCAAGTAGAGTTAGCTCACTTGCCCAACACTAATTAGCTTGAATCTCACAAATAAGGCTAAAAGGTTAAAAGAGTTGCACACTATTATGTACAAAACGGATGAAAATATGTTTATACCTTGTTCAGATGACAGTGAGTAAGTAAGTAATCTTTATTTATATACCGCCTTTCACAGACCAGAGTCACAAAGCGGTTTACAATTGTTATTTATTGGGCACTTGTCCTCTCACTCCACACAGAGATGGGAGCGGGGTCGCCGAACAGGAGGCGCATGCCAGACCTATTGTACATATTTTTAGTGGTAGGGGAAACCGGAGTACCTGGAGGAAACCTACGCAGACACGGGGAGAACATGCAAACTCCACTCAGAAAGGCCCTAGTCCGACCAGGATTCGAACCCAGGACCTTCTTGCTGAGAGGCGAGAGTGCTATCCACTCAGCCACCGTGCCGCCAGTGAAACCTCCTACAGTTTCCAGCTAAGACTGCTGTCCTCTGCTGTGAGAGGTCATTCTCCTACTCATCGCCGCCATTTTGGCTCCCCCTAGCGTTTGTGAAAAGGTGCTACTTCAAAGCCGTTTTAAAAAAAATAATTCATCTGAACATGTCAAAATGAACACCCGAAATATTATAAACACTTATTATACGGCTCCTCACAGCAGCAGTAGAATGCTCCATTGATTTGAATGTAATTTCAAAACGTTCTACCGGTCATTATTTTCTATAATGGACCTCTCAAAACAATAATGGCCGCTGCCCTTTGGCAACGCACTCTCTGCTTGTCTTTCAGATGCGTGGATAACTCCGCAAGTAGTTCCTGCCACTCCGGAGCTAGCCACGCTCAATAAACGCAAATGCCAATCAATCAACACACTTAAATGTTAATCGGAGAATACTTATACATTCTTCACACACGTGCACAGAGATTTTCAGAATTTACTGCTCTTGTCTTCATGACAAAAATACTATTTATCTGCGTCAAAAAGCGACCATGAAAAACCCGGAAGTAGTTCCGGCCACTCCGGAGCTAGCCACTCTCATTAAACGCAAATGCCAATCAATCAACGCCATTAAATGTTAATCGGAGAATGCTTTAGACATATACATTCTTAAGGTTAGACTTAAGGTTAAGGTTAGACTACTGCAATGGCCTGCTCACAGGTCTGTCCAAACAGGCTATAAAACAGCTGCAGTACATTCAAAATGCAGCAGCTCGAGTCCTGACAAGAACCAGGAAGTACGACCACATTAGTCCGGTCCTCAGGTCTCTGCACTGGCTTCCTGTGGCTCAGAGAATAGACTTTAAAACAGCTCTGCTTGTGTACAAATCTCTCCATGGCCTCGCACCAAAATATATTAGTTAGTCCCATATGAACCAGCCCGGACTCTGAGGAGCACAGGGACTGGACTCCTGTTAGTGCCCAGAGTCAGAACTAAACATGGGGAGGCTGCTTTTCAGATTCATGCTGCTAAAATCTGGAACAGTCTTCCTGAAGATGTGAGACAGGCCTCCTCTCTGACAATGTTTAAAACCAGGTTAAAGACAGTTCTGTTTAGCTGTGCATACAACTGAGGGATTTTATATTTGTATCTTTCTTTTTAATATTCTGTGATTATTTATGATTTTAATGCTTTCTTGTTTTGTTCAGCACTTTGAATTGCCTTGTGTATGAATTGTGCTATATAAATAAACTTATCTTGCCTTGCCTTGCCTTAATGCAAGTGCACGGAAGTTTTCAGAATTTTCCGTTTACGTTTTCATGACAAAAACACTGATGTAATGCGAGAAAAGGCGATCCCGAAAAACCCGGAATTAGATACCGGCACATTTTCGGACACATTTGCAGAGGATCAAATTATGGATTTAGGTTAGGTTTATGTTTGGGTCACTCACCGCTGATGTTCAGAATTCTTTGTTCATTTTTCATGCAGTTCCAGGGAGTTCGAGTTTGGAAGTTGATAGCCTAACTGTAGCATAGCCACGGGAAAGCCATTGGGAACTATTTTATTTTCTTTCTTATTTTAAATAAACCTTTCGGCATTCCTAAAAGTGGACTGAAGTTTATGTTGTGTGTTCTGTTGGTACAAAGCCGTATTATAAGCGGGATAACATATATTACGCAGGTCATTATCGGAAAATAAGTACCTTCAGGGCGTCTGGGTCCGCTTTGCCCTTAAGGTACTTATATTCCGATAATGACCTGCGTAATATACGTTATCCTCTACATATTGTAGTTATATATTCTGGATAGCAGCATATTACATTCTAGTACTACTTTAAGATATACATCATAGAGAATGACCTGATATCAAATATGAACATGTGCATTAGTATTGCTGTATATTTAGATTTTTAAGAACATTTTTATTTTGTTTATATATCTAATGACAATAATAATCAGGTTTGAAATGTGTGAAGAAAAACGTCCAAACACCAAAGACAAAATTTCACCTTGGGTTTAAAGATGTGTTAAATAATTAGATTTTCTGCCAATCAAGAGGAAATGTGCCAAGAGATGTGTTTGGAATATAATTGCTGAGTCTTTAGAATGGACCTTGCAAACAATGTAGAAATCTTTGTTGACAATGTTTCATTTGTTGATAGGATCCAATGTTCGGGATGCTCACAGCACCTCTGGAAAACTCCCTGCTCAGACTTGACGAGGAGCTGAAACACGGAGCCACTGATATTTTTGTTCTGGTAACATATACACAAATATAGCTGATATCATTAACGTTTGGGTATGTTACTCTCAAACAACATCCATCCATTTTCTACCCTTTAATCCATTTCTGGGTCAGGGGCCAAGTCTCATAGCACCAGCCCCTCACTGATCCTCTGCGGGTGGTGAGTCCACAGGAGCTGAGATCTTCCAGCGGGGGCTTTGGGCAAAGTGGGGTTAAGTGTCTTGCCCAAGGACACAACAACAGCAGTCATCATTGGGAGTCGGTGGAGAAGGTGTAGAGGTGGGAATTGAACCCACGACCTTCTGGCCTTAAGGCCAATGCTCTACCAACTGCGCTACTGTCGCCCTTCTTCCCGCCTCTCAAACAACAATTGAACTATAATAAAATCTGTCTCAAAATGTTTTTTCTGACGTCTGTCACATCTTTAGATCAGCTTTTTCAGTAAGTAAGTAGTAAGTAAGTAAGTAATCTTTATTTATATACCGCCTTTTCACTGCACATCGGAGTCTCAAAGCGGTTTACAATTGTTATTTTTGGGAGTAGGGGTGCCAGTACAGGAGGCACATGCCAGACCTATTGTACATATTTTTAGTGGTAGGGGAAACCGGAGCACCCGGAGGAAACCTACGCAGACACAGGGAGAACATGCAAACTCCACTCAGAAAGGCCCTGGTCCAACCGGGATTCGAACCCAGGACCTTCTTGCTGAGAGGCGAGAGTGCTTTCCACTCAGCCCCCGTGCCGCCCTTTTTACAAAAAAGTGAAAAAGAGAAGACCACCCTCACTCAGCCCAATGTGTCAAATAGTGACTTGCAGGACTCTTTCTTATAAGTTAAATGTAAAAGATAACATGTTTTTTAATAAGATGAAGACTTGGGCTGGGTATCTTTCTGAACCTATACATATCTTGACGCAGGACACTTAATATTTGATACAATATGTTTCTTATACAATTACTTTTTATCTAAAGCTCTAATTACGTTACAAGAATCTTTCTATTGGGACAAACGAAATGGATTATTTATGAAGGAAAACAAGTTATGTAGCTTTAAGTTGTGCAGATAAATCAGGTTTCATTCATTTTCAACAACTTTTTTGCACTGACTGCTCAGATTTTGCGGTTCATGGGTGACCCTAATTTGACCGGGGCCCAGGAGAACGTGTTTGGAAACTACATAATTCAGAGGGGACTGGCCAACCCCAGCCTCCGAGATGAGATCCTGGCTCAGGTCATCAATCAGGTGAGCTCCGATACTTCACAAACTATTCAGCGTTGTTTAAAACGCAATTTGTGAAGTTAAATGCTCCTTTGCTTTGTTTTATGTGGAAAGGTGTGGAGGAATCCCAACGCTCTGAACTCAGAGCGAGGCTGGCTGCTGCTCTCGTGCTGCCTGTCTGCCTTCCTTCCCTCGCAAAGACTGGCCAAGTATCTGCTCAAGTGAGACATTTGTCACAACGCCATAACTAGTTTGATACTGTCTGTGGCTACAGTGGAGTTAGCCAATTACAAACATGAAAGAAATTTGAGTATAATGAAAGGTATCATATGCAATAGAACATTACTTTGATTTGACAGAAGCTTAAATGGAAATAAGTCTGGGTTAAAATAAAACAATAACATTAAGTCAGTCCTATCCCATTGTTGCTGTGACTAGTTGAAAAAGAAAGACAGTATAAAGATGGTATAACTGACAGAGGGGGCAAAAAGTTCTGAATTAAATTATAGATTCTGGGGTAGAAATCAATTCTAGTTAAAGGAGAAGTAAATCAATCCATCAACAAATATTTAGGTAGGTACAACACAAACACACCAAACAAAATACATAACTTTGTACATGTATGTTTTGACACCACACACACACAGGCCCAAATACTCTCTGATCCAACAACCCTCTACTCAGGCACTTCTCTCTCTGCAGTACACTGCATTTTTGTTGAAAGGCAATTATTAATTTGATCGAAGCATTGTCTTTGAAACTCAAATAGTTACTAGTTATATCTGAGTGAACGCTGGAGTTACTTACTGTTTGACCTAAAACAGTTTACAACTGTTATAGGTTTGCCTCGGACTATGGCCCTGAAGGTTTCCACTGTGTGTGCCAGCACCGGCTGCTCCAGGCTCTACAGCGCCTCACTGTGGGGGGGCCGGAGTACGTCAGGACCTACCCCCCCTGTCTGCTGGAGTGGACGGCCAATCGCAAGAAAGCCCACACAGTCCTGCATGTGCACTGCTTTGATGGTAATAGCAAATTCAGACATTGTTCGAAGGACAGGCTCAATAGTTCAGTTTGGGCTGGTGCCTGTGGTTACAGTGGTTACTTGTTTGTCACAGAGGTTGTGTTCTCAAGAACGTGGCTGAAAAGTGGTTGACTTGTGTATTGTGCATACTTTTGTATTAAGGTAAAACTCCTCACCTCACACAATAAAGGTATTTTCTTAGACAGACAAAAACCTCATATAACTGCTGAACCGCGTTAGAGCAAGTGACCACTAGGCAGGAGCCTTTGGCGTACAGGAGTGTCAGGAATAACACATCAGTATAGAAAAAAAAAAAAACTAACTTGTCCCTGTGTATTGCCCTTCACTATGTACTGTATGTTCTGGCAAAGAGCGACTTCACACATTCCTGCTTGTTTGTAATCATCTTTTGCAGTTCATAGATGAATTGCACCTGCAGATGGTTGTACATCTTGTAATGATGACAAGAGAGAAGTGTGCATAAGTATTTTTAAAGTATTTATTTTATTTTATTTATTTAAGTATTATAAACTAGGCCAATTTGATAAAAAAATAAATCAAATCATTATTGCTTTATTATTGCATTTGTGCTATATAGTTCCTGTATTGGTTTTAATGCTTCAACAAAAGGTTGTGTATGTGTTCCTCAGGGTTGTCCTTCCTTTGTCCCCTACACTCCTGGACGACTGGGGAAGAGATGGCTAAAGATATCCTCACACACAGGTCATTCCAGACTATCCAAGCTTTAGATCTATAAACTGTGCGTGGACAGAGATAAGACGACTCCTTTATTCTCTCCATAAGGGGAATACAGTTTAAATCAAGCTACTCACCACATCAGAGGCATGATATTAAACATATGCACTGTGGTATAAATATTTTTATCATGGGGCGGAACATATATAGAGAATAATTAAGTTAATTGAGTTATGTTTTAATGTTTTTTATTTAAATACACAATTCAGATTCATTTATTTGCCATTTGCAGTAAAACCACATTAGGATACATTTGCAAAAGTCCCCAGTGTGCCCTTTTCATAGAAAAGCATGTAAAACCTTTGTGTGTGTGCATGTGCATGTGCGCTTGTGTGTAGAGGTGTGAGTGAGGGTCGTCAGGGCTGGTCCGTGCTGCTGAAGGAGCCAGCTCAGTGGGTGGAACTGGAGGGCTCAGACTACGTTCTGGACCTGCTGTCAGACCTGGAGCTACCTGCAGACTTCCCCAAACACAGCAGCTACTTCATCATCTCTGCGCAGAACCCCAGCCGAGTGAGGGCCAATGCCAGCATGTAAGGACGGCCGCTCTGTGGATAACACTGCCTTTCACACAATATAATCAATCCATTTATAAATAAAAATGTCATGCAAGTCATGGAATACTAACTTCAACTTCAACTGTGTTGTGACAGTATATGGTTGCAACTAGGTGAACAGTTTTTCTGTACCTGTAGACCTGTTTACACATTTGTTTAATTACTGTGACTGCACGTGTGGGAGCGCAACAGAAACCATGGCAGCTGGTGTAAGTCTCAGAGCAGAGGAAAACCACGTCAAGAGTGTGATCGCAGTTCCACAGTATGTCGTGTGAGCCAGGCTTAAGGCCATATCTTGTGAGAGAAGCCGTAGCAAAGATGAAGGAGATCTTTAGCACACATATGATTTGGCGATGGATCATCAAAATACAAACATATATATGTATATTGTTTTTAACAGCGCTAGTTTGTAACACCAAAATAAAAATGATTCTTATAAATTGAATTAATCACAGGCATGCATTTGGCCATAAGATTTATACTTTGCGTCCTTCTATAATAACTGAAGAGACCAAAGGAACAGAGCCCAAAGTTCTCATTCAAAGCAATCATATTTGCTAATTTTTGTCTCCTGTTTTTATAGAAGCCTCTTGGGCGGTGGATTTGATAAGAAAGATGACGTCATGTCTTCCATTAGGCCCAACTCTGCAGTTATGTCAAGTCAAGGTAAAGGACAAACCTATCACACTTTTGTCCTGAATGTTGTGAGTCAGCCTGATCTCTTCTCGTTTATCTTTCTGTCTGTTCTCCAGACATGGAGCCACAGAGAGGGATGGACCGCTACCTAGACAGCCTCTTTGACCCGGTACTGGACGAGGGAACTATAGTAAGCACAAAGACAGAGATTACACTGCATTTTAAATGTGATTGTGCTGTGATATTGTATTTGTATTTGGAAGTGGATATAATTAATTTGGTGGTGGATAATTGAAATTGAATTATGTAAGTAGCCTATTGATAAAATGGGGATGAACTCCTATGAAAGCCTAGAAGTACGACTGCTACATGTGGCCTGAATATACATTATTTAGTTTTATTCTTGATAAAAATAAGATATATCAATATATACCTGTTGCCGGCAGAACCTATTTGTCCCTCGGTGGAGAAATTTCAGAACATTTCATCACACTGGTTAGAGTAGATATTAACGGCTTTTTAAACGAGCGAGAGGTCTGTACAGCGAAATATCAGACCGTGGCCTTTTTGTACAGACTGAGCCGTGGCGATGTCTGTGCAAAAAGACCATGGTCTGATATTTCTCTGTACAGACCGAGCAAGCGAGGTTAATAAATGTTTTATTATATGACTATTTTTAATTTAAGCAAATATCGATCGGTTTCAACTAGCATAAACACATGCAACCAAACTGCCAAATGGCGACATGGAGAACTTGCTTATCAGATGATTGAGGTCGCTCGCTGATAAGTTCTCAATCTGTGTCTTTACCAATGCTTTGTATGTTCACGTCCGACTTGGTTTTCCTAATCGTGTTTCTACCTTCTGTAACGAAGTTGTCAATCTCTTCTTGACTGTTAGGAGTTGTGTGTTCGTCGTTATTTGCTGTTATTGCTTCCTCTGGCTCTTGGAACTCGTCCGGATAAAAGAATTCACTGTTAGAATGCTCCCAGTCGTCGCTCATTATTTCTTTTTTACAGAGGAAAGATATCAAATCTGATACGTGCTGCGGACCAATTGTCATGGTAACGGTCCGAGATAGGAAAATATCAGACCGCAAATCAGCCAATCAGAGCGCGCGTACGATCCACATCAAGATATTTATGGCATATAATCGGACAATTTGCCAGTGAACCTCACTGATGCCAATTATAGTACGTCTCTTAGAGTATGAACCACATTTTTTATCCTTCATCATTCTTTTTCATTTATTTTTAGTGCAATAAACAAGATCAACTTGTTCCTAAAAAAATATAACGTGGGTTGGTCTGAACTGTTCTCAACATTTTACTTTCACACATTCTGTCAAAAAATAGAATAGAATTATTGGATTTTTATACTGATACTTAAAGACCTTATGACGGGTTTTAAAAAAAAAAATAGTGGATATCAAAATTGCATGACAATGTCAATTTGAAAGAGATTCCGGCAAAAAAAATCCTACATTTTATAAAAAGAACGTGTTTTTCATGAATTTAAGTTGTCTATGCTCTAACCTGTGTGTGACGTCATAGCGGGTTACGCCCATGCATTGAAAACCATGGATCTATGCCACAGGACTGCCTTTTCTCTCTTCTCTCCACTGATGCCCAACACAATACTGCCCTCTACAGGTGACAATTGCTCACTACACATAAATTGCCGTTTTGAGTGTGAAAAGTGTCTGAGGTGGGATTTGTACCCATGCATCTGGATTGGCAGTCCATCGACACAACCACTGGACTATCTCAGTGACAATGAAATGTTACATTCTAGTAGTTTTCTTAGACTCGCTGTACACCGCCTTGTCATCTTGAATATCCGCGAAAAAAGAACGAATACCAAATTGTAAACAACTTACAGCGTTGAGGGTTAGGGTTAGGGTTAGGGTTACCCACTCTGACGTCACCAAGGGCTGTGAAGTTTTTTCGTCTCTAAGGGCGTTGCTATGGGGTTATTTCGATTTGGGGGGATCAGACAAAAAAAACAACAACTGATTTTGAAACCTTTAGTAGTTCTCTTCTAATATAAAATGGTATTAAAACTGTATTTCTAAATAAATCAAACCCGTCATAAGGTCTTTAACATCATTCCAAGTTGACACAACGTTATTTTCCACAGACCTGTAGTTTGGCCTTGTGGCATAACCTGTTTCATATCACACTATGAAGCACAATATTACAATAACTAGCTGACATTAACGAACTTTTACACTACGTCATTCACAATGTGCGATGACAACACTTTTTTGGGACGTACCGTTGTAAATCCGAGGGCTTCTTTTGCGTTGTGTTACACGCGCCATCCATCTTGCACCAGGACAGGTTTGTGGGGCGGCTAGAGCGTGCTATCGGATGTAAGTGACAGGAATTAGCATGTATCAGATGTGTCGGACAGACCTCTCCTGCCCGGCCGCCTATTACGTTTCCCAGTTACCACACTGGCCACCAGATCGCCAACGTAACACGCAGATCTGCTTACCATCAACTGACACTCGCAATAATAAAGGACTCACTATTTCATGAGACAAGCTTCTGACCCAGACTGTGAATGATGGGGCGGTTCTTGAATCCTCTGATGCAAAAGTTCACTTTTTGGGATGCTGATGATGCAAGAATTACAGTATGTCAATTCAAATTTAACAGACCTCTATTTTTAGTGCTCTGGCTGTTTTGTGTTGTGATTGTGTTTTTTCAAATGGTTCAGCGTTTTGTTTAGCATTATTTCATATTATTTTTATTTGGATGAACTGCAGTGGAATCAGAAAACCACTTCCCTCTTCTAATAGAGACAAGAAAAAAGCACATGGCAATGTACAGTGTGATCCAAATATGAGACTGTACTGTTCTGTGTGACAGGACGAGTCTGCGGCAGGGCTGGCGAGCAGGATGCGAGGAGCCGGAGGTGTTGGAGGGGACCAGACAGGCGGCCCCACACTACCCCCTGGAGGTCAAATAGCAGAACAGCAGCTCAAACAGTGCAGATCCTCCCAGAACCAGTTAACATGTGTTTGTGTCCACAGCTGTGCGAGTGCTGCCGGTGGGAGGTGTGATGCTGCCTCCGGTGGCGGCTGTGGCACCTGTAGCTCCTGGTGAGAAGATAGCATAAAAACCATACTTGCCGTCTGCCGCCATCTCAGCTCTATGTGATAGAGCACTGATGGAATAATGTAGTGCATTACATTACATTGCATTACATTTTGATCCCTTTATTATTCATTTCTGGGTCAGGGGGGTGGCAATCAGAGCTGCCACCCAATTCACAAAGCATTGGAAGATGGCCGTTCCTTCAATGCAGATACAGCCTTGGTGTTCCAGCGGGGTGTCTGCTCCCAGCAGGGTGTCTGCCGGGAGCAGACAACTGCTCCCGGAGCAGATGACATGGATTGTGGTTGGATTGAACCCACAACCATTAGCTCTACCAACTGAGCCATGGTCGCCCCCAATAATGTATGATAACGGCTATGAGGACTTAAAGGCACATTCAAAGACACACAACTCCAAAAACAGAATAATCATTTACCCCGCACTGAAGTGACGCTTGTTGGGCGTAGCAGCCTTCATCAGACAAACTTTGTGTCCTTTAAGAACAAGTATTCTGCATTATGTTTGCTCATTGGCCCTGAATGTAATGGATGCAGTACATGGAGGTGCTAGTAAGTGTTGCAGACTTTGACAGTGTGTTTGTGCCCTGCAGAGACCCAGCAGGCTGTTCTGGCTCAGCAGCAGCAGACCATTGCCAACCAGCAGGCCGTCATCATGGTACCTGTCCGTCTGGAGCTTCAGCTGTTTTTTTGTCACACTCACTCTGATCCTGCACCCACATGCAAAACAGCCCTGGCTCAGTCATAGAATAATTAGAGATGTCCAAACGCAGTCTGATGAGGTAGGAGGGGAGTGTAGAGCAGGGACACGGGAAAACAAAGTACCTGTGTAGGCAATAAATATTAGTTCCCATGGCTTCTGGAGAAAATATGCAGTGTAAAAATGAATCACTGATTGATGTAACCTTGCGCCTTTTTCCAAACTTTTCCAGTGCTATAATGAAAATCTAGTTGTTTTATTAGGCATAAACAAAATATATATAAAAGAGGACATTTAATGGCAGTAAACAGTTACATGATACATATTTACATGATTCAATAGAAAATACATACACATAATTATACATGGTGGAGAGAGATGCGGTCAGTGTTGTTGCCATAGAGAGGGTACAAACAGAGAGACCCCCCATATATATCAATCGTGATGTCACCTACATGTCACACTCAATTGGTGAGAGTAGAGGGGTCAGCCAGGACAGCCCCTCTCTCTCCTGCATGCATTCTGCATGTGGCTAGGAAAAAATAGTCTATTTTTGACAATTACTGTGCTTTCTCAGAGCAGTGACAGCGGCTCAGTGTGCTTGCTCTTAGATGCAGATTTGCGCGCTATTAGACAAGAGTATGTGTGAACATAAAGGGAGCCTTTAAGTTTGTGGAAAATAAAATCAGTGGTGATGAGGCACATGCATGTGGCATACTGCTGCGTAGATATGGTGTGTACATATGGCAGATGCTTCGGCATATTCACGCACAGCAGGTCAGGGGCGCTAACAACTTCAAACTTCAAATTTATGTGTACTTCTAAAGACTCTTTTCTCTCTGTATCACACATGTCCTGTTATTATTCACACAAACAAGGTTCCCGGCTGATGATGACCAGAGCAGCTCTGTTTGAGACAGCAGTATCCCGTTTGGGTACAGTTGAAGCGAGAGATGAGAATCAAACCGCAGAAAAGTCTTTACTCTGATCCCTGCCTGTGTTGATCTGAACATGCACTATTTTAATTTGCTCATTAATTTGCATTGTCTATGTAATAATTGTAAACTTCTCCAATCATTAACTGAAAAAGGGGAAATCGATTCTTATTGTAGGATTAGTGATTTATGACCTCAATTTTGTTAGAGATATTTCCAAAAGTCATTGACCACATTTTTTTGTCAGGGAATGATAGCCATGGATGCAAATAAAAAGATATCATGGTTTGTTTAAACAAATTAACCAAAGAGCCGAGCAAAAAGAATCCAAATTCCCTATTGTACTAGCTGAACAAATTATGTAATGGTGTGACATAAGGGTAGGGTGTAAAGGGCTGCATAGATGTCGTAAGGGAAGAGGAAGACAAGGAGGAAGATTAAGAAGAAGAAATGTATTGAAAGGTGCTGAATGTGTTGTAAAGTGCTGTAAGTGTTGTAAGATGTTGTAATGTATTGTATCTGTAGTAATGAATTGTTAGTGTGGTAATGTGTTGTTTGGGGAGTAAACTGTTGTACAACAAGTGCAAAAGGTGGAAGTTTGAAAAGTAATAGAAATAATGAGACGGTGAAGCCAGTCGTAATGATGTATAATTTGTTGAATTTGGTGAAAGAGTTGAAAAGTACCAAAATCTGGCGCTTTTGCAAAAAGTAGGATAGCATATAGTGGCTGCATAGTCTGGTTGGGACTGATAGATACTGGGTCCATGGAAAACTCAAAGGGGGCAAGTGATCCAAGCTCTGCACATTTCTTGAAAGGGAAATCTCTTTTACTACTTATTTTCAAAATGCCTCAAAATATCAGAGTTATTACCAAAATCTCCTTGCTTCCCCAGGCCCAGCAGGTGACCATGAATGCAATGGCCATGGTCAGCCCGGTGACCAGTCCCCCCACCTCTCCTGTGACCAGCCCTCCATCCAGCCCTCTCCCCTACCACCATGCTAGCCCCTATGCAGGCATCCCCCCTAGCCCGTACGCCAACATGCCCCCTAGCCCCTATGCCAACTTTACCCCATCTCCATACGAGGCCGCAGACATCCCCAGCAGTTCCTACACTCCTGCTCAGGCTTCGACCATGACTCAGGGACAGACTACCCATCAAGCCAAAGCCACTAGCAGCCAACCAGCTACATCCAGAGTCAACGGGACGGCCCGCGAGGTCAGTTATGTCCAACCCACTGCATTGTACATCCAAGAAAATAAGTCTATGTGTTGTTACATGGTTATGTTGAAACAAATATCCAGGCAAAATTATTTTTTAATCTGATAATTTGTCGCTTTCTTTTGTAATATGATGGCTAACTACACTGAGGTAAATTCTCCAGAGAGTTCACACTTCACTGCAATTGTTTGAATCTACCTGTCACTCTTTCAGAAGCAACAGAAGTTGATGGTTTTAAGTGTGTCTGTAAAAAATAAGACATTATTTGTGTATGCAAAATAGCCTACCTTGTTGTTATGATGTTTCCTAGGCCTTTATTATATTTAAAGGAACAATATGTAAAAATCTGGCCAAAAGTGGTACTGCAGTCACAGTCAATATTTTGTAGTCCTCTCCCACGCTCCCTGACTCAGGTTGCCAGATACACACCAAATCCAGCAGCAAACATAGGGAATTATTTTATCAGTTGTTTGTCTGTCTCCATTCACATTGAGGCATGCTAATGTTGAATGAATGTTGATTTTTTATTTTTTATTTGGACATTTGAGATAAAAAAACAAAAAACAAAATAAAAGCAATGTAATTATAGATTATCCAAAATAAATAAGCAATTGATGTCCAAATTAGGAGTGGGAAGAATGAATGTTGGAACGTATTTCTTCAGCGTATCAACATCAGGGTTTGCTCAAGAGGATATCACCTTTCAATTTTATTTATTCCCTATTTTTTAGACAAACATGTATAAGTCCCACATCAAAAAGAGACTAACATTATTTTAATTGTGGTCTCAAATTATTCTTTTTACAATTAAGCTATAATCTGCAAAACGTTAACGTCTTAACTTTCGTCTTTTACCGTGTTTAGAGCAATCTGTCATAGAATGTGATAACATGCATTAAATACAAATAGGACCCTGCCCGGATTCGACCCGGGTTACTTTATCGTGAGCGCGTTGCTTTAACCACTAGACCACCGATTCGCGCTCAATAAAGCGCGAAACTAAAGAACGGACTCAAAGCAGGAGATTTTGCATTACACGTAAACTTTTATCAGCCGTCTCAATTGTTCAAAGGCGTCCCGATATAAATCCTCGTTTTAGTCTTTAGTCTTATTATTTGAGAGTCATAATAAGAAATTTTTTAGTTCTGCGGCCACATTTTATTTTACCACTGAGATTAGTGAGCCGCGCGGAGTTCTGGCAACCCGATCACGGACTTACATGACACTTCCTGATTGGCGAAACGGCGGAGGGTAGGACATCAAAATCAAAACAATTTTACTTTTACGGGTCGTAATACTAATTTTGATATTCAAATATCTCGGCTGAACTACTGTTATCAGTTAAAGATGTATTTGAAAAGAACATGATTTAATAACGCCCTTTGAAATATGGGGCCATTTAATGATGACTTGACACGCAAATATTACATACTGCTACTTTAAAGGTTTAGTCCTATTGAGGTTTATGTTTGAGTTCAATTAAAGGCTTTTGTTTAAACAAATTAACCAAAGAGCCGAACAAAAAGAATCCAAATTCCCTATTGTACTAGCTGAACAAATTGTGTAATGTTGAGATGAAGTATACCTGATGTACCGCCTTTGTGATGTTTAATGTCTTTTGGTTATATTCACTACTTGAATTGTCTCATTGATGAATGTCACTGTCAACATCTTTCCGTCTGCAGTCAGACAAAGACAGTGTCCAGAGGCGAAAGGCCCCGGCCGCACCATTAGACAAGAAGCAACCTGCCAAGAAACACGGTGAGAGAGACCAACAACAAAAATATATTGTTGACATTTTTGCAGTTTTCTTATTACTGAATTTCTACAAGACCTAGGATGTCCAACAAGAAGATATGTATTTTCTTTTCCCAGACTTCTGCTGTTTGTAAGGGTACAAACAGCAGTAGTGGAGAAGATGCGTCAGAAAATGAGTATGGATTTGAACATCCTTATTTGGGCATTCCACAACTGTCCTATTGCAAACTAACTAGGCTTTAGTTTTACTACATCCTTGTATTAATTTAATTTGATCATTTGGGAGAAATGATTAATAATTTTTCTGTCTGAAAAAGCACATGTATTTGAAGACTAGTGAGACAGCCAAATTGTTTTGAGAGTGAGGAACTACTTTATAATAAAATTTAAAGTCGAAATGTAGATGTATGTAGGTTGGTGCTGCTTTTAAGAGAGCAAATTGCAAAAAAGATTGTTTGTTATTTGTTTATTTTTTTAAATGATTTTGTTTTGTGTCGCTCAGCTCCGGTGGCCACATCCCCTCCGCCCCCTGCTACAGAAGTGGTGAAGTACTCCACTCAGCTGATGGACCACGTTGTACCTACTCACGGCGTCCAAGGTTTGTGTTTATTTTTTATTTTTTTATTCTTACCTTTTGCTCTCTGCGGGCGGTTATCCCTCTCTAAGCTCGAGTCCTCTCCCAGAGCCCCAGGAGCTTGAGGGTTCTGCACAGTATCTTTGCTGTTCCTTGCACTGCAGATTTCTGGACCGAGATTTCCGAGGTTGTTCCAGGGATCTGCTGTAACTACTGTGATCACTGCCCCAAGTGCACCGATCACCACGGGCACTACTGTCACCTTTACCCTCCAGGCCCTCTCCAGCTCCTCTCTGAGCTCTTGGTATTTCTCAAGCTTTTCGTGTTTTTTTCTGATGTTACCATTGCTTGGAATTGCCACGTCCACCACCACGGCTGTCCTCTGCCCTTTGTCTACCACCACAATGTCAGGTTGGTTTGCCATTACCATTCGGTCGGTCTGTATCTGGAAGTCCCACAGGATCTTCGCACGCTCGTTCTCCACCACCTTTGGAGGAGTTTTCCACTTTAGACCTTGGGGTTTCCAGCCCATACTCTGCACAGATGTTTCTGTACACTATACCAGCCACTTGGTTATGGCGTTCCCTGCCAGCATGTGTTGGATCGCCTCAGGCCCTGCTTTGCACAACCAACACCTTGGGTCTTGTCTGGCGTGGTATATCAGACAATTCTGCTATGGTCCGAGGGTACATGTCATGTAGGGGTTTGTCCTCCCATGATGGGCCCTTCTCCAGCACCTTCCGGAGCGGCATGGTGGCTGAGTGGATAGCACTCTCGCTTCTCAGCAAGAAGGTCCTGGGTTCAAATCCCAGTCGGACCATGGCCTTTCTGAGTGGAGTTTGCATGTTCTCCCCGTGTCTGCGTAGGTTTCCTCCGGGTACTCTGGTTTCCCCTACCACTAAAAACATGTACAATAGGACTGTGCATGCGCCTCCTGTACTGACCCCTCTCCCATCTCTGTGTGGAGTGAGAGACAAATGCCCAAAAATAACAATTGTAAACCGCTTTGTGACTCTGGTCTGTGAAAGGCGGTATATAAATAAAGATTACTTACTTACTAACTTACTTACTTCTGATCTCGCCACTGTCTGAGACTTTCACTGGGTGCATCCTCCGTTTTGGCCTTCTCCCTTCTTTGGATGTTTTGTCCTGGACAGTGGCTCTCACAATCACTAGTCCTCGGCCTCCTTCTTTACGGCTTACGTACAGTCTCAGGGTGCTGGATTTGGGATGAAACCCGCCATGCATGGTAAGGAGCTTTCGAGTTTTAACATCCATGGTCTGAATCTCTTCCTTTGACCTGATTATTCCTGCAGGGTATCTGATCACTGGCAGGGCATAGCTGTTAATTGCCCGGGCCTTGTTTTTGCCATTGAGCCGGCTTTTTAGGACCTGCCTTACTCGCTGGAGGTATTTGGCAGTTGCCGCTTTTCTTATTACCTGTTCCATTTTGCCATTTGGCTTTTGGCTATTGGTGCTAAAATCTGGAACCATCTTCCCGAAGATGTGAGACAGGCCTCCTCTTTGACAATGTTTAAAACCAGGTTAAAAACAGTTCTGTTTAGCTGTGCATACAACTGAGAGATTTTATATTTTTATCTTTCTTTTTGATGTACTGTGATTATTTATGATTTTAATGCTTTCTTATTTTGTTCAGCACTTTGAGTTGCCTTGTGTATGAATTGTGCTATACAAATAAACTTTCCTTGCCTATCCTTGCCTTATCTATTTATATACAGTATATATATGTTTATATATTTATATATATAAAGCCGTGGTGGTGGACGTGACAATTACAAGCGATGGTAACATCAGGAAAAAAGAACACAAAAAGCTGGAGAGGGCCTGGAGGGTAAAGGTGACAGTAGTGCCCGTGGTGATCGGTGCACTCGGAGCAGTGACCTCGAAGCTAGAAGAGTGGTCACAGCGGATCCCTGGAACAACCTCGGAAATCTCGGTCCAGAAATGTGCAGTGCTAGGAACAGCAATGATACTGCACAGAACCCTCAAGCTCCTGGGGCTCTGGGAGAGGACTCGAGCTTAGCGAGAAATAACCGCCCGTGGAGGGCGAAAGGTGAGAATTTATATATATACATATACACACAAACACACAAGCACTATTGTTTGTATTCATTTCAGAAATCATCAAACGGTACAACTCCCCCCCACCTCCCCCTGAGACTCTGCCTCCTGGGAAAAGGTGAGTGAAAAAGAAACTGCTGTACTATTTTGTATTGGCTACAGTCGATATAGTTTGTTCAATTAACCATAATTGGATTTGAACAGAGACATTGGAAAATATTCACATACTTTTAGAGTAATTTTGAACATTTAATTAACATACACTTTGGAGTATTTAGCCCTGCCCTCTCTGTGGTTACTACAAAATGCAAATACTGCACACAATACTAGAGTGTTTCAACTGCACAATGCAAGATCACAGAGATTCTCTGTGTATACTGTGTAACTCCCATTTTGTTAAAAAGTGATCATCTAATGCTGTGTAATGTATTGATAATGTCAATGAAATACTGTAAATACTATTTTGAACAGGAGACCAGATGGAAAGTTCAAAAAGAAACAAACTCCTCGAGATGAAGCTCTGCAGATCCTCAAGCCACAGATGGAAAACCCTCCAGCCCCGACTGTATGCACGCGCACACACACACCATACATACACAGATGCACACATATACACATGCACACACACACACACGCACACCCTCAGAAGTTACTCAACCTACTAACTTTGATGCTGTGTGTGTGTTTTCAGCCCAAGGCACGTCTTGTGGCACCTGCCCCAGCCCCTGCTGCTTCTTCTGCCCCTGTTAAACCATCCCCAGTAATGGTCCCAGTGCAGGATGTGGCCCCTCAACCCATTAAGAGTAAAGCCAGAGCAAGGGAGCGGCCCCTGCCTGCACCGCCGCCAAGTATGTCCTCACAATGTCCTATAGTTTGTTTATTTAGACATTTGCTGTCAAAATCACATTTGAATCAGCATTTAACCCGTCATGCAATGCCACAAGTGACTAGTCAGGAGTGGGCGCTGCTATAATGCCGTATCTCCAGGTGTTGATACTTGGTTTAGCTGCCGTGTATAGGAGGATCTTGGAGTGCCATCGTTGTTTATAGTTTTTCCGCTCCGGTCACGTGACCGGGTGGCATACAGCATAGAAAGCTACTTGGATGCTAGAGAGTTATCTAATTTTAGACGTTTGGAGAGAGGTTTTACTAAATCAAATGGTCCATTCAGGTTGTGTGGTCGGTTATACGGCCCGCTGGGGACAGAGTAAGTTTTTTTTCTAATTCTTTCGGAAAAGAACAGCGAAAAACGGCCGCGGTAAAGTGGTTGCTCTTTTATGCTGTTACCTACGGTAAACGTAGAACGGGAAGCCGAGGGGGATGAGGGGATGAAAGTGCGATTGTCAAACTGGTTCTTGAAGCTTTGTTCAGGAGTGTAAAATTTAGAAAGTATTTTGTCTTTTCCGTCACCACATCCCTCAAGTTTTCCAGCTCCTCATATATTTTCTTTAGATTTAAAAATAGAAATCTTTCACTTTTTAACTTGTCTACTTAGGTTGCTCTATAAGACAGATAAACAAAACAGAACCTTTTCCAATTGTGTCATGTTTAGATCCACAAGCAAGACTTTTTTTAAAATACCATAACAAAGTATGAGTAGTAGACAATTGGTAAGTTTGTAAGAAAATAATAAACAATAAATAAACCTTATATTTTATATTATTTATTTGTGATAGATACATATATCACAAATCCATGTCTCCATTTTTTTCACTTTACAGTTGTCTGTTATTTTCTTTTGGTAATTTAAAAAAAACAACATTGCCAAATAAAATGTGTCTGTTTGGTTGTAAATATGACTAAATGTGCAAAAGTTCAGTACTCATGCAACCCACTGTATGTTTCAGTTTCTCGAGATCTTCCCATAGAGAGCGAATCCATCCAGACGCAGCTGCACCAGGCTCCTAATGACGAGCACTACACCTACACCAACGTGCCCTGGAGACTGTACCTGCGGAAGGAGGTGTGCCACAGACCACAACAACCACTCAGCAGCATATATCTGTACTCATCACAACATACTTCTATAACCAGTTCATTTGATGGAAAACAAACCATGCAATAAAAAAATCAGGAATGTCATGTCGCTTAAATTAATGATTGATAATGGGGAAATTCTTCTCCTTTTGAGCTTTTTTATTTTTGTCGTCTTGAATTATATGTGTTGTAAATTATATATATAAAACACATTGTAAAACTGCTCAATCGGTTGGTCTATGAAGTGCTCTAGGGAAGCGCTCATGGACAAAGTTTTCCCTCCAACTTAAAATGACTTCACTTACACTGAAAAGTTAACTCCTCTAGCTCTGTAACTCATGGTGTCACACTCACCATTCTGGATTTGTTCTTATTTATACAACATCTTTGTAGATTCAGGTATGTTCCTTAACAACTGATTATGTGCATTCTGTCCCTTACACTCTATGGCAGGGATGTCAAACCAAGCAGGACCGGTGTGGCTGCAGGATTTCATTCCAACCAAGCAGGAGCGCACCAGACTCCACCCATTTCCTCAATTCTAAGATTGGATGCTAAAACGGGATTCTTTTGAGGAAGATGAGATAGCCTGCATGGTTGGAATGAAAGTCTGGAGCCACATTGGCCGTTTGAGGAATGGTTTGACACCCCTGGTCCAGGGCTTTAGTTAGTAATAAAGAGAATGGAACAAGGCTCTTTTGTTGCCATGTCATATTTACTCACAAATGTGGCTCCAAATTCTCACCCATGGAGTCTGTTTGAGTTAGCTCAAATCGGTTTCTGCCGCAATAAAGCAAACACGATGGGTGATGATAGCACTCGCTTAGTCCACTCCTCCACTTCTATGACCTGGAGCTGCGGTAACCAGACCCACCAAGTCCTGCTGTTGTAATATTGGGGTGTGCAAAAGTAAATTGATTTGCTCTACATTGTGCAGTGCGATTAACCTCACCAAATGTGTGTCAATGAGGAAATTAACGTCTGTTCAAGATGTGTGCTGTTATATATTTTTTCCTTTTTCATTTGCAAACTCTGCTTCTGGCGACAGTGGCTCCGTTGGTAGAGCATTGGCCAATGAGCCTGAAGGTTGTGGGTTTGAGCCCACCATAAGACCTACAATACTTCACGACTCCCAGCTCCTGTGGACTCACCACCTGCAGGAGGATCAGTGAGGGGTTGGTGCTCTGTGAACTGGGTGCAGCTCTGACTGCCACCCCACCCCCCCGACCCAGAAATGGATTAAGGGAAAGAAAATGGATGGATGGATTGGCACTCTGCTTCTTGACTACCTCTACCGATGTTCTCTTGTTAATCTCAATTAAACTGATTATGAAGAGATTTTGGCATGAATTAAATTAGAAATGTAATTCTTGTGGACCTAATTCCATGTTCAATTTCATCTTGTTGAAATTTGATCTCTTCCCTCGGTACGCTAGATCTTAAACAGGAAATAATAGATTGAAATCATTTCAGTTCTGATCGGAAATTTTAACATGTGGGACAGGTTACACCCATGAGTATAGCAGTTTATAAATGCCACACTACATTTCCAATGCATCCTTTTGCCATTCTCTTCCCCTCATGTACTAACTCCATTGTCATTTCAGGTATTTTATCCCAAGGACAGCTTCAGCAACCCATTAGTCTTGGATCTCATTTTCAAACAGGTACGCTTATAAAGGCCTCTTGAAACAAATCAGCTATGATATATATTCTAGAAGCATTTCTTCTCTGATTAGAAGATCATAGTCCAAATAAGCAGCATGATCCATTCCCACTTCCCGCTGTGCGTCCCTCTCTGCTGCAGATTGTGAATGACGCACTGTCGGAGGCTTGTGTTCGCATCACGGCCGATGAAAGGCAGAAGATGAAGGCTCTGTTCGGTAGGCTGTCAACTCTCCTCTACCTCCGCTCTGCTTCTATGCAAACGTGTGTCTCCCCCAGCTCCTGCGACTGTCATTTGCTCCGGTCCCCTGAACTATACTAGAGAGTATTTTCATATATGGGCTTGTTCACACTAAAGGGCACAAAAGTCTGACAAATAATCCAAAGATATTTTATGTTTTTTATGTATCCAAATACCTCCTCTGTCCATTAGAAGTTGCTAGAACATAACGTTTTATACATTAGATAAGTTTCCTAAAGCGGCCCTGTTTATTTTATGTAATGGTGATGATTTGACGGAATGAGCTTTGCAGAAGTTTGTTATGTATTTTCAGATGTCCACATTTAATTCAGAGATTCTATTTTTTTTACTTAGAGTAGAAACAAAGTGATTTTTCCTCAAGTTTAATTGTTAGAGAAAAATGGACGGAAACCATCGCGTCTGTTACACCTTTTTCAAGGGTCATTTATTTTTTTAACGATTCCTTTTTATATCAAGTGATTTAATTATGTGTGTGTTAATCTTGTGGGATTTCATCTGCCGCTTTTTCAGACTGAGGATATTTTATTTTTTATGTAACTGGCGTCTTAGTAGAATGGTCAAATCAGAGGCTGATTTTGTTGTTTAAAATGTCGCCAAAAATATATTTGTCAATCTTTCCTTTTGATTTTATCCACACTATCTCTTTGATATGTCTGTGTTTGAAATCTTTTTTCTAATCTATGATAGTAATTTTAGTTTTTGAGTTATAACCTTTTAAAGTCCAGATACTTGAATTGATACTTTACTGTGAACACACTCTTATACTGTATTTATTTGACAATAAAGTTGGACTTTTGCAATAAAAAGTTCCTTAGTTATGAACTTTTTTTAATTATTAACTATTAGTTTGTAACTTTTTCTGTTAGAAACTGACCCGGCCCCCATCGAAGAAGGGAAAAGTTATGTGGCCCTCACAGGAAAAAAGTTATTTATTACCAAATAAGCATGTTTTCTATTTACAAACTCCTCTTGTGACCCTGATCAGAAGTGTCCATCCCCCAGTTCTCAGTAGCATGTGTTGCCTTTCAATAGCTAACCATTGGGGGCTATTATTGGAGGTTCTCTATCCTCGTTAAAGATAGAGCTTTTAATTATTCTTCCAAAAATATTTTTCTAGTTGCTGTTAATTCCTGGGCTACCCTGCATTAACTCCACAGACTCCACAACTCCCCAGTCCTGTCTCTAGTTTCCAAATGGATTCTTTGAAAGTTATTCTTGAAGACTAATTCATACTATAAAAGGCGTAGCATGCTAATAGTTTTAGGAGCATTTTGAGCCAAAAGCAGGTATGTGCTGTCCAAATAAAAATTGATATATGAAAACCAATCTCTAACAAATCCCCAGACTCCCTAAACATTTCACAATTATTCCTCTTCCTACCAAGACATCTTTCTAATGTTGAAATCTGGCTGTTCACATGTGTAACAGCAAAGCACAACGTGGAGCAGAACATGGACCCGGTGGATGAGAGCGTGAAGAAGATCATAGTCAATGCTGCAAGAGAAACCTGGGAGATCTACTTCTCCAGGCTCTTCCCTGCATCGGTGAGACTGAACCTTAGCCCTCACTTTCATTAGGTTGACCTGTCTAGCAAAACTAACCCCTCTGTTGCTGCAACACAGTCAGGTTCCACACCCAGATTTAATTATGAACCAGTCTGGCCAATCTCATTCAACCACTGACATTTGCTTTTAAGGGAACCTCACGACAGGTGCTGCATTAGTTCTGCCACTCTTTGCAGATTATGATTTTAATTGTTTTTTATTGTTCTTTATTTTAATTGTTAAATTAATGTGTTTTCTAATGGCAATGTCTAATTTGTTTCAAATAACAATTGACACGTTTTAGACCGCATTCCGAAGTCTCCATCCCCGAATTCTACATAGCGCGTATTTCCCCTTTAACATTTATGACAGATTGGAGTCTTTAGTGGTAGTTGCGGATGAGGTTCTTTATGATGTGAACTATGGGGATGGGTAGTTTTCTTATAACTTGTATATTAAATAAAATTCTCTGTTTTTGCGGGATAGTGCATGGTTTTAGCCAATATACAATCTCCTCCTAGGTTGTATATTGGCTAAAACCTGGTAAATTGATCCATTGTTGAGGAATCAACAATGGATGATGTTGTAAAGTCCTCCGAGACGACTGCTGTTGTTATAGAGGGCTGTACAAAAAAAAAAATTGAATTACATTTATGAATGATCTCTGAAATATGGCCAAAACCCTGATGTTTCTGCCGGGGCTCATCTTTGAAGCACAGTGTACATGTGACTGCTGTGGGTTGTGTTACAGGGCAGCGTGGGCACAGGGGTCCAGGTGCTGTCCGTGTCCCACAGCGGAATCAAACTGCTGAAGACGGTGAAGAGCAGCGCGGCCGCTCCAGATTACTTCAGAGTGCTGAGGCCCTACACGTAAGCCAAGCACACCTTCTGTTTTTAAAATTATTCATCAGTTTACATATCAAGTGTTTTTGTTCATATTGTATGTTGCTGAAACAAAATCGAAAGCCTCAAACTAAAGTCTTCTGCAATCTTTCTCTCTCTACTACTACACAGGGCAATATATCATAAATGAATTAGAAAAAGATTTAAGACATAGGTAATCAGGAATCAAGAGTCGAGTGAAACTAGTGTTTCCATGATATAAAAAATTTGAACGCTTTGCTTTCCCTTTATTGAATGGTCAATTTCCTCAGTACAATTTTAATTCCCAATTGTTGTCCATCTCAGCACACTCAGCAGAACGCACATATGCACACACACACACATACACAGACATACACACATGTTAAAACCGCTACACAGCCTGGAACCATATCTATAAACGTCCTATACATTTGAACCAAACGGCAAATTTAAGTACCACCACGTAGACCAAGAGTTTAGATATCTTCTATTTATTTCAAAAACAGTGTCCAGATAACTTGGTTTGAAACCTTTTCCACCATGCACCTGTAGATTGTGAAGATAGTATAGAGCTGTAGAGAGGCTGTAGTGAAACAAATAATTGTCACCATCAGTCATTTTATTCTTGTAGTCAATGATTGGTACTTGCCACTGCCAATGATCACAATGTCATTATTGCGCACATTACAGCAGAGAAAAAAAAGAAAATAAGTTATGATATTTAAACACTAAAATGACACTATACTGAAGAATGAACAAGTTTTGAACCATACTCGGCGACATTGGACTTATAGATGTTGCGGCATGGCCTACAGGTATGCAGACATCCTGTTTGTGACCATCCCATCTGAGAACATGCTGGAATTCAATCTCACCAACGAGAAGCTGATCCTGTTCTCTGCTAAAGCGCCGCAGGTCAAACATCTTATCGACTCCTTCATCAGTGAGATCAAGAAGGTATGCCATAACATCAAGGCTTTTGTCATCAAGAGGCTTATAGTACATTACATAAACATGCAATGTACTTTGAATCATATTTGACATGTATCATAATTGTTACTTACAACTTCCTCCACCCTCAAGAAAGGAATCATTTCACACAGTCTGGATCCGGGGATCGATTCAAACTGCATTTATTTTTCCTTTCAGAACTCGGACTATGTGATCGCTGAGCGTAACTTTGTGTCCGACGACCATGCCATGTTGAGCTTCCACAAAGGAGATGTGATCAGGCTGCAGGTTATGGACGGCCTGGACAAGGGTCAGTCAGTGCCACATGTGCACCAGGCTTCAGCTCTCACACTCTGTGCTCATGGTGTTTGTTCCCATAGGCCACAGTTATGGTTGTGTAGTGAGGAAGAAGGTGGTGTTTCTAGAGGACCTGAAGAGAGACACTCCAGACTTTGGTAAGGCTCTAGACACAGACATGGACTGCTATCAGTGTTTTTAATTTCAAATAGTTCCCCACCCTCACCTGAATCAGCTGAGTACTGTTACCAATGTTTCTCTTCCTACATCTTTTGTGCTCATAAATCTGTGTACTAGTTAAGTTACAATATGCAACTTTTTGCATTGTAAACTGCTTCCAAAGTAATATTGCCAGAATGGCTCGAATTCAAATAAATAGTTAAGTCCGAGGACTTTACAAAAAGTCCTCGGACTTTACAACAAATTAGATACAGTAAATCTATCTGACAGCGTTTCAATGTCACACAAAGGCCAATGGCTAATGTCTGAGAGTTTAAATGCACTGTGTGTGATGTCTGGTAGGTTTTTCAGGAATATTCTACTTAGTTGATTATGCCAAAAACAATAAGGAAAATAAGTGTCAGTAATTTAGAGTAATCTCTATATAGCATGTTTCTCTGATCACGGTCACACAAAACAATTTATACTTTCCATTCGGGGATGACAGGATACGATGAACAGCTAAAACATGGACGCCTCTGGCCATCACCGTCCCTTCACTCACTTATTACGTGTATATTTTTGAAAGATGGTTGCATTGGTCATCACTGGCCTGTGTCCGTGTGCATGCAGGCTGGAAGTTTGGTGCTGTGTTTGGACGCTCCGGTGCTTTCCCCTCTGAGTGCGTACACCCGGTTGCGGCCCCTGACTTCCTGTCTTTGCCTCTGGACCGCACGTCAGAGCCGCGGGGAGGCCCAGGGCAAGTGGCCGTCTCCTCAGCTGTGGCCGTGGCTGTGGCCTCTACCATGGCTGCCCACGAGATTGACCACACCATCGAGGTAAATCTGATTCACATTGGTACTTCACTTGTGGGTTTCTGTGTTCATCAGTTGATGTAAGCATTAGCTCATAACACATTCAAGTAGAGTGGTTGGTTCCCATTTATATAGATAATAATTTGATATGAGGATGATTTGACTCTTGATTTGTCTGTGGAGGGATGTATGGCCATGAATGTTTCCATATTTTAGCAATATTCTTTGTACTTTATTAGGTGCTTCTGTATACATATCAGGAAACAGGTGGCACACTTCCCACCATAAAAATGACAAACTGGACCTTTCAGCAATAAAACTCTATCATAACGCTCTCTTCGACAATAGTAAAACAGCTGTTGTTTTTCAGAAAGTGTCCCTGGAGGGCTTCACCGAAGGAGAGCTGGATGAAAGAGTACTACAGGACAGTAAATATGACATGCTAGAGTTTGCCAAGAAGTACTTCAGACAGTCCACACTGGAGAAGGGGTGCGCCTAAGTACTATCATGCTGTTCCGTCTATCTCGTCCACTTTTTTTAAACCATGCGCTGTTTGCAGGGACTCTCTGAAAGGCAAAGGCAAAAGCAGAGAGCTGACAGAAATGATCAAATTCTCCAAGGTGAGTTTAGGGTACATGGCTTCATTTGAGATTTTTGTTTGTTGATTTGCAAGCAACAGGGTTTTGTTAAAACATTTCCCTACGCTGCAGACTGCCATTCACAGCAATTGCCCCGTGGTCACACGCGCAGGGTGCCAGTCATTTGGCACATGCGTTAAAAGTGTCAATTTTTTAACGCAATTAATGATTTTTTTTTATTAATGTGCGTTAACGTGATAATTTTGACAACCCTAATAAAAAATCTTATTTCCCGCTTTATTGAATTGTTATTAAATTGTATTACCATCATTAATCTTTAAGTAGTAATTAAATTAAATTAAATGTGTTCCTGTATAGCCCTAAATATCTACAGTAGCTATCTCAAAGCCGTTGATTTCGCCAACACTGATCAGTGAATCAAACTGTTCAAACACAAGAAATGCAATGACAGAAAACACATTGGTATTGAGTGTCCTGGATCATCACCACTGTCCTTTTATTATGTTTGCAGGGGATTTATGTATAATTTTATTTATTTAGGAAATAGGAATAGTTTTCTTGAGATTCAAAAGATAGACCTCCAATGAGAAAACATTTTAAAAGTCAGATTACTGTGCAATAGTTTTACTTTTCTGTAAGTCTGTCTAAGATGAATATGTGTTTGTCTCGCTCCACAGAACCCTCTGACTGAGTCGCTGATAGACTTCACAGACCCAGGCATGAACCGTGCTGCCACCGACCTGTTCCAGAGTACGTCTTGTCACATCCCCATCACATGCCTTACTGATGAAACCTTATACACACAGAGGAGAACGTGGAATTTAAACATTTATTGGTTTCTTCATCCATTTTATAGATCACTTTTTGAGTCACTGTATCTACTTGAAGCTTAAACTGTAATCTACCTCTTTGGGGCATCTCTATCACTTGGTTTTAGGCACTTTTACCATCAAACTGCATCTCAACCATTTGGTAAAAGTTCAAATATAAAAACAAAACTAATTGTGTAAACTAAATCATATTTTGTTATTAGTGCTCCTATATCGTAGAAAATCAACAAAAAATTACATGGGTTAATCAAACTGTTTATTGTTGATAGATCTCCAAACCACCAAAGTGCTCCAAATATAGGAATCAGGATGTGGCAAGTCCAAGCTGTCATATGCACATTCAAATAGAACAAATAGAACAAATGAGAAGTCAAGTAGCAAATTATTTCTTGGAACGTTTTAGTGTTCAGTTGTGCTCAGTTTCAAATTGTAATTTCATTCAGCTGCTCTTGGGAGATTTCGAATGTGCAGGTCAAGCAAAGCAACCCAGAAATGTAGATACACTTCAAACAGTTTGTACAAGATTCAGTTATTTTACTTTTCAAATACAGACCTGGAACATACATACACCAGAGCCAAAGCAATTTCCTGTTACTTACAAGGCAATAAAAATGATTCTGATTCTGATACGCACATACATAAATACATCCTTTTCACCCCTATAGAGACCTGAAATGGAGTGGTAAGAAGTAAGACTCCCACCTCATCTTCATACACATACATTCACTTTGGCTGCCTGGTCAGTAACACAACTAGGTCAACAACAACGACAACAATTATAAGTTATTTTGTATCATTACTGTAAGTCATTACTACTATCCTCATTATTGTCACCATCATCATGTTTGTGTTCCGTACAGTCATGAAGATTGTGTTTTTATTATATAATAACGCTTTACCAGGGTGAAGAACTTCCAAGCTGTCATTGATGTTAAAGGTGGAATACCTTTGAGAAGAGGAGTTTGTGTTGTCGTCATATTATCAAAATAGAAAACGTATTTATTTGACGATAAATGACTTTAAACACTAACAATGGGAGAAAATATGAATAATGGTCACGTTGTTGTTTGTCTTGTTCAGTGATCATGCGTTTCATGGGGGACTCTGCGCAAAGAGGCACATCTGAGCAGGAGGTGGTCAGTGCTTTTCTAAAGGTAACTTCATTAACAAAATATTAAGGCCTCGACACACCGTTAGACCAACCTGAGCTTTAAAAACTGCACGACTGGAGGAAAGTTGTGCATGTGCGTCATTTAGTCATCTGTGCAATCTGGCCACTCATTGCATTACACTATACAGCTTAGCAAAACTCACTGAGCTCCATTTTCAAAGAATTCTATTGCCAATCACTGACACAAATGCATCCTTTGAGGATCGAAGTCCCATTCCAAACTAAAAAGACGTCACGTCTTCAGCTCACTTCATAGAGCCTTGGTGTGCTCTGGATTCAAGTTTCTGTCACTCGTTATAGTGGAAACCCAGTGAAATCCTGCAGCACTACTTATATATTATATTCACACATTATTGGGCGGCACGGTGGCTGAGTGGATAGCGCTTTCGCTTCCCAGAAAGAAGGTCTTGGGTTCGAATCCCGGTCGGAACAGAACCTTTCTGAGTGGGGTTTGCACGTTCTCCCCGTGTCTTTGTAGGTTTCCTACGGGTGCTCCGATTTACCCTACCACTAAAAACATGTACAATAGGTCTGGCATGCGCCTCCTGTACTGGGGACCTCGCTCCCATCTCTGTGTGGAGTGAGAGACAAGTGCCCAAAATAACAATTGTAAAGCGCTTTGTGATTCTGGTCTGAGAAAGGCGCTGTATAAATGAAGATTACTTACTTACTTAATGTAGCTTTAATGCTATCTCTGGCTAACTAGCATAAGATGATTGGTCCATTCCCTTTTGTACTGCCTATGGCAATTATGTGTCTGTGTGTGTGTGTGTGTGTGTGTGTGTGTGTGTGTGTGTGTGTGTGTGTGTTTCTCAGCTTATCGGAGAGTTCCCTCTGATGAGGGACGAGGCTTACTGTCAGCTTCTCAAACAGCTCACCTCCAATACCAGCTCTAAGCCGTGAGTCCTCAGTGCACACTCTCTCACACACACCCACACACACACACACACACACCCACACACATACATCCTTAGGTGGACTACGAGCACGGCCTGTAACCTAAACCCCACAAACCCTACATATAACACAAACTTTTAGGATGGTCTTTCCTGAACTCAAATTTGTTTTTACCAACTACCAACAGTAGTGCTCAGAGCATAAACGCATGTTGGAATGGAAGTTCTTTCTTAGAATTCTCTGTAGTTATTCTGTTTATGGACATGGCACATGTTTGACCTTGTGCCATGTCTGGGGAAAGTGACAAGGATAGGTGGTTTGAGCACTGAAGACTCAAAAATGTTGGACAATACCAAATTAGGATCTCAGAAACTTGGGGGACCTCACTTGTCTCCACATATCAGTAGGCCTGTAAGGATACACATATTGAATTCAAATTCTCTTTCGCAATTTAAGAAGACAAGCCAAGTTTAGACCAAAAAGAAACCAAATTACCTAAAATCTCTTTGTTTTTAGATATAAAAACATTGCATTGTTTCAAAGTATTCTGACTCTTTGGTATGGCATGGTGTGGTATGATTTTTGTTTTTTACAAGGAAGTGTACAATAAACAAAAGCCAAAACATTGTACGAGGTTGTAGCAGTAGTGCTAATTTACACCTGTACAGTAGTTCCTATCATGTGGTACATACATTACCAGCTGTGATCATCAGCCTTGAGGCAAACTTCTTAGGAATGCATCTTCATGAACACTTTGCACGCCTTGCCCCCACCTTGAGACGTTTTACAGCTTACAACTACGGGTGGATTTCATACAGGGTTAACTGCATGCAGTAATAGCACCATCTACAGTATATGTTAAACTTGACCAATATTATGGAGTTTTGACTTAAATGCTTAAAAAGAAGACACCTCTGAAGGCCCGTCTGCACTGTGTCTGACTCAGGGACAGCTGTAGCAGAGGCTGGAGGCTGCTCTACATCCTCTGTGCCTTTCACCGCTGCTCTGAGGTGCTCAAGCCCTTTCTGCTGAAGTACTTGCACCAGGCCTCACGCAGCGCTGGAGCCCAGTACCAGGGTAAAGACCACATGCTCACGGTTTAGACCAGGCTCAGCAGCCACTATCCACTGAGGAAGGGGTGTTTATAGTGTTGGCCAGGTAGTAGTAGTAGTAGAGCAAAAAGCTTAGGACAACCCCAAGATCTTAGGCCGCTTGTTTTCAAAGATCTTATACATTTTACCATAACAAAAACATAAAAAGTGTATAATAAGAATTGTTGTGCTATGTCTGACCGAAACAGGTTTAAGTTGAAGTCAAGACTTTTAATGCCTAACCCCTTTTTATATCTGTGACACCATGTGCAAAGATGACACATTACACAGTTTATCTCATACCATGTTCCTCAGTTTGCAATATACAAAAGAATCTGACACCTTGGAATGGGAATTGGAGATGGTTACATATTTAAACTTGTGTATACTGTAGGGGTCTTTGTCCATACAAAATCCATCCAGAAGATAAATATGTTCGCCTTACCAAACCCTCCCCAGATGAAAGTTTTAACTGTATAATGACTGCCTGTCTTTTGTTTTAGGTATAGCAAAAGCATGTGAGCAGAACCTCAAGAAGACTTTTCAGTATGGAGGTCGAATGGTTCCTCCCAACAGCATGGAGCTAACAGCAATGATGGTCAGAACAATATCATAGTTTCAATTGTTTTAAAGGATGTAGTATTACAAGCATTGATATGTGAAATTGCTGCGATTTACTCTCTGTTCAAACCTCACCAAATGTCCTCTGGTTTAAGGTTTTTTATTCTTAGGGTTTGGACAGATGTAACTGCTCTTGTAGATGTTTGTGATGCCCTGTGATGCTACTCAACTATTGCAATACAGTATTTGGAAAAAAAAAAAATATATATATATATACAATAGCTTTTATGAGTGATACACCAGAGGATAGCATGTGTTCTCCTGGGGGAAGAGAATACAAATACATTTGACACTATATGTTCGGACCATAGTTTGACCTTATGAATTCTGGAAGTAATGTATTCATAGTGTCTTGCACTGGTCTCGCCTATTCAAAGACTGGTGGCGATAATGAAATTCTAGGCTTGTAAATTATGATAAGTCACATATGTTATGTGTATTTTTTTATATATACTGGTATATATTTTATAACTCAAATTAACTCTAATAATGAATTATCCTCTTCATCATGTAAAATGTAATATTGTGATTGTTATCACTGAAACTGAAATGATACTCACTACTGTCCCCTTATATTTGACAAATTCTGTCATGGTCTTGCATCATCTGTAATCCCACTTGCAATCTAAATAGTAACGGAGTGCTGTTAATTAGCTTGTTTTTGTGAGAAGTGAAATGTCCACTTGAGTGACAATCTACTTCCTCAGGCGGGACGCAGCTCCAAACGGCAGCTGTTCCTCTTCCCTGGTGGCATCGAGCGTCACGTCAAGCTCAAGACCTGCTCCGTAAGTCTGCATCTTCAGAACATACTTTTATATAGTTTTTATACATTTCTATGAACCAAATGAGTAGCAGCTCTCATGTTAAGAATGTAAAATGAATTTTGTCTTTGCATATTGCAAATATTAATCGGAAATCCATGTTGTACACCAAACTTAGTGAGAAAAAACTCAAAACAAAAATTGAGATTGACCCATAACCAAAAATAAATGAGTCCAGTCTGAACATGAAGACTGGTTGGAATGAGCACCACTGCTGTATTTTCATACACATCTATGTGGTGTGAGGATGATTTTACTAGAGTTCATCTCATGAGGTGATAAAGGTTCTGGTACATCCTCAACATCCTGTTGGGTTTCTATTTTCTCTAGCGTTTTTACAGAGAACCTCTCGCTCTTAGCTAACCCTGTCTCTGTGTTCTCTTGGTCCTATTTAGTATAATTTTTTTTCAAAATCCCCCTGTTGCCTTTTTCTAAGTCCTGCAGGTTTTTTTTGCCTTTTCCTCTTCTTTTCCTCTTCTTTTCTGTAAGAAAAGCAGGCCCTGTTGTTGCCTGCTGGGGCTTATTTGCAGCATTCTGTTTGTTTCATGAGGTTTAATATTCTGCACTTAGAAAGTTGAGTTTCTTCTTCTTCATTAGCTTTTCCTTCTAACACTCAGGCCATGGGTGGTGAGCACTATCATATGGCCACTTTTCCATGTTCAGAGGAGACACTTCCTTCACTATTGTGTCTTTGATTTGAATGCTAGCCTCCCCTGAAGACTGGGCGTTGTGTATGGGACCTTTGTGCTTCTCTGGGATGATATACTGCCCTACAGGCATACCTTGTGGCCGTGCCACTAACACATTTCTGGAGTGGAGATGGAGCCAGATTATGAACAGTCTCATAAACCATTTGCAAAAATCAAAAATGAATCAAATGATTCAGGTTATTTGACTGGAATGCTGCTGTGATGATATTGTTGACTTTAACAGCGTGTTTGTAAATTGATTCTAATCTGATTTAATATATTTGTAAAGAATTTATATTTGTAAATTATTAACGCAATGTTCTCAAAAGTTCTTAAAATGAAGTTCAACCAGAATACGAGACCTATCATTTGAAATGTTATATCTTCAGGAATTGAGAAAGGTGTTGTTGTGTGCAGGTCGCTCTGGAGGTGATTGAGGAGCTGTGTTATGAGATGGGACTACACCGACTGGAGGCCATGGAGGAATATGCTGTGTTTTTAGTCACTAACAGAGGTAACAATGTTTTGTTTGTACTCAGAAAAATCCATCTAGAGTCTAGACATTACAAACAGTTCAGGACGGCCACAAGATTGGCAGTGCAGTTCAGTATAGTTGATATCACCATTCAGATAAACAGCAGCATGTGGAAAAGAATTGCAAAAGCCATGGATGCAAGCTGAATAAAATAAACAATAAACTTAACAATATTCAGTGAGTAACAACTTTGGTTGTAAATATTGTGCACTCTTTCACAGTGCAATTCTTGTATCAGTTAAAATGGAATCAACATTATTGTTTTACAGTTAATCAATTTGACAATGTTTTTGAAAATGTCATTGCAATGTATGTTAGACACACACACACACACACACACACACACACACACACATGCACACACGCACACACGCACACACGCACATGCACAGACACACGTAGATACACACGTACACACACACGCACACGCACAGCTCAAGTTTCTGCCTCGGGAGAAAGTAGACTATATTTGAGAAACCGCAATGTAACCAGAGATGACTCAATATCACATTTCTAATAAAGCAAGCAGCACAAGAACCGGGAGGAAGTGAAGATGTCTCTCACTCGAGCATACATTTATTTCTTAATTACCTCCGCAAAGTTGGGGGGGGTTTATGTGATGAGCCGCGTTTGTCTGTCTGTTTGTTAGGACCAAAACACAAAAGGTTTTGGGAGGATTTTTTCAAGAAACCATTCTGACGTCACAATGACCAAGTGATTAAATTTTGGAGGCATGTTGGCTCACTTTCTGGATGTTTGTGCTCTTCAGAGAGAGCAGCCACGCCTTTGGGCGTTGAGTTTGTTCAGAAATGCTATGGAAGACAGACAAAAGGTGGAGTCCTGAAGATGTACTCCATAAGATCACAACTAAAATCAATAATCAAAAAAAAGAACAGAAAAATATGAAGAAAAAAGGGACGTTAGGTTGCATTCGAGATCATCCTAGAGACACGAGCTCATCTAGCTTTGGCTAGTTTAATTGACTTTTCAAGCCGTTTGGATTATAATACTTCCATGAAACTAGTGGGTCACTAGGGCCGCATGGCCTTTTTGAGTTAAACATTACAAAATAATCATGACTTTAAACCAGGGGTGACAAACCAATCCTCCAAGGGCTCAAAACTCCATCCATTTCCTCAGGTCTCCAGGTTAAGACTGGACTCACTTGAGGAAATTGGTGGCCGAATGTGCTCCTACTTGTTTGGAAGGCATCCACAATGGCCCTTTCTGGAATCAGTATAACACCCCTGGAACAATACAAACCAAACCATATGAAGATGGCAGCTGCCCATCCAGGAGTTCTGTACAGCCCTACCGAAGGGCCCATTCAAAGTCTTGCCCTTGCTGTAGAGACACTGAGTTCTAATTATACTCCCTGTGTTTTCAAAGAAAGAGAGATAATTAGAGGGAGACTTTCCTTTATTTCTCTGTAAATGCGTTGATAAAAATGCAAGTAACCCGGGCACTGAGGTTCAGCTATGCTAGGTTTTGTTATGTATTTGGATTCAGACGACATAGTCATTATGATTGTGCTTCACATGAGACAAGAGAGGTAAACGTCTGCATGTACAGTGACATGCTCAGTGGTCTGAGCGTAGTTACATTGAGTCATATATTGTTGCCAGAACCCATGCCCATCCCTTTCTACTGTTCCCCTGAGAAAGTAGCCGTGCTGCCTTGTGACCGGGGCAAATGTTTTGGACTGTGCAGGTCAGAACGTTCGGCCTCTAAACAGACACGAGTACATCCTGGACGTGGCAACGGAGGCCGAGCTGCTGGACGCCAACTACAGCTTCTGGTTCAGACGAGTGGTGTGGACGCAGACACTCAAGTTTGAAAACGAGTTGTGCGTCGCCATGCACTACAACCAGGTACTCACTTTACATATGGTATATTTTGGTATAACTGCCTTAGTTACATACCTTAAGACACCATGTGATTGCCATGAGTAACTTTAAGATCATCATCAGTCAACAATAAAGTTTTTACAAACCGAACCACCCAAAGTTACTGTAGGAACGGATAGGGACAAGGTTTGTCTTGATTTTTGTATGTACCATATTATGTGCAAATGTTCTTGTCTGTTCTTTGTCTGTGGTTGTGTATGTGAGGACGATAAGGACCTCGAGAAAAAGAGATGATTCATCTCAAGGGGCAAAGCTTAATAAATAGATTAATATGGTATATTTTCAAATGTTTTTATTTGAGTGTGTTTATAGAAGTGTGAACAAAACATTGCAATACGAACACAATGCCACAACGTAGCATTTCCTCTCAAAATTAGAATTAGATGATTAGATCTGAGTTCTGAGGTACATTACTTGTTTCCAAAAAAAATAATACATGTAGTTTGTTCCATCAGAAAGAGTCTTGTAAACGTAAAATTGTTGTGAACAAATTGGACCACAACATGCTGCCTTCATTTTATTATAAAATTTGTCGTTTTGCATATGTGTGAGAAACACAGAGCCCTGTGAGCCACTATTTGAGGCTTTGGGCTGAAAGGTGGACCTCACTTTTTTGTTCAATAACGCTGATCTAAAGATGTGACCATAAACTGTAAATATCTTCAGACGTAGTGACGCCTATCCCCACCGTTGAAACTTGTGTGTCATCACTTTTCCCTCCTGCCATCTTTTGAAGAATGGCCGCTAGTGGAGAAAAGAGCACACTGTGTATTTTCTTCTCCTCTCTACATGATACATTCATTTGTTTATGTGTGTGTTGTGTGAAAATGGTGCGCAAGAGAGAGTAACTGTTTCTGTTCATGATCAGATTCTTCCGGACTACCGGAAAGGCCTTCTCAACACTCTCCCCCAGGGAAAAGTCAGCGAGCAGCAGTTCCACCAGATCTCAAAGCTGGCAGCGCTGCAACACCGAGCCAAGGACATCGTCTTCATTCCCAGCATGTGAGAACCACACACACACACACACAGAATGTATTTAATGGAGTTTTATATAAAACATTTAATTTAAAAGGTAATAATAATAGAACAAAATATGCAGAATGTATTCTTTTGTTATAGTTGTTTTACTTCATCATTTATGCACTTATAAAGTGATTCATGCACACATTGTTTTAGATCAGTATAGAAACATCAAATGTTTATACAATAATGATCATTACCTGTGTAAAGCAGACAGAAGCATGTGATAGAATCTTTAACTTACAGTATGTTGCATTAATAGCAAGTGAACACTGAGGTCAATACACTTAACAGCTAAAACTTACAAAATCCAGGAAGATACAAAATAAAAATGTTCCATTCCATCTCAAAATAAAGCTCTTTAAGATTACTTCTTACCCTTGGCCACAAGAGGGAACTGTGCAGTAAACACAGAGAGTAATACAGCACTAATTCTGTGCTGTGAAACTGAAGAGAAATCACATCATAATGTGTTCAATTATTAATTTGGTATATGTTGGTTTCCATATATAAATCATTACAATTTATTTAAAAATGCATGTTATGTATGTTGCTGTTACTTTTGCAGTGTTTACTATATCCACTAATCTTATTTTTAGTGATTATAGCCTCAGCTGTGGTAAGAAAATGAAAGCTGGGTATCTCACACGTTCACATTTTTTTTAATTTGATATAATTGATGCATTTTTATTTCATTTATTGAAAATGTATTGTCAAAAATAATAAAAAAAATAATAATCTCAAAGATGAAATTGAACTAAAAAACTATTTTGCTTTATTACATTTATCAAAAAAGTTATTTATAGCACACCCCTAAAGCCAACTCATTGTCAACTCAGCCCAGACCTTTGTTCACAGTAGATTTACAGTTGCATGTATAAAATACTATATGAACTATGTTAAAGCATTGTGTTCTCATCAAAAACATCGCTGTGAGAAGTGGTCTATAATTATTTTCTGTTTGTGTTACAGACATGAGCTGTCCGAGTACATAGCGCCCCCTCTGTTCAAAAAGCTCCCTCCCCAGCAATGGGTCAACATGGTGACCCAGCACATGCAGCAAGTCCAGGCGCTCAGTCCACACCAGGCCCGCGCACAATTTATGGGTACTATGACAACAAACTTATCACGTTCATGTTGTATTACTAAGATAGGGCTCATGAGAAATATATCGGCTCATCAGAAACAAAAAGGCTGAGGATATACAGTAGGTCTTGTAGACATAGGTCGCCAACTGAACCAAACATAGGTCCACTAGGGCTGCAAGAGTCATCCGAATGAATTACGTTTATTTTGGTCACTCAAAGACTAAAAGTGTAGGCTGAAACTAATGCTTATTTTGCCTACTCTTTTTACAAGTGTAATTAGAATCTACATTTTCACACACAAATTTTAAACAAAGCATTTTTCCACCCATTTTTTTCTTGTTTCAGTTTTCCCACACACACAGTAATTTTCCATGTGCTCGTGTGGTCGTTTCACAATTAAGTAAAATCGTGCAGCCCTACTATGCATATGTTTTTTCAAATAGATTTGTCTAATTTTGTAAAATATTATTTCAGTTAGAAGGGAACTGCCAATACAAGTCTAAAAGGAGAAGAAAATATGTCTTAGTCTTTTCTACTGGTCAACATCATATATAATTTGAGTATTGTCACCACTTCAAGGCACCATTTAATTAGAACATAGTGGCATGTTAAACAAGGAAGATGTGGAAGTTTGTGACAGTTCCATTCCCTCTCATTCTATACTTATACCACAGTATGACCTGCTTGTCCCAGTGTCTGTACTCTGACCTCTGTGCTCTGTCCTCAGGCCTGGTCAGTGCATTCCCCATGTTTGGTTCCTCCTTCTTCTACGTCCACAGCAGCAGCTCCACCTCCTTCTACGCCCCCTGCATTATCGCCGTCAACCAGCACGGCCTGCACTTCCTCCACAAGAACTCCCATGTGAGCATCCAAACACATTATCTTTGTGTCACTGCCTGGCTCCAGCTCTTTGGTAATATAAAGTTAACGTCCAGTAGCAAAACAAATTTGAAATTATTATAAATAATATAGTCTGAGGAAACAATCAGTCAGCGCTCCGTATCATTGATGTGAATTCTACATAATGAAGAAAATTCCATCTAATGTCTTAAATATACTATAAATTTGACCAACTTAAATATTGATTTGGAAAGATTGACCTGTATCTGGACATGGTGATAGCTGTTATAAGTTAGTAGTTGCTGATGTTGAGACTACAGGGACCAGAAAAGACCCATTTTGCGGCATAAACCTTTTCTCGGTACCAAACTGCTAACCCTCTGCTTCCACTACCTGCGCTCTGCTCCAATTGTAGATAGCGGAATCGGGCCGCAAGGTGTTAAAAACAGCTCCATGGCTGTGGCTCTTTACATGCCTCAAACCTGGTATTTCTTAGCCTGGTTGTACCACACCTTAGTACAAATTTCATTTCATACTAAGGTCTGGATTTGCTCCATTGAGCTCCGTGAACAGGTGGGAGGGGTTAACTCCTTTTGCAGATTGAAAAGATTGGATCTGAGTTTACCGTGACGTATGTAATGCGCCCGAGTGTGTTGTTAGCATTAGCCTTTAGCCTAGCCACCTCCTTTGCCGCTAACGGAGCCCGTGGGGAGTAGCGCCACAATCTTGACCAGCGATTACAATTGCTAAACATTCCTCTTGCTCCAGCTTCAATTTCTTCATAGAACCAGACCGGATTACTTTACTATCGAATTCTTCGCCACTGCCAAACTACAACCTGCCCGTTCGGCGCAAACTCTTGACGTAACCGGCACCGACCTACAACGCGCTCTCTGAGTAGCCGGTCGAAATACGACCGATTGTAATCGCTAACACAGGGACCAGACCCAGACGCTACATGCAGTGAAATGATGATTGAACGGAGTGTACGGATGGCTAAGGCCAGGCTAGGTACAGTGCCTTGCAAAAGTATTCGGCCCCCTTGAACCTTTCAACATTTCGCCACATTTCAAGCTTCAAACATAAAGATATAGAAATTTAATTTTTTGTCAAGAATCAACAACAAGTGGGACAAAATCGTGAAGTGGAACGAAATTTATTGGATAATTAAAACTTTTTTAACAAATAAAAAACTGAAAAGTGGGACGTGCAATATTATTCGGCCCCCTTGCGCTAATACTTTGTAGCGCCACCTTTTGCTGCAATTACAGCTGCAAGTCGCTTGGGGTATGTCTCTATCAGTTTTGCACATGGAGAGACTGGAATTCTTGCCCATTCTTCCTTGGAAAACAGCTCGAGCTCAGTGAGGTTGGATGGAGAGCGTTTGTGAACAGCAGTCTTCAGCTCTTTCCACAGATTCTCGATTGGATTCAGGTCTGGACTTTGACTTGGCCATTCTAACACCTGGATACGTCTATTTGTGAACCATTCCATTGTAGATTTGGCTTTATGTTTTGGATCATTGTCCTGTTGGAAGATAAATCTCCGTCCCAGTCTCAGGTCTTTTGCAGACTCCAACAGGTTTTCTTCCAGAATGGTCCTGTATTTTGCTCCATCCATCTTCCCATCAATTTTAGCCTCTTCCCTGTCCCTGCTGAAGAAAAGCAGGCCCAAACCATGATGCTGCCACCACCATGTTTGACAGTGGGGATGGTGTGTTCAGGGTGATGAGCTGTGTTGCTGTTACGCCAAACATATCGTTTTGCATTGTGGCCAAAAAGTTCAATTTTGGTTTCATCTGACCAGAGCACCTTCTTCCACATGTTTGGTGTGTCTCCCAGGTGGCTTGTGGCAAACTTTAAACGAGACTTTTTATGGATATCTTTGAGAAATGGCTTTCTTCTTGCCACTCTTCCATAAAGGCCAGATTTGTGCAGTGCACGACTGATTGTTATCCTATGGACAGACTCTCCCACCTCAGATGTAGTTATCTGCAGTTCATCCAGAGCGATCATGGGCCTCTTGGCTGCATCTCTGATCAGTCTTCTCTTTGTTTGAGATGAAAGTTTGGAGGGACGGCCGGGTCTTGGTAGATTTGCAGTGGTCTGATACTCCTTCCATTTCAATATAATTGCTTGCACAGTGCTCCTTGAGATGTTTAAAGCTTGGAAATCTTTTTGTATCCAAATCCGGCTTTAAACTTCTCCACAACAGTATCTCGGACCTGCCTGGTGTGTTCCTTTGTCTTCATGGTTCTCTCTGTGCTTTAAACAGAACCCTGAGACTATCAAAGAGCAGGTGCATTTATACGGAGACTTGATTACACACGGGTGCATTCTATTTATCATCATCAGTCATTTAGGACAACATTGGATCATTCAAAGATCCTCACTGAACTTCTGGAGTGAGTTTGCTGCACTGAAAGTAAAGGGGCCGAATAATATTGCACGCCCCACTTTTCAGCTTTTTATTTGTTAAAAAAGTTTAAATTATCCAATAAATTTCGTTCCACTTCACGATTGTGTCCCACTTGTTGTTGATTCATGACAAAAAATTTAAATTTTATATCTTTATGTTTGAAGCCTGAAATGTGGCGAAATGTTGAAAGGTTCAAGGGGGCCGAATACTTTCGCAAGGCACTGTATGTCCAAAGTCTGATTGAAATCATAAACACAAGTGAAGTGTCATCCAACCAACTTCAGCTCCACCAATACACATGTTGTTCCTCATTATTATTAATCAGTAATATTAGTAATATTATTAATTTAACATACAATAATTATATAAAACATTTTTTTTAATAACCTCTCGCGGCCCCCCCCTGCCATACCCCCCAAGGAGCGGACCCAACTTTGGGAGACAATGGTCTAAAACCTGATACAGGAGATCTATGTTTCTTTGTTGACTTTGCACACATATGTACTTGTTTTCTTGTTATTGTTCTCCTAATAGAGATTTTTCTTCTAATCATATGCAAAATATCCATTCGCTTCATTACTTGACATGTTTTGGTAATAATCTGACCACATCTGGGAGCAGAATCCGGGCATGTGGTACTGGTTAGTTGCTGTGTGCTCACGTGTGGTCTCTACACAGGAGGTCATGGCGGTGGTCTCCCTGGTGGAGGTCCAGTCCAGCCGCACCCAGAGGCCCAACACGGGGGCCAGTTACCCCTACGTGGACCTGTCGCTGGGGGATTTGAACTCGCAGAAGGTGATACAACTGCAGCTCGAGCAGGTACCATTCACCTTGTCATAAAATGTCATAAAAGTATGTGGGGATCAACGTCCTGTGTGACAGTAACAAGCTGGAAACGTCTCATGTCTGTCTGTGTTCTTCTCCCTCAGGGCCTGGAGCTGTGCCGGGTCATAGCCATGCAGGTGGAGACCATGATGTCAGTGCGTGAGAAGAGACTCACTCTGCCCCCTAGTGAAATTACCATGCTATGACATCAGCACCTCTCGAAATGAAAAGACTCAACCTCTTCCCACAGCTGTGTGGCTGAACTTAAGAACAATCCCACAAATTACTGGTGAAGACTGTGAACTGAACTTACATCAGGTTGACAATAGCACATGAATGTCTTAAATGTGCTGCACAGGCCTGTGTTTTTTAATATGTATTTTTTAAATTTGTATATTTCAACATATTTTTATATTTTTTTACAGCACTTAATATTAAGGATATTTGTAAGTGTTTCCAAATGCTGTCACTGTATATATATATTAATTTATTATTATTATTATTATTAATATTATATACATATATATATATAAAACATGTCTTAAAAACGACTGTACAAACAGACGTACTGTACATGCTGTTGGATAATTAGAATAACCAATTTCCTTTATTAGTTTACATAAGCTTGGACCCTTATATATAATGAATATGAATAACAGTACATATTTTTGATTAAAGGATTCCAACAGTCTTTTTGTTTTTAATTGCAATTGCAAAGCATTACATACTCACATTGTACTATTTGGATGGTTGCCAATTTATTTCACTATTGATCACTATTAGTTTAGTCCTTCATATTCCCTAAATGTTTTAGAAAGGAAAAAACATTACAGTAATTGTATTTAAATATTTAAAATAAATAAAAAGACTTTAGTAGAATGGCTGTGTGATTTACTTGACTTTATGTCACATCTCTGCCTGAGGTGCCATACCTGTATTACTTTATTATGCTGACTTGCTCTGGAGCAAAAGCTCCTGTCTATGGCACATCACGGCGGGTGTGTTTCCTAAATTAGGTGCAGATGGAGCATCCATGTGGAGCACCCGTTATTATTATAGAGCCATGGGAGCACCCATGGGTGCAGAACATGGAGGGTGCAGACTAGAGATCCATGAGAGAGGCTCACTGACATATCAGGTCCGCCTATTTTAAACACGTGGCACGTGACAATTCCTCCCCCAAACAAAGTGCAATGAGTGCGCATGCGCACATGCGTGCAGGTTACATGAGTTTATTTTGGGTTTGAGGTGTGCGGAGCTTCTGTTACTGCTCTGCTGGCGCTTGCTTTTGGACACACTGATGATTCTGACCATTATGTGAGGACAAGGTGAAGAAAACGCCCTGCTTTGGATTCTGCGCTGACGTGACATGGTGCTGTGTGCTTTGTTGGCAGTTCCAAGCGGCGCCGCACAGCCAGGTTAGCGCCACAGTGTCCAGGCTACTGGAGCTAGCGCCTGCTAACTCCAGCGGAGACACCCGGTCTGTGCCCACGCTGTGCCCGCTCACAACGTCCGGAGGCTGGGAGACTCATAATTCACAAGGTAGTACATTTAAGCTGGAGTAATTGCGCTAGCTAAAGCCTCGTTGTGTTGACGTGGAATACACTAGCATCAAGCAAATGCTAGCTTCACTGTGAGCTCAAGAGGTCAGCTTTCAGGCTCTAGTGCAAACTCTGGTCAGCCAAATGCAGAGGGGCAATTCTGCGCTTTGGCCTGCCCCATGGACCCACTGACACCAGCCTGCCCCGTAGAAACCACTGACACCAGCCGGGGAACACACCAGCCTGCCCCATGTGAACTATGCACACTGCAGCCTGCCCCGTACTAAGTGCACATACTGTACACTAGCCTTTCTCGCTCTGATGCATACAGCCTTGCAATGTCTCCACACTTCAGTAACTCTTCTCCTTGTGGTTAATCATTCAGCTTTTCTGTGGATTACCACACAGTCTAAATATCTACAGTCTATATATGGTTTGGTTGTGATAAAAAGAAAAATAAATTATTTTTTAACTACGAAAAATGTACTAACTAGTCCTTACAACATCATTGATTTGATAAAGCACATATTTGGAGCAACAAAAACCGCTGTGCTTGAAAGTCAATCTTTTAAATCGACTTCCTTTTCTATAGATGACTGTGTTGCACTTGTAAATGTTTCTGAAACGGTACAATTAGAAGTAGATGTTTGGATGATGGATGTTTATTTTATTCACTACACAAATATTACAAATCTTTGGATTATTTCCTAATTAGATGGCAATTACTAATATGATAAAGTAGTCCATCTTTTAAACGTATACTTGTGACTAAATACAAGGGAATAGCTAATTTTCTCCTCTTGCAGATATCCGTCCAGATTCCTGTCATGGCCGCCAGCGGCTACTCCGACCTGCGAGAGAAGCTAAAATCCATGACCCCGCACCGTGACGAGAACAAAAACAAGCAGGTGGCCCGCGACGCAGAGAGCAGCGTGCAAAGAGGTCACAAACGTAAGCGCCGCGGCTCTGACTCTGCTGACGACTACGCGCACAGCGATGAGAGCAGCAGTGAGAGCCGCGAGCAAGAAGCACGACGTGTCAAGAGCAGCACCCAGCAGAAGAACATCTTCAGCCCTGAGGAGTGCCGACAAATTGAAGACAAGATTGACGAGGTGATCACACATGTTGAGAGTGCTCTGCTGCTACTGTATGCTGTGCTCCAACCCACAATGCATATAATGCACATCTAGTCAGGCTTATAGATTGTCTTTATGAGTAATGTCTTTAGATGAAACTATTCTTCACCAGGTTAATGTGTTTGCTTGGATACAAGCATTGTCCTTTTTAAAATTCAACACTAATGTGACGATTAATGTGTGTGCAGGTGGTGGCTAACGGAGAGGCGGGCTTGTACCGAGAGCACACTGTGGACCGTGCCCCTTTGCGAAACAAGTACTTCTTTGGGGAGGGCTACACATACGGGGCGCAGCTGGAGAAGCGTGGCCCGGGGCAGGAGCGCCTCTACAAGAAGGGCCAGGTGGACGACATCCCCCAGTGGGTGCACGAGCTGGTCATCAAGAAGTTGGTGTTGTCAGGCGTCATCCCAGAAGGTTTCGTCAACAGCGCCGTCATCAACGACTACCAGCCTGGCGGATGCATTGTGTCACATGTGGACCCACTGCATATCTTCGCCCGGCCCATCGTCTCCGTGTCCTTCTTCAGCGACAGCGCACTCTGCTTTGGGTGCCGCTTTCAGTTCAAGCCCATTCGAGTGTCTGAGCCGGTGTACGTGCTGCCGGTGAGGAGGGGCAGCGTCACAGTTCTCAGGTGACCACATGCACTCACTGCACAAACATAATTGATAATCTGATCAAGAGTAATCAAGAGTAATGTCATTCAAAGTCAGGGTACCTAACCTTTATACTTATGTACAATGTAGCTGCGCAAGTTAAGTCCAATAATAGTTTTTTATTGTACTTTTCCAGACAATTTACACCAGCGGTGACATAAACCTCATAGTTTTCAAAAATTATTTGGCATATAATATATATACAGTACAGATCAAAATAGGGCTGGGCGATATAAACGGTATAAGCGGTATGCGATATAAATTTGGCCCACGGTAGAGATTTTTGTTATACCGGCATATTGCGATGGGTCATTATGTCATCAAATTGCGCAGGCTCTGACGCCAGCAGAAAGCACCAAAACAAACCGGCATTCAGCAGCATTAGCCTAGCACATTAGCCTAGCAGACACCACTGGAAACAGCGAACAACAGCACGGCATTCACACAGTGTTTCTGTCTCTGTATTATTGTCACAGCGGCCCCAGCAGAGGTAAATACACACACAGTAATCACAAAGCGTCTACCTTTTGGGCAATCCGTGTCAAAGGGGCGTAGGCTCGAAGCGCCAGCATGTGCCGTGTCCGCAGCATCATCACATCAGAAGTTTGGGAAAGTTAGCGTCAGATTCGTACCTCTGCGGTCAATAGCTCACAAAAGCTACTTTGTTAAACAAAGTTAATTGTGCCAAAATGACCATTTAGATCAATTGTTCAAATCCAATGTGCTGTTTGAATGCACATAAATCCATTGAATCATCCAGTTCACTGCAGGCGCCGAGAAAAGCACTAGGGAGCGTCAACAAATGTCAAGACCAGCTTTGTAAACGAATAGGTTTTACTGAAGCCATGTACCTGCACAAAACTCTCAGACACTATAAATAATGACCATGTCTAACTGCTACAGGCTTTGATTTCAACATTTGTGAGTTTTTTAAATATTTTAAATGAATACATATGTCTTTCTTTTTTATTTGCTTTTACAGTAAATGGTCTTTACTGTAACATACATAAATAATGTATGTTACAGCATTTGTCTCACAACTATACTACAAATATATATACTAGATTATAATATATAAATAAGTAACAATCTTGACTATTTTATGCAAGAACCTGCTAGATCTATTGAAATTCACACACCAAATTATACCGCAATATATACCGTCTACCGCCTGTGACCCAAATTATATCGCAATATGAATTTCAGGCCATATCGCCCACCCCCAGACCAAAAGTTTGGACACTATGAAAATTGTGGATTCAAACTGAAGGGTTTAAAACTATGAATTAACTCATGTGGAATTATGTGCATACTTAAAAAAAAAAGTATTAAACAACTGAAAATGTCTTATATTCTCGGTACTTCAAAGTAGAACCTTTTGCTCTGATTACTGCTTCGCACACTTGGCATTCTCTTGATGAGCTTCAAGAGGACCTGAAATGGTCTCCAACAGTCTTGAAGGAGTTCCCAGAGATGCTTAGCACTTGTTGGCCCTTTTGCCTTCACTCTGTGGTCCAGCTCACCCCAAAACCATCTGGATTGGGTTCAGGTCCAAAACCATCTGGATTGGGTTCAGGTCCGGTGACTGTGGAGGCCAGATCATCTGGCCCAGCACCCACCACTCTCCTCATTGGTCAGGTCAGGTCATAGCCCTTACACAGCCTGGGTGTGGATCTACAGTCAATCATGAAAAGTAAGGAAACTTATTGAATGAGAAAGTGTGTCCAAACTTTTGGTCTGTACCGTATATAGTGAGACACTCATTTACCAAGAGATGGTTTTTGGTACTCCTCCCATGTGTACATGTGTGAGTCAATGCTCAAATAATGACTCACAGGGCTCCTTCAGGATGCAAAGTACACAAAGGTGCTTACTAACTCAAGTGATGGTATGCATTTCTAATTTTTGTCATGCTTGCATACCTGCACACCAGTACGTATTTTCTATAAACTTAGCCTCACTTAGCCAATCAGCTCTCAGCCCAGAGAGTCAAATCTGTCTCAGCTAGTATGCAAAGGATGTTTTAAAATGATCATGGTCAAATGTATTCATAGTTCAAATATCAACAGATTTACTGCTCCCAAAGTGCTACACAGTCCCTCCCAAATGCAAACAATAAACATGCAGAAAATAAAAGGACATTAAACGTATGTAAAAGGAAAGTTTATATCCTGTGACAAGATTTTAAACCAGATGAAATATTTCTGAAACATTTTTGGCTGTAAGGTTTAAGCTGCATACATTACTTTTTCCAACATTTTGGAAAAGAATGGACATTTTTCAGGCCGACTTGTAGTTGGACAGGACGTGTCTACATTGTACTTCTTTAAGAGAAGCTGGACAATGGCCTATTTGAATTTAGTGACCACATTTACGTTTCAAAGAAACTAGGATCCAATAGAACTAGAAGCAACTTTGAAAACACTTGCTGGAAGACTTATGATGAACAATTTATACATTTTTTGGTCTCTGGATAATCAATGAGATCTCATTTAGGGAGACTGGAACAAATGTCATAAAAGCAGAGGAACAAACATTGACAATACTTGCTTTTGGGTCGCTAGAAATGATTAGTGCACAGATATTTGAAACATTTTACTGAACCTGTTACATAATGCTGCACCAGGAAGGGTGCTGGCCTGCTCAGTTGGATTAACAATTTTGTTCAATGTCTGAGATCTCCTGTATCACTAATATTTTTAACCCTCTAGGCGCCACGGTTGACTTGCGTCGACAATATGCGGAACGATTCAAAATGGCTAATTGTGTCAAGTAGGGTGTCAAACTTCATTCAAACTCCATGCCACTCAATGATTTGCTCTGTTTTACCATATTTCCTTCACCATTGAGTGTGGTACAATGTGAGTTCTGTTTGTGTGTCCGTGTCCTAGTGATTTGTATGTCCCAGTAATTCCTACATAAACTTTGGACCATCCTTATAATTTCTCTAATTTATATAAATCCCTTATTTCTCATCACTTTTAAGTTATTAGGAAATTATTATGTCAAATATGAGTCTTTTTAGGAAAAACATCTGGCGCCTAAAGTGTTAAGGCTGACCTCGATTCTGTGAGGAAATTACATCTAGAATGTGTTCTTTTTGATGTGTCTGGTCAAGATTCAAAAACTCTTGACGAAGGATTTAGAAGAAGCACATGCATGTTTAGGTCGCCAAAAATTATAAAACAAACCCATTTAAGAGCAATTTCAGTCACAAGGTGTGTTCCTTCAGAAAACCCTGACTGCTTTGGTGGGTGGTAGATGAGCGCACACCACACACACTCATCTTTAGTTGAAATAGCTGTTGCACAAAGCTCTCAATATTGTCATTCGAGATTTTACAACACAGTTTAGATTAGTTTTTAATATTGTAGCAAACCTATTGCTGTATTTTTTTTGTGTGGTGCAGGTCAGTTACAAAAGCCATTAAGATACACTGCATATTCACATTTCCACCGCCTCTACATTTCTATTTGACCTTAGAGTCTGGTACTGGGTCCCACCTACCTACTCGCAACAAACCAGAATCCAGATACATTCTGTGGTTTCCATTGATTCAAGCAGCACTCTGGCCAATAATGACATTTTAATACCAACTCAGAATTTGTATCTAATAAGGGTAGTGTAGAGTAGGCCAGAGTAGATCCAAGTATGGCCATGGAATGTAAAAAAAGAAAAATAACAAACACAAACATTACAGTCTGTTTTGTGTTCAGTGGCTACGCTGCCGACGACATCACCCACTGCATCCGACCTCAGGACATCAAGCAGCGGCGTGCAGTCATCATCCTGAGAAAGTGAGAAATAATTTCCTTTTTTTTCAGTAGAATGCCAACTTGGAGATCAACATTTTGAGAACTCTCTTTAAACTCCTAAGATTCTGCTTAACTTTTGTCGCTGCACCATTGAAGGTTTGCTTGTTGGTTCTGTGACTGGTTTGGTAACATCAGTCAAAGAAGTTCTAAACAAGGTTCTCCACTCTACAAAGAAGACTATGAGCTACCTGTTCCGGAGGCTCTTTATGAATCCAGACTCTTCAATTAAGCTCCTTTAACCCATTCAGAATGGAGTGCATTATTATAAACCTTCAGTAGAATAACACAAAAATATACAACCCCCACTCTGCTTGTAGCCTCTGCTGAAAAACAAAGACTGTGATGGAGCAGCCACCCTCCTGTGGACTCACCACCTGCAGGAGGACCAGCGAGGAGCAATTAAATCAAATTATTTATAATAATTTTATTAGAATGAATTCAATTATGTGGATGCTTTCTATAATACTGAAGGATTTAATTGGAAAATTACATTTAGCTACAAAGGTGAACATAAATGATGCATACAATTAATTATTATATAGAAAATGATAGGATTAATGTAGCACGTTTTTCTTAACTGCCTTACCAGTATGTGCTGTCCCTGTGTTCCCAGGACTAGGCCCGATGCCCCGCGGCTGGACTCTGATAGTTCTCCCCCAGAGAGACCACCTCCTCTCAAAGCCAAGCGCTCACACCGCAGAGCTGACCCAGATGCCGCCCACAGGTCCTACTCTTCATTTTATCTGTGTCTGTTTCACAAACCATGGCCTTAAACATACTTGCATTGAGTCGATTCAAAATGTCCCATAAGGTCTCCATTTCTTTTGTCCAACAAAGTCTTGCAAAAGTAACGTTTTGAGAACAATCCAAACAGCATAACATGCTGTCTAAATCTTAAAAAGACTGACTATAGCCTAAAAAGCTAAATAGAACGGAAAGCCATTCTTATCTATTTAAACGGCACATTGATTGATCCATTAGTGCAAAAGTGCCTGGGTCACTTCATGTCTCACTTAGTGCTTTTTTCAATCCCTGATTTAGCATGAAAAAAACCCACAGTTGATGTCCAAAGCACAAAATATGTCGTGTCTCATAAACTGTGGACATGTTGTGTTTTAAAGGAAATATGTTTGACTGAGTGCTTCAATTCAAATATTTAATCGTGATTACTCGCATTAATACCATAGTTAACTCACAATTAATTACAATTAATCACACATTTCCCTGTTCTAAATGTCTCTTGATTTGATTTGAAAAGAGATAGGATGCAGCTAAAAGCTCTGTCCAATCTTTATCCATTCCCCTCCAAAAAGACAGTATTTGGATTGTCCAAAATGGACAACTCAATCACTGCTTTTGTTGTCCCTTTTTACAGTGTATTGACCAGGGGTGTCCACACTTTATCAAACCAACATTTACTTTTACTGCAACCAATGAGTAGTGATCTACATAGGATTTATGTGGAGATTTACCATTCAGAATATCACATTTGGCTCATGATCCAGATGTGATTCATGATCAAGTATTGACCATGTTGTCTTTATTCACATTTCATTGGCAGGAAATAAGTGCTCTTGTTCTTGTGTAGTGTGGATCATATCATAAATGTCACTGACAGTGCTCAGTCTTTACTAGAAACACTCATGTACCACTGTCTACTTTGACCGTACACCCGGTCGTGGCCTCTTTATGTTCTTCTCCTGATGATGCGCTGTCAAAATGCAGTAGTACTTTTGTTTGCAGACTTGTTTGGACTGGCCGTGGCCGTGTGAGATGTGCCTTTCCTCACCGCGTACTCACACACACCGACAGAGGCACACTGGCCAGGCGCTCATCAGTCATATAACCTGCACATTTCTTTTCGAAGAGACCATGAGGAGAAAGACAAACTCATACACCGACTGTTTCCGCTGTACTGTCCTCTACACCTCTCCTTTGACTACACAGAGACAGCAGCAGTTATAGAGACAGACATTATATAGAGGCTTTGTAATTAATCTATATTAATTGTAGATAAATATTTGACCTGAGAACAGTAAGAAGTTTGCAGACTTGTTTTTTTCACATGGACTTTTAGTATTGAGTAAAATATTGTTTATTTTGTTTAACCAAGACCAACCGACCAGTAGCCATAGCGATAGCATATTTATAATACATTTTGCACGCCCTTATCTTCTATCACTACAGTCAAGTGTAATCCAGTGAGCATATCGAGGTGGTACTCAATCATGCTCTTATCGACGCTTCCATTTGTTCGTTTTTATAACAACATATTCCATCCCGTCACGTCACGGCTCCTAAATGTATTCACTCTTCAATCCACACAGGCCCCGAGTCCTGGAGATGGACAAAGAGGAGAACCGTCGGCAGTCTCGGTGGCGCCCCCCTCGTCACAGTTGGGAAAACCACAGGAGGAGCAGCCACGACTCGGACAAGCGCAGAGAGAGCCCGCGGCGCAAAGTCAAGATCAGACGCCACTGATCCCTCGGCCACTGTCGCAAATGTATACCCTCTCCTTTTTTCAAGACGTAACAGGGCTGAAAATAAGTTGTATATTTAGTTACACCCCCCCCCCCCCCTTCCCCTAAAAAAAATCTGTCATTTAAGCTGTGTAAACTCAAATGACAAAAGTGTATTTTTTGTATCCAGATGTACAGATGGGTAAAACAAAATAAAAATAAAATCTAAGTTGTACATAGATTTGCTGTGTGACAAACAAACTTGTACAGAGTTGTTGAGTTGAGGAGACATGTTTGCGGTGGACCTCACTGACCCGATGTCTTGGACTGTTGAGACACCTCACCAGGAGGATTTTGGTTTCTGGAGCAGCTTTATTTCATACTGAGTGGCCCGCGACGCATGAGGCACTAGTAGCTCTTTGGTAATAAACCCATTTGAATATTCTCAAGAGTCTTCATTTTTGTCACTCAAATGAAACATCTGTTGTATTAGTGGCATTGGTAGTCTCTGATAGACGTATTTGCAATATGCTAATTATCCCAATTTGAAAACGTGAACATTGCTAGATAAATCCTGGAGCTTATATACAAATCTACTGGTATATTCATACATTCAAATACTACACATCAGGACATTCAGTGCCTCTTAAAAGTACAAATACACCTTAAACTTATGTACAATTTTTCATGTTCACAGCTGTGGACAAAAACTGTTTTGTTTTTTTCTTTTTTATTGAAAGTTCACACACAAGTAACATACAAGTGTGAAGTGAAAATAAAATGATACATTATTCCATTATTTTAAAAAGGGAAAAATGGGGCCTGCACAGGTTTTCCTACAGCTTTTTTAAAACTAAATATAACTAAATATTCTTAAATGTCATCCGAGTGCGCTGCTGCTCTACTTTTGGACTCAGGCTTAAACAGTTATCTTGCAAAGGCAATGGTAGATTTAGTAATCCAATGTTTGAAGATGCATATATTAAATAGATAAAACAGTTTCAATACTGTGCAAGATCATTAAAGTGCTTTAAATGAGTGAAATTAACTTAACTGTTCCTAATGTCAGTGCAGCCCTCACTGAGTCTCTTATGTATCATTTAAAAACTTATTTTATAAAGAAAACAAATACGCTATTTATATTATCATAAACATTGAAACTTAAACGCAATAAGTAAGCATAAAAAGTACACTTTTAGACACAGCAGTCGACAACACTGAACCTTGCCTTTGATCCAGCTCCACAAACCCTTGATCCATTGGTTTGCCCCTTTTTGTCTCTATTCTATGAGGACATTTACATTCTGTACTGATATTGTGAAAGAATGAGATGTGACCATTTTAAATATGAATTATCTAACTTTAGAATAAGAATCTCTCTTTAGATCTATATGAGCATAGATCAGTGTACTCTAATGTTCATATATGGTGCACACACAAACACGTGATAAATAGATAAATATACCCCTTGGTGCGGCCCAGATTTACCCAGACTCGATGTTGTGCGTTCCCCAGATAGAGTTTTGGACGCTGGTCTATCTAATGAGGTGATAAAGGTTCTGGTACAACCTATTGGGTTTCTTCTTTTCTTTTTCTTTTTGCCTTTTACAAAGAACCTCCAGCTTCTAGCTTACCTTGTGTCTGTGTTTTTTTGGTCTACTCAAGTCCCCCTGTCAGCTCCATCTGGGTCTTGCAGCAGTTATTGTATATCTTTTCTCTTAGATAAAGATATTTTTGAGACTGTTGTTGTTTCATAATGCACATGGTGCTGGTCCCCTGTTGTGGCCTGCTAGGTCTTATTTGCAGGTTTTTTTGCTTTCTGTTTTTCTGCATCAGGGTGTACCTTGGCGTTCTGAGTCTCAGTTGCCTCCTGGACATCCAGGCTTATTATTTATCCCCCTTTTTGGTTTTCATTACTTGAGGAAAGCCTTTCTGGAGAGCTGGTGCTGCTGAGACTGTATGTATGGCCTTGAGCACCAACAGAGGTGCTTCTACAACAGATACGGTCTCATTGAGGACTTCTCTCTCTGTGCTGACGTTCTCCACAGCTGTGTGTGTGGTGAGCATCAGACACCAGACTGCAGTGTTCCAGAATGAGCTGCTTCTCCATCTACAACACTCACAGCAGGTTTGACCTTGAGTTCTATGAGATCATGTCTTACTGTGATTGTGATATTGGCTTTATAGAAGTTGACATCTTTGTTCACGTCCTCAGAAGCACCCAGCACAATTTGAGCTCTGACCTTGTTCTTCTTGATTTTCTGCACCTTGGATCTGTCTGGCTCTGATCCAAGAACACTGAGCTCATCCACAGGAAACAGTAGGCTCTTTTTGGCGCTTCAGTATAAAGCTCCTTGGCCTCTCTCTCCTGTTCACATTTCTCTTTCCAGAAGTCTGTCCAACAGGGATTTTTGCTCCTGCTCCCACATGGATTTCAAGTAAGTAATCTTTATTCATATGGCGGCTTTCATAGACACCATTCAAGAAGGTGTCTTGAATCTTGAAATAGAATGTTGGCCGTTGTCATACAGTGGGGTTCCTAACACTGTAGGCTCCCCAGCTTTAAGAAAGTATATCACATAAGATAATATAAAATAACCTGTATTAGTCCAAAAGTGGGGAAATTGTCTAGATTGTACGAAGGACATCAAGGCTGCAGTGATGAAGAGATAGCAGGGAACCAAAGCAAATATATTTTAACATAGTAATGCCAGACTAGACACAAAAAATGCATAAAATGTGTTTTGTACATACCTTCACACACATTTCAATACAGAATGGATGGTTTCCTCTATTCATTTATTTCTTATTATTAAGAAAAGGCCAACCGTATGTCACCTTACTGCACTGAGGCTTGACCTTATAGAGTTTTGATAATACAATTCATCCATGGGCTTGACCATTTCCAGCCTATGGGCTTGACTTGACCAAGGCCGCATTCCAATTCAGAAATATCTCCTCACTTACACATCCTTGTCTTTTTAAATATACTTTTGAAGAGACAAAGCAGCTTGACGTTTAACCACAAGACATTTAAGACTGGTTGAATTCCCCTCACGTCCAATGTTTGGCTTCCAGATCAGCGATTAAGAAACGGAAGTATAAAGAAGGAGGTTGTGCTTTGAACTCGGACGCAGCCGCCAGTGTCAGATGTCTGTGGGGCACGTGCGCGTGTCAGCAGCGGAGCCAGTACCGAGCAGGACCCAGCGGCAGACGGGCTCCACAGGCTGGACACACGCTGACCAGACCCGCACACGCACTCACGGTAAAAAATAAATGCTCCAAAGAACCGGTGGGGGGGCAATAATTAACCCAAGACAACGGTTCGGAGCGGTCCCGTGTGACTGCTGCCGCCCTTGGTTTCGCTTCCCGTCCCGTGTTGTTTACCTCCGAGACTTGTTGGAAAGTTCTGTGTCCTGTTATGATCAAACCAGCTCTAAAGTTTCTGAATGAACTCTGTGTCGCTACTGTTCACCTGCGTATTCAAAGCGTGGTCCGTCTATATCGCCATACTGTTACATAGTCCATTCATATTATAATGTATTCTGAATTATTGGGATTACTTCTGATTTTTCTATTCTTAGAGTGTGGACATGCATCACATGATTAGATAGTTTGTTGTTGCAATGTTGATGTAACTGATGTATTTTCATCAAGGGTAAAACATACCTGCATGCTCAGTGGCAATAAAGTATTAGTGTTATTATTAGTTTAATAATAGTCTGTCTTTATGAAATCTAACTTGTATGATTGGGGTCTTGTTTTTTGTAACTGTGTTTAGAAGTCATATATTGAATGATTACCACTAGGGTTGTAGTTGGGCAAATACATTCTTTAAAGGTACACTGTGTAATGTTTACAGTTGCTCCAAATGAAAAAAAAACATGTTAACTAATAACAAATGTGACCTTTCTAAGAATATTTACCTCCATGTTTTTTGAATTGTTGTCACAGACTTAGGATTTGAATTATAAATGTCCATGAGAGCTGAGGACTCTCCATGACAATGCGCCATCTTGAAATACATTGGTTGATAAGGGACAAAAAGGATGTGAGAATCGCGTTTTTGTTTCACCAGTGATATTAATATCGTTGCTTCCACTGTGTCCTCACAACTTTGAAGTAAGAACCATGGAGGACCACAGTTATATAAAAGAACGACCCACACAACTGGCACCTCTGTGCAGCGCGTGCCGCTTCACAACGCTTCACGACTTTGTTGACATGTCCACCTCCATGCACGTGCGCGTGGAACATTTGTAGCGCGGTAGTGTATGGAGAGATCCGGTCATTTATCAAACTAAAGGATTCTTTCCTTAGTGGTCCGGTGAATTACCAGGCGTTGGAGACCACTGTCAAACACGACATATGGTCCTTGGAGGCTCCCGTAGTGTTGGTGGTAGACGTTGACTTGCAATATATAATCTCCAAGCTAGATTGGAGTAAAAACTACACAGTGTACCTTAAGACAACGTTTAAGAGTGAAACATAAAAATCACAATACAAACAAGTCAAAATAGTGGCTGGATCGTTCTATTTATTTCCAAAGTTAAGAGGCCTGTTCAGTCATGGTTAGGACTAATCAAACATGTAAGAATGAATAGAAATGTCCTGGGTCTTCCACTGGTCATTTACAGAACACCTCCCCAGGAAGGTGTCTAGAAGGCCTCCAGAACAGATGCCTGAGCCACCTCAACTGGCTCCTTTCGGTCATTACCCATCCTTCCATCACTCGTGAACCTAGAGATACTTGAACTCCTCCACTTGAGGAAGGACTTCTGCACCAAAAAAAATATTTTAAATAAGGTTTGTATTTCTCCAATTCAACTGCATTTTGACCGTCCAATCTGAGTCCAGTCACATCTAACAGTGGGATTATAAGTGAGAATTGGCTTTTCATTGTATTCAAGCAAAAATGTTATCAATTAAAGAAATACAACTTTGTGTATCCCTAATTAGAATCTCATAAAAGTCCATAGTGCAGACCTTACTTTAAAAGCACCTGTGATGCCCAACCTTTTTATAAAAGATTAATATAACGGGTCTCATTATTATTCTTCCAACACAGATAACCAGAGAAAAAACTATGGCCAGCTACCTGCCAAAGCTCTGCATCTGCTGACACTAGACCCGGTGTAGCCATGATCGGCTCCCCAGACCTGCTGGCCTTCTCCGGAGCAGAGGGCTTTTCCATGGAGGCCACCTCAGAGGAGGAACTGGAGGCGGCGAGTCTGCCCGAGGAGCTCTCTGTGCCACTGTTCAGCCCCGAAAACCCCTGGAGCAACTCTTCACGCTTCAACAGAGACTTCATCCTGGTGGCAGAGTTCTCTGAGCAGGTGTGTGTAACCATTCAGGAGAAAGCTGAGCAGAATAGATGAGGTTGATAGAACTCCTTTTGATGGATGGAATATTTATAAAAGACTTCACTGCAATGAACAATACAAGACTGAAAGGAGCTTGTGCCACTTGTGCAATTCTAAAACTGTAAATGCATCATTCCCTTGAACAAATAGTCTGCAGAATTAAAGTGACATTTTATGAACAGATCACAACCGTCGGTGTTCATCTTAAACCAAAACCTGCATACAAACTGCAAAACCTGAGAGTTTTGGTGCTGTGCTGTGCTCTAGAGGTAGTTAAGGTTTTATGTCTTTCAAATGTGGGAGGTGCAGAAGTGTGTGAAACCACCATTCACTGAAAAGGTAAATGGACTACACCACAGCAAAACATTCCATTGTCTCCAATTTCTACTGGCCACTCATATCATCTATCTTCTGGACTCATGTTGTGGCTGCTTTATCATGGATTAACAAAACGGAGACTGGAAGACAGTTTTTCAGCACACAACCTTCCAATCAAACAAACAAAAGCAGAAGTCTCCTTTAAAGTATCTAGTACTCATACATCTAATTCTGCCAATCGGTGTTTTTAGACGGGATCATCTACACTTGTTTTGAGTCTCAGCTGCATGGTCCTATCAGCCCTCATCCCCCATGTGCTGTATCCCCAGGTGGGCCCGTCTCCGGTCCTCACCATCCCGGACGACCCCAGGGTGATGGGCTCCTTTGACTTGAACCACTTCTCAGTGCGTATCATGTCAGTGGACTACCAGGCGTCTGGGCCTGCCCCTGCCCCGCCCTCCTGCCCCGGGCCCAGGCTGAACTTCAGTGAGGACTCCCGTGTGGTGCTTGGGGACTCCGCCGAGGACGCCTACGCCTACGTCCACCACGTGACCCTGTTCGACCTGGAGGCTCGGGGCATGGTGCGGCCCTTCTGCATGGCCTACGTGTGCTCAGAGCAATCCAAGCTCATGGAGAACTTCTGCGAGCTGTCTGCGAGCTTCTCCAGGGCCTCGGACAGTCTGAAGACTGGCAACAGACAGGCCTTCTCCGCCGAGCTGCAGAGGAAGCTGCAAGAGCTCGAGTAAGTGACCCTGACCGTGTTACTGCAGTCACCTCACTACTTTTGGTTTATCGTTTGTAATGGGAGCATTTACAGGCTGATATCATTTTACTCCTACAGATATACACTCAGTTATTTTCAGATACACCGATCCATGGGCTGTTAAACATTTAAATCACTCATACTGTTTAAACTGTGCTTAAGACATTTCTTCCTTCACAATGGTACTCAGACTGCGGATCAACTTAGCAAACGGCTGATCATTTTCCTCTTTGAGCAAATAGGACTGCACAATTCTGCAGAATTACCAGCGCAGATTCAGGAAAGAAAATTAGCAACTCAATTAAGTAAAGGCAGAGGGGATATGTCGTGGGGCGCAGACTTGCATGGATCGTTCTCAACACAACATTGTGTGTGAATGAAATGACAGATAACGCAGTCAAAACCTTATGTCCCATTTAAAGAGCAAAAAAACCTGAATGTACTTATCCATCATCCAAAGGTTCAAGCGGCTGTCCCTGAAGCAGGAGACCCTTCTTCCCCCTGTGCAGCAAGGGCCGATAGGAGAGCCATCGGACCTGGAGGTCTTAGAGCTGTCCATCCACACCCACCGCGAGCTGCTGCGCCAGGTCACCTCCTACCCCAACAGAAAGCTCCGGCAGCCCGACTTCTTGCCCTACGATCCGGCCGAGTCCCTCCCTGACTCCTCCCTGCTCCCCTTGGACCCCTGCCGTGAGCACCGGCCCCAGCTCAAGGCCCTCCCTGAGCTCTGCAACTCCTACTTCCTGGGCGTGGTGAAGGAGCAGCTAGCCGACACGGAGGCCCGGCTGCGGGGCGACCGTAGCGCTCTCAGGACCAACTCTGTCCTTGGCCCGCTCACCAAGTGCCTGCCGCTCACCAGTTTCCTGTTCGAGCTGTGGCCGAGCGACCCCTTGGAGGAGGAGGAGGAGGAGGAGAGGGGCCAAGTCAGAGGTGGGTAGAGTGGTTGCAAACTGACATTGTAACTGAAAATATATGTATTTAAGGTCTTTAGTAACGAGGAAGCCGGAAGTTTTTACATTTGTGACTGTAGAAAGAGTATTGTTACACTTTGACCTCTGTGGTGACCATCTTCAGCTAACTGCAGTCCTGAGGCCCCTGAAGCAGACCCGCTCAGCCTGGAGTCCTTCTTCTCCTGTGTCGAGGAGATTCCCATAAAGATGGAGGCAGAGCGCAGATGTACTTCAACCCTTGACCGCTCCGTTTCCATGGAGATGACTGGAAGCGTTAGTAGCAGCGACAGCATTGAGGTGCTGACAACGGAGAAGTCTTTTCGGACACAGCAGAGCAACAGCGACTGTGAGAGCAAAGGTAACATTTGAAATGTCTTTACTGTTTGTGATATTTGAGACAAAAGGTAACTTTGTTCTTATTTAGTGTTCCAATACCTTTATGCAAGATTGCTGTATGCACTTCTCAAATGTTGGTGACAAATCTAGCTGTAGTTGAGTGCTGTGTTCCTCGTGCAGAGTCTCCAGGCCTGCTGGTGGAGCCGGTGTCCAAACGTGTGCCTGTAGATGTGAGGCGGGGGAGAGCCTACGCCCGCCGGGCCAACAGCGAGGACAGCATCGAAGTCCTGAGCACCACAGACTCCATCTTACCCGAGGACCTGAGTGCCATAACTGAGGAAGCAGAGCCCTCCCCACAGTCCAACAGGAAGCTGCCCCCCCATCCTCCAAAAGAGCTCCCAGAGCCATCAGAACCAGCAGCCCTAAGGCCCCACCATACACATGGACCAGAGGAGCAGGGGACCAAGACAGGTGTGGGCACACTACTCTTATTACTCACATTTAAGAGTCAAAAACCGACATAAAAGTTTCAAAAGGGTCATCTGAACCAAGTTCTCAGTGGCAATGTTTTGAATGATGCGACAAGATGGCCTGAGAACTGGAAATTGGAAATAGAGTTAAGGAGTTCTAACCTGGCTCACGCCAGATGGCTGTGTGTAGCCCTCAGAATGAATGTTTTGGGTCGGTTTTTTGCCCAGCGACTCTGTCCCTACAAGGAGAAATAAAGGACACCTTAACCAGTTCCAGAACTAGCCCATTGTCTGTGTCAATGACCTACAGTTACACTGAAAATGTTTGATGCGTGTCATGTGGATGGACACCTGAATTTCCCCTACAGGAAAATCTGTAAAGTATTTATCCTTAATCATTATGGATCTTAATTTGAAGTTCATGTTGTTTAATGTTTTTTCCCACAGCCATGCCCCCCCTGGAGCTGTCTGAGTGGCCCAGCCCTGGGTCTCTGGTGGAGTCTTTGCAGGTCACCTCTCTGTCTTCTATGGCTCGCTGGTCCCAGGGCAGCCCACCGACTCGGCTCCTCAGTGTGGATGAGCGCTCTGACTGCACCAGTGCCACAGGCTCCTCTGATCCCCCAGCCGTACTCCTTTCTTCCACGCAGGGCATCAGGAGGAGGCGCAGGAGACGCAGGAAAGCTGGGTTGCGAGCCCTGCGATTCATAAAGCAGCACTCTTACTACAAACACGTGCTCTACTGCCTACTGTCAGGGCGCCCCCTGGTGGTGGTAGGGGCAGACGAGGCTGTGCTGAGGAAGGTGGTGGACGGCCTGAGTCTGTTTGTGCCCGCGCCTGGACCGGAGCAGCGGGTGGTCCTTCCCAGTCTGAGCAGCCCCCTGCACCTCCCGGACCTGCTCACCTGGAGACTCATTGGCATCCACAGGTAACACATTATAAGGGTCCACTAACACTCATCTACTTAGCGCTCAGGAGCTAAGCAGTGCAGGGTTTGGTTCATTTTTGGATGGGAGATGACAGTAATGTCCGTTGACAACACGTTTCACACACCCGACTTTGTCTGGGGATAGTGGTGTTGGTGTTGCAAGGGGCAGGTGGGGTGAAAGGCAGCTTCACTTCTATCAGTCTGCACCAGGGCAACGTTCCATGAAGTCACACAGGCTTTAAATACCATGTATGGTTACTGTAGTTATATTGTAGTGTCCTTGGGCAAGGCTCACACTTCATAGTATGACTTCGATGTCAATAAGCTGCAAGAGTTATGGCTTTCTTAGAGCAGACTTTTTTACAACTAAGGTATTAGTATTAGATAGCAATATGGCCTAATGCAGGACTCTACAAGGACTCTACAAGGACTCCATGTTATGACTATGATGTGACTGTCTTTGTGACACGTATGTCTTTCGATGTGTGACGTGACAATGACTATATAAACTGTGTACTGCCTTTATTCTGTCTGAGAGGAAGAAACAGAGGAAACCAGTGGAACTTGAGAGAAACTTAAATAAACTTCCAGAGTTTGGCACACCACGATCCGTCTCTGTCTGCTAAATCCTAACAAAGTAAAACTCACTTCTAATAGATGGAGTTACAATACAAAACACATCCTGCATACAAGATATCATTTCCCGTTCTAAAACATGGATATCAATGTAAAATATTCTATAAACCAGTGTTCTTATGGGTTATGGTCATATTACAAACGTTAAATTCTAACCAGTGCCCTATGTGTGCTAGGTCTTCTGGGAGTGCCTCTGCTGGGGTGGTTTCCTCTCTGAGCCGCTATAGCCGTTACCTGTCTGTGCTGGAGCTGGACCAGAGGACCCTGAAGGCCCCTTTGTACTCAGGCTCGCTGATTGGGCACCTGGCAGAGGCACAGTGTGGCTTTAGCAGAGGTCTGACTTACCTTCTGCATGTGGAGAGTGAACTGAGTGTGCTCCAAAACCAGGCTCTGCTCTATGCCGTCTGTCCCCTCTACAGACAGCGTCTCAAACTGACTCACTGTGACCACAGAGTGCTGCAATTTCTGTCTGACCTGGTGGCCCAGCAGCACGCAGGCCAAGGGCCCCCTGTGCTGACCTACACTTACAGCTCCATGCACCTGCACCGGAATACTGCTGCCCCCTAGAGCCCAGGACGATACTTACTACCAGTGCAATATCAAGATAAGACTCCTTTCTGGAGGTGTTCGTTCTGACGATGCTGCTGAGTCAAGGTTTACAATAGACCATTGCTGTCATGTTTTTATCAAGTTTGAACTGCACTTAATACAATGAACGGTGATGTCCCATTTTTATTATTTTCTTTTGCAGATGGGTATACAAATGATTTTAAAATAATATTGGCAAAACAGGCTGGAATGTGATGCATGAACAGAAGTGTACAATAAATGTGTTTGACAGTTTGATCTAAACTCATTCACTCTCATTCTGCCAATTGTTTTGATCAAACAATTAAACTGATGAATACTTAGCCTTTTGTTTCATTGAACATTCTTTATACCAGAGGTAATTCAAAGGATTAGACATTTATCCAAAAATACAAAACATCTAGCAAACATAAGACCGCCCGCAAATCAGGCCTGCAGTACTCCTGACAGATGAACTACGTAAAGTGACAAAAACCAGAATTCCTCCGCAGCAGCAAAAAGGTAACAGTGCAGCGCCAGCCCCTCTGGAGACCTCTGCTGGACATCTGTGAGATAGCCACACATAGATGAAAGGAGGTTAATGCCTTTGTAATGTTCAGTTACTGTATTGTTTTGACCATTTACATAATTAACACAACACAATTAAGTATTTCATCTTATTTGTTGGCTACCGAACTGATGATTAACTCGCTACATTAGCATATAATACCTCATTTTAAAGCTATTGTTCAAGAAAGACAATCATGCCATTTAATTCATTCTAAAAAAATGAGTGAAAGTCGATACAATACTTTAGGGTAACTATATTCTCACTTATCAATTTCAAACATGTGTATCCTGCACTAACCACTCACCATAGTCAGCTTCCATTTGGAATGTGTGCACTCTTTATTTGCAGGATGGCCTACAGATGGACAAGCACACATTAAACATGTTTAAAATGTGTGTACAAAGTGCAGACTCACAGTAAGTGTTGGTCACAGGGTAGGGAATGCAACAAGAGTGAGAGCTAGTCAGGACATGGCTGCATATGAGCATGGAAAAAAACCTGTAATAGACTAAACAAAGTCTCCCCTGGACTTTTCTCCTGTCATGTTAACACAATTTTTGTATATTTCATCACTGCAACATGGACCACGAGACAGACCCCTGTGATCCCATACAAGGGTGGGATCACACCGCTGAAATAATCTACCTCGCAAACAATTTAAGATTTAAATAATATTTTTTGTCAAACAAGCAAACGTGAATCTCTTGTTGAAAGATCTGGAGCCCAACCAACTGCTGTTTTCAGTTTTATATTTTCCTAAAGTAACAATGTCTGATATGAACCACTGCTCACTCCATTGAGCTCAAGTTGTCGACTGAATAACGCTGGAAAGGTTCAGGGTGTTCACAGTAAAGTGTTACAGTATCTGGACTTTAAAACACTGAATGTACTATCATAGATTGGAAAACATTTCAAACACAGACATATAGAGATAGTGTGGATACAATCAAAAGGAAAGATTGACAAATACATGTTTTGCAACATTTTAAAAGACCAAATCCTTCTACTGTGACGCCAATTAAAAAGAAAATACAAGGTCATCAAAAAGGCAAATCAGCAGATGAACTGCCACGAGATTAACATGGGTGACACTACATGGGTAAATCACTTGATTTAAAAGTGTAACGAAGTGATTGTTTCAGGTAACTTTTTTCTAAAAATTTAACTTGAGACATTTTTTTACTAAATGATTGTCTGAAATATTTATAAATATATGAAAGTTATCACTATGAATCTTTTATCAACAGCTACTGGACCGATAAATAAACAACACAAAATATCTTCTGATTATTCAAATCTGTTTTTTGGCCTTCTGTCTCGCTTCTGTACCCTTTAGTGTGAACAAGCCCTTCACGAAAAAACGTTGATCATCTAGTTGGAACAGTAACCTAATGAACACAAATATCTATAAATGTAGGATGTAAATCTGCACCACTGTGATGATATCCAGACGAGGGAGACACTTAAGGCCAGGAAAGGGCGTGCATGAATACGTACAGATTGTTGTGCTTGGAGGCAGGTACGAGCGTGTAGAGAAATCCCAAAGTCTTATCTGCATCAAAAAGAGGGAGGAGCTCAGTCACAAGAGCAACTGATAAGCCTAGGATCCAATCTGAAATCCTGGCTCTTATGGCCCATAGTCCCCCTGGGCCATCAGTCTAATAAATACCCATCAATGCAAAGAATGCTTGCACTTCTGCGGCTGCAAAACTGAAGCCACGGAATAATATGTAAACTTAGTGCAATTCTGAAAAAGGTCCTGCCTTTGTTAAAATTATGTATTGCTTTCCTGCATTGTCATGAGCAGCATAAATCCATTAAGAAAAGAAAGAAGAAATCAATATGCTGGGTGACCACACTGATTAGCCCACGGGAAATATGGAACATCTGAGTCGGGATATCAGACTGGATCGCAGGCGAGCTCATAATAGCAGATGCATGTTCTTCAGGGTATGGGCCCCTGACCTGTGCTCTGCTCCATCTCCTGGGTCAGCTCTACCATGATGGAGTCCAGGCGCACCGAGGACGACAGGCTGTTCCAGAGCCACTGCAGCGCCCACGTGTTGTTCTGGGCGCAGAGAGAGAGGACACAAGTCACGCCACCAGCTTTATGATAATCACATGGAACATACGATACAGCTTGATTCAGACTGCAATGGTGAGAAGTGGGTGAGTACCTGATAGGTTAGTAGCACAGGGAGAAGAGGGCGGAGAGGGCCGAGGAGGATCCTCTGTGACAAGGCCTCTGTGACCAGCAGCAGCAGCGCCTGGTGCGGGTACACCTGCCCACACAGACCTCAGTATGGTCAGCTCCAGCTCAGACAAAGACTCCTCCTTTCTTACACTTTCACTTCAAACAGCCACATTCTGTTGCTTTTAAACCTTGGGTCTTTTTTCTGCATAAATAATACACCTTATCTTACACAAAAGGTCTTGTTAAACGGAATTGTTGCGAACACGTCAGACCACAACATGTTATCTTTTGCGTATCTATTTGCTGCTTTAGATTGAGAGGGTGGTCCTGTCTGATATTTTTCTGTCTGAAAAAGCTGATCTAAAGGCCTATCTTAGGACTGGGAAAACTGGCAAAAAGTTTTTTCTCATCTCACATTGACCAATATTGATATATTTTTTTTATTCAAATGGAAACAATGCAAAACTGGTAGAGCAAGGATTGAGTGGAGGTAAAATTGTATGCCGTCCATCCTCGACTCCTCTTCAGACTCTTCTGTCATTACTACCATTTTAGATGTCCATACATTGTAAACTGAATGTACTTTTGGCACAGCGCTATAGGGTTTGTCTGTACTCTGAAAGTTAGGTATTCCAGCTTTAGGCATTTCTTTTTTGGAATTATATACTTCGAGTCTCTATAACTAACATTAATGTCTAAACATAAACAAAAAGGCTTTATGGACTGGATGTATGCACAAGGCATATTATACAAACATTACAACTGTTTTTTTCCCCATAGCCCAAATGTATGCACTTTACATCAAACTATGCAGTGTTGTTGATGCTCTAAACTAAACTCTGTTGCTCTCTGTGATCATGACAAATTAACTCTTATATTGGATAAATGACAACTAAAATCAACAAAAGAAAAATATACCAATGTCGCTGTATAGAAAGAGTCCTGGATTCAGGAGCTTGTGTTTGTTAAACCTTCGGCAGCAAAGTAGCGTTAGGAGGACGTAATACTTTACATTGCTTCCATGATCCCATGAAAATAAAAGTGAAGTAGATATTTTGATACATTCTCCATTGTGAGGTTAATGCCTATGGAAAGTTTACAATCTTTATCATTTTGCTGTGTGTGATCTTAAATTATATATATTCTCTCTTTTTTTCAACTGCATTGTGCACAACTATGACACTGCAACTTCCCCATCTTAAATTCAGTCATGATTTTTGTCTAAATAAATGACGCCTTAGAAGCAAAATCAAACTCAGGCTTGCATAATATGTGTGACACAGCCGGACACTCACCGTCTGGAAGTGACGAGGGATGTGGAAGTTGCGGGAGGTCTTGCTCAGAGCCACTAAGGACTGGACCAGTTCTTTGGCGTCCTGCAGAGAACATGTGCACATTGAGGCCAGAGTCACGGCGCCAAGGTGAGACCACTCAAGAGGTACGTACGCGGAGGTATTGTGCAGAAGGCTCCGGGAAACCAGCTGTGAACCCAGGAGCAGAAGTGACCACCGAGAGGACACTGACCCAGCACAGGCTCTGACAGGGGCACAGGGAGAGAGGACACTGACCACTGAGAAAAGGACTCACCAAGTGTTTGTTTTTGTGCGACTTGTGAAAGCAAAATAAGGCTGTAAAACCCCTCACAAAACACTTCACACACTTTTCTAACCACCTGAACTCACAACTGCTGAAGTGCGAATGTGGAAATGTGAAAGGTAACTGTCATGTTAGACAATGTTGTTGGAGTATACAACACGAGAAAGCTGAACCGTGTTCTAGGAACCACTCTAAATGAAGACACTCCTTGAGCATTTTACGTTTTACATTATTCATGACCTCTCTGAAGAATCGTATTACACATTGTCTTGAGAAGCATTTTATGGTAGCATTCATGTTGTAGTATGATATTTCTATTTCTGTAGTAGTTTTAAATAATAGGCTTTTTGGAATGATGTGATGTCACATGAAGGAAACCCTTTTCATACCAGTGTTATTTTGAATGTATTTAGTAAGTAAGTGATCAATATTAATTTATATAGCAGATTTCTTTATTTCTAATAGCAAACTGAAAAATGTTTCATATTCATATTAATATTTCTAATAATGTTTCAGTCCAATCCTCTGCTGTTGAAGGAGTTGCATTCAGCCAGTTTCTACTTACTGTTTCTCTTTTGCACACACTTCTCTCCAGAGCAAAACAAAATAAAATATTGTATTCTTCTGCTTCTCCTCTTTAAAAAAAAAAAAGTAGTCTATAGCCTTGGGCTGAGTTCCATTAATCTGACATTTACATTTGTGAAAATGTTCAATAAAATGTATTGTTCCTTCTTTCTCAAATAAATAAAATTTGGAAATAACTTAAAAATGTCCTAATAGCTAACCAGTATTGAGTTGCAGGAATTTCTAAAAGAAAAAAATCAGCATCGGTCTCAGAAAACCCAGATTGGTCGATGTCTAATTCAGACGGGTGAGAACCATGGTGCAGGTCAGGACGTTGTTTGGTTAGTTGGAGTCGGTGTGGAAAGTGTTGGGTCCAGTCAGGAGAGCAGGCGGAGAGCGGACGTGAAATGAAGTGGACCTTACCTCATTGAGGATGTCGGAGGAGGTGGCCTGAGCTTTGAGAGCAAACTTCACCAAGTCCAGACTCTGGAGACGCACCGCACCTGCACAACAAACACTTCACAATCCCACTACAATTTCACAGAGTGACGATGAACAACAATTGAACGTTCAAAATTCAACCATTTCGGCTTAAAGACAGATTTGTGTAGAGTGTAGATATCAGTGGTAACAGAAGTCTCTATATAAAAAGATAGGTAGTCGTGTGGGCCAGATATTTCAATAAATTGAATGCAAAACAAAATAAATAACTCAAATGAAACATCAGTGAATCCCTGTATAAAAGATTCAAGTCACAATATTTTCAAGTTGATCCTCTTGGATAGATTCATCCAAACATTAATTTGTCCCACAGTGGGGAGCAGTTGGGTCGGCCATAATGCATGCAATGAGGACCATGCAGATGTTCTCTCCTGTAAGTAATGGCTCTGATGAAACAAGTCACATTGTTTCATCAATAGTATTAATCCCCATAAATCTGTATACAAAGTGAATATAAACTTGTATATGGAGAAAATGGAAATGTATAGGGATTGTAAAAAAAAAAAAAAAATTGTAACAAGGATTTGATTCATCACTCTGTCAAGCGTCTCGAGACCTGAGTACAGAAAGGCACTGCTCCTTTGGCGCCTAAGTCTTTCATGAAATGTACTGTGAGACAGACAAAAGGCATCCTGAAACTGTACAAGAGACAGGAGACTACTTAAAAAAGAACATCAGTTAATATAAAATGAAAATAATTTGATAGGTGTTGGAAAATCATTTGTGGGAAGGCAGGTTTCTGTACATAAAGTATAGTCATAAGCTCACGCTGAAGTTATACTTTGGCACCCAATAGTTAACTTGGTAAAGTCTATTTTCACAGAAATAATACGTTTTACCTGGTGCTACTTCTCATCTGTGGATTATTCGACCAATATTTTACAATACAACCATATTGCCTTGATTACTTGCATCACTTTTTTACTAAATTCACTAACCAAAAATAGCATTGCAAAAAAATGAATGAATGAAAGTGCATACAAAAATAAGCAGTATATAATACCCAGAGTTTGTACCGTTTCCAGCTAAACCCCAGAAGATGGATTGCATCAGTCATCAGTGTTTAAGAGCTTCCTGCATGTGTCACAGGCAGGAGATTCTAGCAACAAGAGTTAGTAGTCTAATAAAGTTATTACAATTACAATCTAAGAGTGCAGATAACACACAGTTCCTTTCAGATTGTAAAACCATCCTCAAATCCACCTCAGGGCTGGGATCACTAGAAAGCTATTTTGGCCTGGATGAAAGACTGAGTTGGACATTCACATCTGACTTTTCTTGGTAAATTATAATTGAAATAAAGCATTATCAGCGACATGATCCCCCATGAAGCAGCCGCACTTTGAGAGTGCATGTACCCTTGAATGGTCACCTTGGATGGGCTTCCAGGCTGTACTCCGGGAGCACAGGTCGGCGGGTGTGCGTAGGATATTGACCGGAGCAGTGGCAGTCTGAAACATGTGCATGTAAGCCATGAACAGGGGGGGCGTCAGACAGGCCCTCGGATACGTCAGCAGGTTCTGAAGGGAAGAGACCAGCTGTCCATCCGCACACAGGAAGATTGGCATCAAGTCCAGCACCTGGTCTAAGCTGGACAAAGGCACAAATTTAGGTAGACTAAATTTATTCAGAAAATAGCATTGTGCTAAATTCTGGTATAATTAGTTATGTTCATATGTAAATATGTATATTCTGTCAGATTGGGTGGGCAAATATGTGTAGTGAACAAAAAATCCTCCTCGACATTTATGTCATTATTTTATTTTTCACCTGTACAAACAGGAATGCTTTAACCTGGTTAACACCAGACATATCACAAGTGGCAACTTCCGTCTGTGGACAGTCATCATCATCTTGCCATAACCTCCCCGTTCAGTGATCGGTCCCCAAATCCATGTGAACATTTTGACCCATTCTAATCTAAGAATGTTTAATGGTACCTATGACGTTAACGAATGTTTAACTTATTAGTTTGTTATTCATTTGGAAATTGTCAAGTGTACAGCGCTATTTAATGGATAGGGTGGACAACACTGACAGAGAAAGTCTGTGTAACATTGATATAAAAAATCTCCTTAATAGAAACTGTCTTCTTGTTTCATTTATACTGTTAGTTGACACAATAAGTACCAGAAGATTTGACTGATTCATTTTGACTGATTAAACTGATTTGACTGTTTCATTTTGGTGGCACACAGGAGGACTGCACTGATGTTAAGTTTGTCCATATGAGACTTACATCTTGGGTTCATCGCTCTGGACCACTCGGAGGTAGCGACACAGCTCTCTGTACCTGCAAACACAGAGATATCGGACATGAAATGAGAAGGAAGTGTGAATGTAATTGTAATTACTTTATCAGACCACTAATTGTGCATATACCATTATGGTCCTCAATTAGCCAAAGCTTTCACGCCCACTCACTATTTGTTATTAAATTTATCTGAATTCCTATAAAAAACTTGTAACTATAGATGACCATCTAGATATATTGCTAATGTATTGGGACCCTTGCAAATGTGTATGTATTATGGCCCTTAAGCAAACCGAATGTCCAGTGACATGCTTTCCCCTAAAATGTAGGCTTACGAATACACAGTCAAATTCATTCAAACTGGTTTCTCACTTGTCAAGCAGAAACGTTATAGTGCAATAATAATAAATAGTAACAGGCCTTTGCACCTCTGGCCTCACTTCATGTCAGTTAATAGATTGCTTTCACAAACCATCTGAAGGACTGGCCTGAACACTCACACCTGTCATTATTGTCACCGTCCTGCGTGTATGTTTTGACAACATTATTGTTGTTGTTTTTTTTTTATTTATTTATCTAGAGCTTTGTTAATAAGTATAATATTAATTGGGTTTTATAAAGAGCTTTTTTATGACACCCAAAAACGCTCGTCATGGCAATATTCTTCTACTACTGTAGCCACAGCGGCCTTAGGGCATACTGGCAGAGGTGAGGCAACCAGCATGTGCCACCAGCACCTCTGACCACCACCAAACATACGCAGGCACACCAGACACAATGTGGATGAAGTGCTTTGCCTAAGGACACAACAACAATTTGCCGCCACATTGGGGCACCTGGTGTTCCCGGAGGTCTCCCATCACAAAGGTCTGACGGATTCTGGCTTTCACATATAAGTGACGACATAAGTTCAATTGCACTGCCACTCAAATGAACTAAATAACTAAAGTGTTTTATTTGAGGGGACAGAGCTCAGTAACATTTGAGCACTTATCTCTAACTCTAAAATGAGCCATCATGCCAAAGCAGCTCTCAGTTAATAGATTTGCTCAGATGGTACCTGCCCTGCTGCTGCAGCCGCTCCACCCTCAGCTGTACCACAAAGATCGGTTCGACCAGGACGTCCCGTTTGCCTTTGAAGTTCCTGTATCCCGTCACGTTCTGGCCTCTGAGCACGGTGCCCAGCAGCAGGTCATCCCAGGGCCTCACACACAGACTGCAGTCAGGAGAGAAGGCACAGGTCAGAATTCTGGAAGAACTGGACAGGGACTAGACTTGAGTCACCTGTTCCTCAGGCTCCTCTGCTCCGTGGGCAAGGGCACCCTCAAGTAGAAAAACTGCAGTTTGTCGATAAAGTCATTGGTGAACTCTCCCATCACCATTTGTCTCTGCAGCCACGAGATCACCCTGGAGAAAATCAAATAAGAATCAAACGGATGCTTAGGGTTTACAACTATTGTCACAACGTTCTAAATCTCTGATAGGTTTTGTTTTAGACCAAAATTGTCTCAAATTGGGTCTAAAACAACACATCAGGTAGTGCCATCTGAAAATATTGATTATTTTATTGTACATAATTATATCCTGCACAGACTATATTTTTAACCTTAACATGTTGTACACTTCTGAGTGATTCTATCAATGCCAAATGTGACATGAAAATTTCTTCAGTGTTCAATAAAGTCTATTTCATCTTATGTGGCAATATTTAACCCAGTAACTCACACCAAAATGTAAAAAATAGTTTGAATAAAATTATATTCACAGAATCAGTAGCACGTCGCAAGAGCTTATGTGTTATTAGTCAATTCAAAATCATAAAATAAAAATAAAACCACTATAAATCACCCTACAGTTTGGTATGGGGATATATATTGTATTGGACACCAGGTAGTGCACACCCCTAATATCAGGTGATCTAAAACACACACAGTGGAGCTCTCCACTATAAGCAGAGTTCAATTCTAGAAACGCCCATCTACCAAGAACCAGCTTTTCATATCCCCATTTACTCGTAAGACTCAGAGCTGCTTTCCAGAGATAACATTTTTTGAAGTGCGATAACGAATGAGAAAAGCTGCTTACCTGTTTGCTAACACAGTTATTGCTTCTGCAGCATTAGACATAGGTGTGGGCAGTGGAACACATCTGCAGATAACAGGAGAACACAGTGTTAGAGTAACTTTTAGAGAAAACAGTATGTCAGAATACAGAGATGTGTACCTGGAGAGAGGGCAGTGCCTCACAAAGGTCTCCAGGGCCCCCAGCTGCATGATGGCGCCCGCTCTGCTGTCCTGTCTCTCTGCCAGGTCCAGGAAGGAGCTCACACACTCGTACACAGGAGAGTAACTGCAACACCACTACTCTTATTATTTTTTACACGCACAGGATTCAGATGCCAAAATAAATGCAAATCGAAGCCTTTCCACTTTCTCCGCCCAGATGCATCATACACTGGAAAAAAATGGCAACTATTTTCTACTATGGCGATGTGTGCTTGTTAAGGACCGGGTCAAGCCCAAGTGAAAAAATGAGTGTGTGATGACTTTATAGTAATTAGATTACATCCATCAGGTGGTTGTAATCACTGTCACTTTGATATTCAGGCTCAGTGCGCTGTTAACTCAACCAACATATCACTTCGAACTCACACATACTCAGTTTGGAAGAAACAAAAAGGATCTATCCTCATACACAGGGGCTATACGCAAACTCAAAACGTGATTATTGTGGGACTTATATTACAAACTGGTGGTTTTCGCCCATTTCAGGGATCATGGAGCTTCGCAACAGAACACAACGGAGCGGAGATTGTGAAATTTGGACAACTTCAGGGTTAAAACAATAGCCCTCCTTTTAATATTATCAAAATAGCACAGTGAATGGTGTACATTTTCTTCTGATTGTGGATTATAATACTTACTCATGGACCGGGTCCAGTATTTTGAGGTTATATTCCACTCCTGGTTTCCCAAACAAATAGGCTGAGAATTTTAACAACAACTCTGATTTAAACTTCTGCAGCAACAACTCTGAAAAATAAAAGTCAAATATGAGTCCAGCAGGATAAACTTTTCTTTTGGTTTTTGAGCCAGCAATAAGAACTTATTTGTAGTAGACCTTTATTTAGATTGCCTTAATAAAACAAACGTACAAGCATGATCATGCACTTTTTTGGGACAAAAAGTAATCCAAAAGTACAGTAATGTAATGCAGTTACTTTCTTGCAGAAGTTACTAAGTAATGTAAATTACTTTTTTAAAAGAAGTAACTAGTCATTTGTAACTAATTGCTTTTTCAAAGTAACTTGCCCAACACCATTTACTTATTAAAGAGTGATTTTTGCAACATACAGTATTTTGACAGGTTTTTTAATCGATCAATCTTTATTTGTAAAGCACATTTAAAACATCCTAGGAACAGACAAGTGAAAAAATTTAATGCAGATACATATAATATTCTTCTGTAACTTCCAATGGCTTCAGCTGTCATTAATAAGTCCTTTTGTTTAACCGTTACCTGCTTGTCTGAGGTGGGAGTCGATCTCACACAGGCTCAGGTTGAAGGCCTGCAGACCTCCGAGCAGACGGCTATTCCTCTGGTTGTTCCAGAACGTGCTCCTCTTGTGGCTGTTGCAGTGACACATCCCGCTAGAGCTCCACACCTTACACTGGGACACAAGCATTTCATTTACACTAAATGTGATAATTAAGAAACTAGAAAAGTATGGAAAATGGAACGCAGAAGACCGACCAGAGGCCAGTGATCCGGATCATTTTGAATAGGTAAATATACTTGTGCATACTCGAGTATACATTTGAATTACGTGCGTTGTTGGAGGCATGGACGCACGTTCACTAAATTTCAGCATCATGAGTTTAGTCAATCTGACGCATTGCCCTGTGATGGGGAAAAACGCAGGGCAGAAGTGGTGGTTTGGCGTTTTGTTTGTTTTCGAGTGTCTACATCTTCTTTTGACCGGCTTGTGTCCCGTGTGGAGCGAGGATGTTCAGTGAATCTCATCTGTTTTCGCTGCATGCATCTAGCCACCGTACCCACAGCCTCTGTCGCAAGGCAAATATGCATCTACTGCGGCGGACAAACGTGCATGTCGTAACGTACAACGTATTCAAACAGACATTGGTCACCATTGACATTCCATTTAAACTCGCCGCAACGCATAATCCGGTGGGAACGCAGCTTAAAACAGCTAAATGCTATGAGTACCAATTACAAATAAAAACGGGTCATACATACTTTCAATTATAAAATAGTTTTGTCTGCAAATAACATGTATTAAGTATGTATGCTTCATGTGTCTGCCTTAACCTAAGCCCTCCACTGGTCTGAGAACCAAGGCCTCATCCACGGGAGATTGTGAGGTCCCCGTTAGAAGAACAACCTTTGGACACAACACTTTTTGTGTTTGAACTGTTTGATTCTCTGATCTGTGTTGGCAATTTCAACGGCTTTGTTAAGCCCTACTGTTGTGATTTAGGGCTATACAGTACAAGAATAAATTGAATTGAATTGAACTCTCTGCGAGGGCCCCTTACATCTGGAACAGTCTTCCTCTGCACATATGGGGAGACTATAGCTTAAAACAAACCAGTCATGTGACGACTAAACTAAACTGTCTATAGGAACTACGGATGAAAACTAGCTTTGTTGCTATAATCCGGCTTATCAACATTTGCTTTATTTAGACTAATCTAAATTAATGTGCATGGTCCCTATCAAATAAACAAATAAATCAAATAAACAAATAAGGCATGTCCTCCAGCTGCATCCTTTAACTTCTCTCTGAATCAAATGTAGATACAAATAGGGGTGGGAACCTCAGGGTACCTCAAGATACGATACGCGATACAAAGCTCACGATGACGATTATGTCACAATATATTGGTCAGAAATATACCATATGCCAATTTATGGCATAAATAAAAGAAAAATGTTAAATGAAAAAATACACTATTTCATGATAAATGGAATGGAGATGCGTAATGTAGCCATATATTAAGTATTGATAATAAGTTTTATTTTTATTTTTTATTGGAAAAAAAAATTGATACTCGGCAAATGCATATCGATAATCGATCGCGGGAGAAATTATCACGATATATCGTTATGTCAATATATCGTCACACTTCTAGATACAAATCACGTCCTTGATTTAAACCATCTATTTATCAAGGTTTTCTTTTAACCACTCATTCATCTAATCTAAACGTCACATTCGTAACCTGATTCTGTGTGGACTCCGTTCCAAACCCACCTGGGAGGCGAGCTGGTCACAGATGTAACAGAAGCATTGTTCACAGAAGAGTTGGTTTGCGTGCACTGGGGCGCTGATCTCACACTCAGACGGCCTGACGTCACAAACAAACACAGCCACAAATACATCTTCATAAACAGGGTAGCTCCCGCTTGGTCAAGTCAGATGTTAATCTTTAATGATACTTAGGGCAAATTGGGATGCATCACAACGGTTAATTCTTCTGTAGTAATAGACAGCCATCTTGTCTCTATATATAACCACATAGGGGTGGGCAAAATGGCCTAAAATTCATATTGCGGTATAATTTGGGACACAGATGGTAAACGGTGTAGATTGCGGTATAATTTGGTGTGTGAATTTCAATAGGTCTTGCAGGTTCTTGCATAAAATAGTCAAGATTGTTACTTATATTATATTAATATATATATTATATATATATTATTTTTTTTTTGAAAATCAGGTGTGTCCAGTCACCACAAAGAAAATCACCAGTATTTCATCCAGTATTTAATACATTTTTAGCATATAATGCTTTTGAAATGCAGATTTCTCCTGGCGTCAGAGCCTGCGCTAGCTTTAGCCAATTGGCACCGGGTTAACCTCAAGTCCCACTAGGGCCCAACAGACTAGCATGTAGGAGAGGAACTCCGTTGGGCCCCGTGCAATTTTATGACATAATGACCTATCGCAATATACCGGTACAACAAAAATTTCTATCGTTGGCCAAATTTTTATTGCATACCGCTTATACCGTTTATATCGCCCAGCCCTATGACCACATCCTTTTGCTAAAATATGTATGACAATAATAGTCAATTACATTTCTGAAACTTTACTAAAGCTAATGAATTATTTAACCTTTCGGTCTCACGTCTGGAACAAAGGTTTTGATTTTTCAGATTTTCTTTGACCGTATGAACCAGTTCACATACCGACATTGACAGAAATAGTCTCACAGGGAAAAAGAAAATGCGTTCCTATCACAGTGAAGTCATTTATTAGGAACATTCAGACTAAACCTTTCTATTTTTATTTAATACAATTATTTACTAAACATTCATTTTGCAAATTTCTCTAGTCAGATAACAGTCTGTGTGCATTCACTTGGAGCATCGACATCAAACATTGATGTTGATGGACAATAAGAGATAGTAATGCCCCACTTCTACCAACAGATGGAGGTGTTTGATTAGAGATCCTTTCCTTATCCAATGCACATTTATCCATACATTCTACCTAAAAAATGCAACCGACCTTAAAATTAAGGTTTGAATATATTATGTTCATGTATGGATGAATTTATGTATTCCTTTAAAAATAAAATACAAATTAAGTTGCATATATACGTAAATTGTCTCAAAGTCACGTTACACAAAATATTCTTCAGATTTCTTCTGTGAAAGACTGTGGGGCTGCCCTGATGGAGCTGGTGAGTGTGCATTTGTGTGCATTTGTGTGCATTTGTGTGCGTGTGTGTTTTAGGCAGCTTACACAAAGGGCTGGATGGGACAGTCATAGCGAGCGTGAGGCAGCACGTCTGCACTGCGAGAGAAAGTCACCACCAAGTCTTCTTCCAACGCACTGCTGGATAATATACGGTCTGCAATAAAGAAAGTCAATTTAGTAATAAGGCTGCATAATTTAGGCAAAATATCTGCAAGTAATAACAAATATTGAGTTTGGTGTGCATTTTGCACAAAAAAATGTCTCCCCACAAATATTAAAGTAAACTAAATGGTGACATGTTTGAAGATTTAAACTATGCTGGGAACCAATACGAGGCACCTTTTGTACCCGTTTGTTTGTAGTTATAATGACACAAAAGGTAAGTTCTTCAAAGATTTTTTTGAATTTGTGAAAGAGGTAAAATGCAAGATGTGATATATTTTCTGAAAAAATAATACAGATCTACAGGGCATGCCATTGGCAAGAAGTAAACACGCCTAGGGCTGTTGCGATAAACGATACATTGAGTTTTTGGGCTGTTTCGGGCTGTTTTTGTTTCATTGTTTATTTGGTTGGGCATCCTCCGATGCTGCAGCGTACTGACCCCGGACCAACAGCGGCCGCTTTGTAGTGAATGACAGTGGTTCCCTTTCCCAACAGCGTGCGTGCAGCCGTAACATGGCCATAATCTGACCAGCGCAGATCATAGAGGCGGACAGGAGCAAGTGTCTATGCACACAATAAATACGACGCAATAAATACACTGCCCGTGTCCATGTCTCCCCCTGTGTCTCTCCCTGAAGCACGGAACTAACACTCACTAAAGTAAAGCTGGGGTACCTACATTTTCCCTTGCATTAATAATGCATGTTTGTAACTTGTGCCCAAAAGTCGAAACAAAGCTACACACAGTATTTCATCACTTTCATCAAAGGAAAGGAGATCAGGGAGATCAAAGAGTCAATTGTTGTCATTTATTTGTTTTGTTTGAGTTAGGGCTGGGCGATTAATCGATTTTAATCATTAATTCGAGTTTTACATTTAGGGCGATTTCTTTTTTTAAAAATTCGATTTTTATTTTCTCCAGCGCAGAACTACAGCGCTAACGCGCTAACCGCGGGTCTATGGTGTTGAGCAGTCATTTTGAAGCTAACCTAATGCTAACAGTCTCCCTCTGGCCTGATGCTCGCTCTCACAGTTGGTGCTGTTGCAATAGCACTTCAAACGTTCAAGAATCAGACTTTATTTAAATCGCCAGAACACACACACACACGCACGCAAGCCCCGGTCGCTATGTTCGTACGCCATGTTCGTACGCCACATCTTTCACGCTCTCTCACGCTCGTTATTCCAAAGCGCACTCCCGTGTCCGTGGCGCGCACACACTCGTGTCCCACTGAGCCGCTGCACTTTGGGGAAAGACACGTCTCACACATTGCTCTCATTGCTCTGATACAAACAACGTGTTCCCCGCTGTCTGTTAGCTACAGTAGCTGTTAGCTACAGTAGCTGCTTCTTCTTCTTCTTCTTGTGGATTTCCGGCAGACTGTGCGCCAGTCGGCGCATTGCTGCCTTTCACTGGTGGATCCAATTATTGCACCCTAGGTCCATTCAAATTCTCTGGTACAGTCCGGTACTAAAAATAAATTCCACAAGCGCACGAAAAACTTCTTGCTGCTGCACATGGGGAGCAAGCAATGATCTCAGATTCACACGCTCAAGTCCCAGGTGAAGAGCATGAGAAAACAGCAGTCTTCTTTGGTCCACATATTTCCTACATTGTAAGAGAACATGTTTCACTGTCTCTTGCTCACTGCACTCTTCACACAGGCCATCTCTGTGCTTTCCGATCCGATACAGGCTTTGAGCAAGCCCACAATGACCCAGTCTCATTCTGGTTATCATAACCTGCTCCTTCCTGTTATTCCCCCGGGTTGCTTTATCCCCCCCACTAATACTCTGCTGGATGCTGTAAAAGTGCCTTCCTCTTGTCTCCCTGTCCCATGCTCTCTGCCACTGCTCACACACTCTCATTTTAATTAGATGCCGATGCTCACACACACCAAATGCCACCACCACCTCTACTCTTTCGCTCTGCAAAGGAATTTTTAGCAATCCTATCCACCACCTCATTTGCATCTACCCCCACATGTGCTGGAACCCACAAAAAACCCACATCATTCCCTCCCCTCTCTATCCTACACAGAACGCTTAGAGCCTCATATAAAAGATCTGGTCTTGTTTTAGACGACCCTGCCTCAAGAGACAGCAACACAGCCGCTGAGTCTGAGCAGACAACCACACTCTCTAGTCTCAATCGCTCAATCCATTTAAGGGCCCACACTATTGCCATCAATTCGGCTGTAAAAACTCCAATTCCATCTGGGAGTCGTCTGCCCTGACTCAGGGCCAATGTTGGGCTGTGTACCCCAAACCCTGCTCTCCTTCTCTGAGGGTCGACCGACCCATCCGTATACACTTGCAGGGCACTGTTCCAGTTGGTCACCAATACCTCCCTCACAATCTCTTGGGCACACACTCTTCCCCTTTCTTTAAGGCCCTCTTTAACGGACCAGTCCACCTCCACCTGAGGAAGCAGCCAGGGCGGGACTGAGGGCCAGACAACCACCGGAGCCGTGTTCCTCTGCCTGAGCTCTGGAATCTCATCCTTTACCTCATAAATAAACGTTCTCCCCCCCTTCCTCCTGTCTCCCATGTATCCTCCATCACCCTCCTAGCAGGATGCTCTTCACGTTGGCCTTGTGATTTTGCCACAAACTGGAGGGCCAGTTTTAACCGCCTCTTCTCAAGGGACATCTCCCCTACCTCAACCAGGAGAGCTGGTACTGATGTTGTTCGAAAGGCACCACAGCACACTCTTAGGGCCTTGGCTTGAACCACATCCAACTTAGCCAGATTTGTTTTAGCTGCATTCCCATACACCAGGCTTCCATAGTCCAGAGACGACCGCACCATTGCTCTGTAAATCATCAACAGGGTGGATTTGTCTGCTCCCCAGTTACTACCAGTCAGGCAACGCATTACATTAATAACTTTATTACATTTACTCACAACTTTCTCAATGTGCCCTTTCCATGTCATCCTTTCATCAAAGTAAACCCCCAAGAATTTAAATATCCGGACCCTTTCCAGTGCCACACCATACAACTGCAGCCCTATACTACCAACCTTTTTGTTTCCGAAGACTATACATTTTGACTTCTCCACTGAGATTTTAAACCCCCACTGATTTGCCCATTCCATTATCCCATCTAGCGCTCTCTGCATTTTATTAATAACATAGCCAGTATTTCTCCCCCTCCTCCAGACCGCCCCATCGTCCGCAAAAAGAGACACCCCATAACCCGGCCCCACACTTTTAAAAATATCATTTATCATTACATTAAACAAAACTGGACTAATTACACTCCCCTGTGGAGTACCATTGTCAATGTTTACCGATTGGGACAATACACTTCCTACTTTTACTTGAATTGTACGACCTAATAGAAACGCTTTAATCCAATTTAAAGCACGACCTCTAACACCTGCATCATACAGTTTCACTATAAGTCCTTCTCTCCACAACATATCATAGGCCTTCTCAATATCCAAAAATACAGCCACAAGAACCTCTTTACAGGCGATTGCTCTCTTAATATCACAGTCCAGTGACAATACTGACTCCATGGTGCTTCTCCCTTTCCTAAAGCCATTCTGATACGGGACAAACCACCCCTCTTTTTCTAATTTGTACACTAGTCTGTCTGTCACCATTCTTTCCATAATTTTACACAATACCGACGTAAGCGCTATGGGTCTGTATGATCCTGGGTTGTTTTCAGCCTTTCCTGGTTTTAAAATGGGAATAACCACTGCCTGCCTCCAGGCTAGTGGTACACGCCCTTCAGCCCATACATTATTAATTAACGACAGAACCTCTTGCAGTACATCCTCCCCAAGATTTCTAAAAACTCTGTACATCAAACCATCCTTTCCTGGTGCAGTATGACCCCCCTTGTCAATTGCTCTGACTAACTCTGTAAAGGTAAAGAACAGGTTTATATAATCAGAATTGTCACACTTCATTTCAGTTTTATGCTGATGCACAGCCAACATTGAATCCCTCCTTCTAATTCCCTCCCGTCCCAGGTTTGCCCCACTATGCACTGCTTGAAATGCCTTGGACAATAGATCTGCCTTTTGCTCGTCATTAACCGCTGCCCCTCTTTCACTCTCTAACACTGGAATAGACCGAGCACGCTTAACCCCAGACATACGCCTCACAGCTGACCACACTCGCTGGAGAGTTGTCTCCGCTCCTAGCTTGCTGCAATACTGCCTCCAGCACATTCGTTTTGCATTCTTGATAACCCTCCGGGCCACTGCTCTCAATTTCTTGTATTCTATTGCGTTTTCCTCTGTTGGATACTTCCTAAATTTCTTATTACAGTAGCTGCTACAGTAGCTGTTAGCTACAGTAGCTGCTACAGTAGCTGTTAGCTACAGCATCAGAATGTAAACAGGAAGCTCGCACAATGCGGGAGTCACTGAAGTTAGTATTAGCGCCACCAGCTGGACCGAGCGTTGTACTACAGCACAGTTACTCAGGCACAGTTGAAAGAACAAGCATGAAAACCCGAGGAGGCTTTTGGAAAAGACTGTTACAACATTTCTATTTTGAGTAATCAGTTTTAAAAATGTGATATTTCATGTAAATAATGCATGTGTTTAATAGGATTGATATATTTGCGATGGGCCTTGTTTGTGTGATTTAAGTTATTTTGAAGGTGCATAGTGTCATTGTAAGTGAAGTTATTATAAAACTGTTAAGCTACATTTTCACTGTTTACAATGGCAGAGCCAATGGCAGGCTTAATTCCTGTTACACTTATGCTCCATGGAGATTTAGATTGAACTGCATAAAGGACAATCTATTTCTTTGTCAGTTGTAGTTTGTTTTTAAATAGAAAAAAATAAATCGATTAAAATCGAAAATCGGATTTGCTGTGAAAAAATCGGAGATTTTTTTTTTTTGCCATATCGCCCAGCCCTAGTTTGAGTATTTTTGGTTAACTGAGACTGAGTTTGTGTAAATGTCTTCCAGTTCCAGAACACTATTTTAAGAACTAAAAGTGTATCCATCCATCCATTTTCTTCCCCTTAATCAATTTCTGGGTTGGGGGGTGGCACTCAGAGCTGCACCCAGTCCACAGAGCACCAGCCCCTCACTGATCCTCCTGCAGGTGGTGAGTCCACAGGAGCTGAGATCTTTCAGTGGGGGCTTCAGGCAAAGTGGGGCCAAGTGTCTTGCCCAAGGACACAACGACAGCAGTCATCAGTGGGAGTAGTGAAGTTGGTCTTACGGTGGGCTCAAACCCACGACCTTCGGGCCCAAATGCCAACGCTCTACCAACTGAGCCACTGTCGCCCCTAAAACTGTATTGGTCTTTGAAATGGTCTTTTTGCGGTTATTATGCCGTTTGGCCTTTATTAAGTGGAAAAAGCCTCAAAATGACAATTTATTGTCAACGAAAATGTGTTATCATGATAGGCCTAAACACGCATCATAATTTTTCTGTGCTTTTGGCTGTACAAACTGCTTTGACAAAAGCGATAAAACATGTCAATCTTTAATGGATGGTCGTCCCTTGAAGTTTGAGCTGTTGTGCAGCCATCATCTTGACCTATCCCATTCATGAATGTTCATTTTGCAGCATAACACAGTCAGTGACAAACTGTTGAAAGCCAACAGACAAAATTGCTAGCTAACGCAATTGCGGAATAACCGCAGCTAATCAAAGAAAACCTGGTCAATGGCAAAGGCGTAGCTTTTTCTGCAAACAGATTGCACGCGCATCCGGCCTTGTTTACCAACCGTAAAAGGATCTGTTCAGCCCCCTTTTCTCTAGCACTGGAGGACTGCAGACTATATACATCGGACAAACATTAGTCAGAACTACCAACATCTAAAATTAAATTAAAAATATCACTGCACAAAGATCCAAAAGAAAAGGAAAAACTTTAAACCTATCCACAGCACTGCTCCAGGTGTTAGAGAAAGCTCAGGCTGCAACAATTCCTTGAGTTACTCAATTCAATTCAAAGATTTGTAAAATGCCTACACACGCTATAGAACAGTGATCAGGCCTAAAAGGTTGTTTGTACACAAGAGGAAGTCCAAACCTAGCATAATTTAGTGGGTGCACAATGCCCTGCAAATTCTGTCCTAGATGAAAATCAGGACAACTGCAAAATCCAAAATGATTCATTTTATATCAATGTCAACGTAATGAGGCTCAAAGCTCATTTTCGTTTTTGTTTTGTTTTGTTTCTACTTTAGTCTAGTAGAAACATGCTGGGGAAAACTCCAAGGAAGCAATGTCAACAAAAGTCCTAAACCACTGTCAGCGTGACAGTGAGTGAGGGGAATTCAACTTGGCAATCATCTTTGTTGTACCATTCAACAGAATGACCAGGGGGGACCAACATCTAACGCAGTTAATATCCCTTGAAGACAGTTACCATTCTTGTTGACCGGTTCAACCTCGACGAGCAGCACAGACGCCTCCCCTTCCTCTGGCTCCTCTTCATCGCTCAGAACGATGACCTCTACACTGTCCACTGTCGTGCACATTAATGCGTGGCTTCTGGAAAAGAAACAGCAATTCACAGTATTATGGCATTATCTATTGCTTACATTTTAGAATGATTGCCAATATGGCATCTGTAGATAATGTGAATGTGTTTCTGAGTTACGAGTTTAATAAAAACATAGTCATGTTTGTATTTAAGAGGATTTTCCACATTCCTAAAAGTTTTGAGAATGTTACTTCCTGGATTCAGACAGAGTGCCAGAGGGACAGCGGATGGAGACCAGCGCAGGGCGGATGAATTTAACCAATATATCAATTGGTTCGATTCTCCCCCCTCTCCTTCTGCCCCCCTTCCCGCCCCGACCTCTTCCCATGTCTCCAGCCCAGTGGACACCTCTCCATCACACCGGAGCAGGTGAGGAGTAGGATGAAGCGACTGAAGCAGAGAAAATCCACAGGACCGGACAGAATCAGTCCCAGGCTGCTGAGGACCTTTGCAGACCAGCTCTCTGAGGTCCGCAGCCACATCTATAACCTGAGCCTCAGCCTGGAGAAGGTCGCTGGCCAGTGGAAGACCTCCTGTGACCAGTCGCACTGACCACCTGATGAAGACCAGACCATGGAGCGGCTCATCCTCACCCACCCTGGACCCGCTGCATTTCACCTACAGGCCCAACATCGGAGTAGAGAACTTGCTGCAGCGGACGCTCTCCCACCTGGAGCCCGCCGGGAGCACTGTGACTGAGGGCCATGTTTTTTTACTTCTCCAGCGCTCTCAATACCATGAAACTGGCACTGCTGCGGGGGAAGATGGAGAACGTGGGAGTGGACAGTAACCTCACTGCATGGACCATCGACTACGTCTCGGACCGACCACAGTATGTGCGGCTGCGCAGCTGTGAGTCTGAGGTGGTAGCCTGCAGTACTGGTGTCCCTCAGGGCACCGTCCTCTCACTGTTTCTCTTCACCATCTACACTTCGGACTTCACATACGACACACAGCTGCCATCTGCAGAGGTTCTCAGACGATTCTGCCATTGTTGGCTGTGTGTCTGAGGGGAACGCACTGGAATACCGTTTGGTTATTACGGACTTTGTAAGACCAGTAAGACCAAGAAGATGGTAATCGACTTCAGGAGTCCCATAACACCAACGTCCTGTACAAGAAGGGCCAAAGTCGCCTCTTCCTTCTGAGGAGGCTGAGGTTTTTCTGAGTGAGCAGGCCTCTGCTCAGGACCTTTTATGAGTCTGTGATAGCTTCTGACATACACTACGCTGCCATGTGCTGGGCCCCGGGCAGCACAAAGTCGGACAGGAGTACACTGAACAAGCTGGTCAGGAGGGCCAGCTCCGCTCTAGCTGCTCCCTGAACTCCTCCCTAGACTCTGTGGAGGAGGTGAAGGACAGGAGGGTGCTGGTCAAAGTCACCTCCATCATGGAAAACACCTCCCACCCACTGCAAGAAGGAGCGTTACCGCAGGGCCTTTATCCCCACCGCTGTCAGATTGTACAATAACACTTTAAGTCACTAAAGTACTAGGACTACATAATTATATCCTGCACAGACTATATTTTAACCTTTGCAAAATCTGAGTGATTCTATCAATGCCAAATGTGTAACGTAATTATCTCCAGTGTGAGATCAATAAAGTCTATCTTATCTGATCTTATCTTGGTTGGTCATGGCAGATACGACATTGGTAGAGGGCCAAAGGGCTACAGCTAATGATTATTTCAGTAATAGAGAATTCTATCGATTATTACGTTTGACCACAACTAATTCATTTCACTTTCTACACCCTTAACCACTTACTAATTATATATGAAGCCAGGATAAAAGGAAACACTGTGCTCCAAAATAAATAGAGGATCTTTATTTCTCTTGGCAAAACCACCACACGATATGAGCAAACGGCAGAGGCACCTCTATAACAGGACAAAACCACTGGTTACATTTCAAACACACAATGGAAAACAAGATGAACACACAAAATACAACAATACAGATTGTCTCTTACCAAATATTTAACTTATGACATACATACGAAACAACACTTTTATCTTGTTGAATTAATGTTAAAACTGTAAGATACTAGATTTTTGTGAAACTACTATAAATATTTACCAGGATTGCTGTCCAAAGCATCAATGTAACTTATAATTCAATATCAAGAGTCGAATGGCAATGTTATTTCATACAAACGTTTGATACACAGAAGACATGTTTTTGTCTCAACGCACCAAACTCACTCAAATGTTTAGTCTTAATGTTACTACTTCTAATCTTTGCTTGTAAAACGCGCATACTTTATGTAGTAATAATTTCTTACCTTTTAAATCTCCAATTCAATGTTAAAGATAAAAGTAAACATCGGCGGTAAAGACGCGCGCGCGGAGCCTGAAGCCGCCCCGGAACTTCGAACTATCGCTTCCTCGTGAGCAACTTATTTTTTCCCAACTCATAAAGACATAATTACTTTGCATTGGTGGCTAACGGTAATAATAAAGTTTCACTTAACATTAACTTATTAAACAAAATTACGTTGGATTGAAGTTTATATACAGATTATTATTGTGTAAAAAGATTCTGCAGAAGTACGTTGGGGAAAATAATTACACCCACTGCGTCTGAATTTTGGGTCAGCACCGTGGATCTACAAAGTGTTAAAAGCTTTTCTGAAAAATCCAGAAAACTTTTGGAATATATTCCCCTGTAATATTTTTTCATCTTGTGGTGGGTTACAGTTTCTACTAAAATGTGATTTTGAGGTTAGAAAACTTAATATTCAGCTGTCTTGTTTTCACCAGCAGGTTATGTTGTACAAACATAACTTCACTCCCCAGTCCCCATACGACTTCACTTTAGAACAACAAATACATTCTTCACAAAAGCATTTGGTGCATTTTGGATTTGATGGTTAACCTGCTCTCATATGACTTTAGCATGAAATGGATATTTTTTGTCACCCAAAACAATTTTTCTGTCTTGTTAATGCAATTTCAAAACCATTCTTGCTGTTGGCCTGAGAGATCATAGTTCATTCCAATTTAATTTCTAGGCTACCAAATTTTTTCATCAAATTTCTGTTTTATTAGACAATTACTCACTAGTGAGCTTTATGCGATAAAATACAGCCGAATTCAAGATCTTAAAGAATATGAGCCATTTAAAGTCAAGAAATTACTATCAGAACATCTGAAGTATCCTTTTCTTCCTAAGTCCAAAGAAATTCATTTCAAACTTAACTTTGATAGTAATGAATGTACCTTTTGTAAAACTGAAGTGGAAACCACTCGTCACATTTTTATGACTAAATTTGTTGACGTTTTTTGGAAGCAGATTGAAGAGTGGTTGGGAAAAAATAATGTATCGGTTCAATTAACATTGTACCGGTTAAATGAACATTGCACGTAGATATTTTATATGGAATGGTTTAGTATGCCCTTCAGCAAGACATTTCACCCACATTGCTGAGGAGTCTGCTGATTGTGTGAGTGAGTGAATGATTGGTGATGGTTGTAAGCGCTGATGGCACATACTGGTTGCCTCATGTCAGTGTGCTCCAGGGCAGCTGTGGCTACAATAGTGGTTAATCACCAATATGTATGGAGAGAAAGAACATGTGAAGTGTCTAGAAAAGTGATAAAAAAAGTTTGTTTTAGCTAGTGATGTACCATTAGTTTTCAATAAAAAAGGTGTGCCATGACTGAAGTTTGGGGAACACTGTTCTAGACCACTGACAGGTCATGAGATTGATGAGAAGGATCAAATGCAGAGGACAATTTCCTCACAGGGACAATAATCTTAGAAAGCTCTGTATGTCAATTTATTTTTTCTAGTATTACATCTTAGTAATATGCATCAGTTGTATATAGTGCTTTTTTGGACACTTCACATGTCAGAGGCAGACCAACCACCATTCCCTCACACACGAGGTGATGTCGGTGAAGAATGTTTGGCACCTTTTACTGAAAAACCTGGGGCCATCCTAGCCTGGTCTTACTGTACCAGAATTTCTTCATACATGTAGGGAAATGGACCAGCGTTTACAAATGGCTTGACCAGGTTAGCGCAGTCCAGGTATCATTTACAGGTCAAGAAACATTCTTTCCGATATCAGGATCTTGTCGTTTCACAGGATCAAGCTTGTCAAAAACAGAATGTATATAATAAATGCATAGATATTTGGGACATCAGCTCAGACATGGTTGTTACTATAAGTTTAAAAAGGTCTAACTTGTCAAAGTGCAGTTAAGAGAATATACTGGCAACAGCATTGGTAAATTGAATTTAAAATTTTAAGGGCCTTAATTTGGTAGCTGCCTTTTTCTTCAGCCACCCTAGGACTGAGTTAAGTTTCCCCATTCTGAAAGAAGTAAAGTTTACAGCAGCCTGATGCCTTCAGTTTCTCATGTTTTTAAACAGACTGCAAACCGCGCAACTTTGAATTGGCGGAATAGGTCAGTCATTGAAACAATGAGAACTTCACCAATTCCAGAAAGTCTCAGGATTTGGCATCGCAAACTAGACCAAGTGGTCAGATTTAAAAATAAAAAGTTGAAAGACTGGAAAGTCAATATATGGCCTATTAATCTTTTGAGCGAAGTTGGAAAAATAAAAGTTAAGGCTAAAGTCTTACCACCATCGCCAAATATTTACATGAACTGAGTAAAGACAAGTTGTTTATTCTGGATCGGAGGCAATGCTAGAAGTTAACAGTGTGAGCCACACCCGAGGTAAAGCAAACTCTTCCCTTCTAATTACTACATTAAGCAGAGTTTGCCGACTCACCATGTTAACTTCAAACAGACAAGTAAAGACAGTACAGTTTGACTCAGACATGTGCGCTTTATTGGACTGATTTTCTGCATGGCTCCTACACAAACTTCCATCCACCTTTTTTACGAGGTGGACACTTAACACACAGACCAAGTATCATTTAAGGCTGAACGTACAAAAACAAAAATTCAGATTACATAATTTACATACCAATCAGAACTAGAGCTGTTGGGCACGTGTACCCGGAGAATAAGACCTTCATAGAGGCAAATAAGATGGAACACAAACATCTGGAATGACCGGCTAACACGACCAACGATCATGTCTGGCCCCATCCCCTGATGGCTCTCCCAGGTTTGTTGCAGTGTTGGGTGACCTCTTTGAGGAGATACATCAAGGGGGGCACAGGTGTGGGGTGAAAGTCTTTTGTTTAGAAGCATTTCCTGTGCACAATGCTGGGGCCGGACTCATCATACTCTTGCTTGGAGATCCACATCTGCTGGAAGGTTGACAAGGAGGCCAGGATGGAGCCACCAATCCAGACAGAGTATTTCCTCTCTGGGGGAGCAATGATCTGCAGAGGAGACATGACATTTAGTGGAAGTGACCAGGTTTGACCACTTGTCTATACAGATTATTGGCCCCTGTGGGACAACGGTTAAGATTTAAGTTTTCCTTAATATACCTAGTTTCAGAAGCAGGGAAAGTAATTGATCCACAAGTTCTATAGTTATACATGGTTGTGTGAAGAAAGGCCTTCCCATTTTAGTAATCAAAATTTACCTTAATTTTCATTGTGGAGGGGGCCAGGGAAGTGATCTCCTTCTGCATGCGGTCAGCAATGCCTGGGTACATAGTGGTGCCTCCAGACAGCACAGTGTTGGCGTACAGGTCTTTACGAATGTCCACGTCGCACTTCATGATGCTGTTGAAGGTGGTCTCGTGGATGCCGCAGGATTCCATACCTGCACAGCGAACACAGTAAATTAGGCTTCACATTAAAGACTAGAATTGTGCATTACCAGAAATCAGTGGCAGTTATAGCATGTGCTTAAACAGTAACGTGTAAATTACAAATTAGCTGGAATTTACATGCAGATTTCTTGTTTAAATTTTAATAACATGTACACTACAAAACCTCAAAGTTATCAGTTAAAACAGGCAGGTCATGTTCACTTCAAAGGCTAGAGTTTTAACAAAACATCTTAACAGAATGTCACCATCTCCACGTTTGACTGAGGTGGTCCAGGTGCTTACCAAGGAAGGAGGGCTGGAAGAGGGCCTCGGGGCATCGGAACCTCTCATTGCCGATAGTGATGACTTGTCCGTCGGGCAGCTCGTAGCTCTTCTCAAGGCTAGAGGAGGAGGCTGCGGTGCCCATCTCCTGCTCGAAGTCCAGAGCCACGTAGCACAGCTTCTCCTTAATGTCACGCACGATCTCACGCTCAGCTGGAAGGGACAAGTCAGCATGTTTGATTTCAGGGACATGTCTGGTTCTATACAGAAGACCAAATATTGGTTGCCACTCTGAATGAGGCATGTGAAGGTTCTGATCGCAGTAGCTTACATTAACCTCAAGTGAGCAAAGGATTAACTTTTGCCTAAGCAGTAGTTGAAACTTAAAGGCAGTTTAGGAACAGCAATTAAAATATTAGAAAGTTTTACATTTTAGCATTGAGGCTACTAGTTCCACCTGCAAAATGTTGAGCTGAAGGACAAGTGAGTGATTGAGTCTTCAGTGTGTCCTGTACCTGTGGTAGTGAAGCTGTAGCCCCTCTCAGTCAGGATTTTCATGAGGTAGTCTGTGAGGTCCCTGCCAGCCAGGTCCAGCCTGAGGATGGCGTGGGGCAGAGCGTAGCCCTCATAGATGGGCACAGTGTGAGTGACTCCATCCCCAGAGTCCATGACTATACCAGTGGTACGTCCAGAGGCGTACAGAGACAGCACAGCCTGGATGGCTACATACATGGCTGGAGTGTTGAAGGTCTCAAACATGATCTATAAAGGAACAACAGGGTGAGATGATGCAGCTTATGGAGACAAGTTTAACTGCAATATGGGATGGGATAACAGTGATCATTGGACCAAAAACTGTTAACTGCAACAAGTTGCTAGTCAAGCAAATAGTCCAAGGCAAACTGATTTACAGACAGGAATTCAAAAACTCATTACAGGTTATCATGACTGGAATGAGCATCAGGTTTTAGATAGAGTGAAAGCAAAATAAAGGTCAACATTTGAGTAACTGGTTTTAAGTAGAGAACTGCACAGCACAAAAGGATTTAAAAGAGAATAGACAGAAGGGGGTAGGGGAAATAATGTTCCTTGTGTTAACTGACTAGTTCTAGCAAGAGAATGATGCTAAATTGTTGGAATGCAACAATCTTTTACATTAGAATGAGTCACTCCAAACACTGGACTAACCCAAGTGCACTACCAGAACATGCATGCAACTACAACAGGCTAGTGAAAGACGACTCCAGCTTCAAATCTGACACCAGGCGCATGCGGTTAGAGTAATTAAGTCCAAGCTCAAAAACACAGACAGATCCATGAACCTGAGAGGGCAAGAGTGCCCAGTCTGAGTCTCAGAAAGGGGAAACTGCTGGGCTTTGGAGAGAGCAAGAGAAGACAGTCACCCTGTTTATATGGAAAGGGTTGCTTCCTTAAAACTTAATTGCTAACCCAATGTAAAAACCTCAGATTTCTAGTCTGCAACTCAGGAAAAGTACCTGGGTCATCTTCTCCCTGTTGGCCTTAGGGTTGAGTGGGGCCTCAGTCAGCAGAACAGGGTGCTCCTCTGGGGCTACACGCAACTCGTTGTAGAATGTGTGGTGCCAGATCTTCTCCATGTCATCCCAGTTTGTGACAATACCGTGCTCAATGGGGTATTTGAGGGTCAGGATACCCCTCTTGCTCTGGGCCTCGTCTCCCACATAAGAGTCCTTCTGACCCATGCCCACCATCACGCCCTGCAGAGGAAAGGAAGTGTTATCATGGTAGCACCAGGTTGGTCAGCTCATTGTTAAGACTTTAAAATGCGGTCAAGTGGAATGTTAAAAACATTGATGGATTATTATAAATGGCACTGAAGTAAGGTAAATATTTTCGTAGTCCAGGGAGAAACAACTCCCACAGAAGACTTAAGTTACTTGATACAGCTGTAAAACTTCTAGAAAACTTGATGCCATGAATTTCCCATCAAGCCAAAACTGCTAATGATTTCATAGACCTTTTGGTTATCCAGCAAAGTAGCAGTCAAACAGGTATGAACTATGAATGCAGCCAAACAGGTTTGCACAGGACTATGTCAAAAACATTGTTTATGCTAGTTATATGAACTTTCTTAACTGGGAACTCTGTACAGCTAATATTTACAAAAATGTTGATTGTAAAGTGTATGGCCACTAATATATAAACATGACCAAGCAATCATTTAGGGGTAAAATGTGAAGCCAGCAGGTCAAATAGGCTTGTCAAAATCCACATTAGCTCTTAAGATACTAAGACTAGCAGTGAAACTTAATTTGAGCAAGTATCAATAGCAAAGATTACATACTTCACATTAACAGGACATTTAAAGCAAAATTCAAAATTATGTAAAAAGTGCGTTTTATACACAAATTAATGTATCACAATACTGAAATAAAGTAAAAATACAGTCCAAACTTTACCTGATGCCTGGGGCGTCCTACAATTGAGGGAAACACTGCACGTGGAGCATCATCTCCAGCAAAGCCAGCTTTGCACATTCCAGATCCATTGTCAACAACGAGGGCAGCAATTTCATCCTCCATTTTCTGGGAAACAAAGAAACCAGTAAACATACAAACCAATAACATTCCATTATGAGCAGGTGCAGCTGCAACTCTCGCGGCCGGACGCTGGAGGGCGTTGTGGCGCAGTTGCATGCCAGGATAGGGAAACAAAAGGCTTTTCTGCCCAGCTCTGGCGATTGCCATATAAGGCAAAAGTGAGCAGCGCAGAGGCACCAGGACAGACCGCTTAGGGAAGTGCCGAGCCCCTAATGACAAAGCGCCACTCCCTTCATCCAGGGCCACCAGGCTTAATCATCCTGCATTCCCGGCATACACGCACCTCATCCGGTCATAAATGAATCATCCACCAGCAGTGGGTTACTTCACACCAGCAAGCGTTTATCCGTGCGTAAGCCCTTGCTGCTTGTTCAGTGCCAGGGCCGAGCCATGGTTCCCTGGAAGGTCAAGCTTTTTAACGCGCAGGGATTAAAGCAGTGGAGTGATGACAGCTTGAGTCTGTCTGATTCACGCCTAGCAAAGCATGTCTGGAACCAGCGCCAACTCATACAGAGCCACACAGGAGTACACCGTGGGTTGGAGCTAACAACATCGAGTGAGCAAATTACAATAACCATTAAATCTAAAATTAAGCACGCTTACTGTCATCACAACCTTTACACGGAAAAGCACAATGAATGACGCCTTTCTGAAGCATCCTCGCACCAGTAATGTGAGGACTGACTTCGATCGACCGACTATGAAACATATTGATCAACATATCGAAAGGTCTATATGAGTTACAGACGAACAAAGCAAAATTAAGTAGATTAAGTCGTTACTACCTTTGTGGGTGGGTTCTTTCGCTACTTGGCGAACGACGACTGTTGAGTTCAGCGCGTGAGCAAGACTGCGATGGCTGAATGCTCGTGCACAGTATTTATAGCAGCCGGTTCTGCAGCCGCGCTCCATAAAAGGCAACCTTTGGCCAGGGTGCGCGCTGATTGGTGGAGGTGGCTGTGATGGGCGTGGTATAGGCAGATCACGGCGACAGAGAAGCAGGGAGCGGTTCATGGTGAAAAGGGGAATTAAAACTAGTGGTCGGACTGGTTTTTTGGCAGAGTATCAAAGTATATTTACTTTACTGTGTGTCTCTGCATATTTCTCGAGTAGTGCATTTTCTTACAACTTTTGAATTAAACAAATAGATGCTTTCTTCTCATCACATGTTAAAAATGGTTGGTTATTTTTATTAAACCTTTTTGGAATAAAAAGATGCATACAGAAAGGAATCACAACTTTTGACAAACGTCACATGGATATTACACAAGGGAGAAGTGGTTAGCCATGCTTCTACTCTCATTTATACAGGCTTGAACTAATTGATTAGCCATGCTTCTTAATTCATCAATAGCCAAAATGCTTGAAATGGTCCACACTTCTAACGACATTTATGCAGGTTTGAAGTGGTCTAAGATCATTAATAAATGGTTCTAAGTGGTTCAGTAGCATATCAGCATGCATTTTGCTGGTCAACCCCTTGCTATTTATGCGCTTATACAGAGTGTTTTTAAGTTTTGTGTTTCACAGGAAACATAGAATTTTGCTCATCAAAAATATTGTCTATTATTCTGGAATATATGATCGTATTTTTTGTTTGGTATAAGCTTGTTGAACTTACACATGCGCTTAATTTTGCCATCTCTGCCTGTAGGGTTGAATCTCAAAACGTTTTGGAATCTATCTATCAAATAATGGAATGTAATATATGCAATATAAAAGAGATTATCCATATAGCTGATTATAGTAACATTTGAGACCAAGATACAGTTAATCAACCACATAAAATGTCATTGTCATCAAAATACGTATTCTTCCTATACTACTGTGTTACGTATCCTGAAAGATTTTAGAAATGAAATAGGCCATATTGACTGATATTGGCATAAGTGGATCTAAAACCATAAACTACTTTAGATCTAAGACATTATTGTGCAATATTGACTCTTTCACAATCAGAGATCCCTGTAATTCCTTGACACACCAGGTGAGTAGTGACACTTTGTAAGGAATTATGTTCAAACTGGGCTCGTCATTTCCAGTATGCAGAAGTCAGGGATTTTCCACTTGATGTTATGGTTATCTGAAGGTCAAAGCTAACTTATCTTTTGCCAACATGACAGCTAGATGCTGAGAGGAACTCAGCATCTAGCTGTCATGAACACTATGAAAACAGACACATTTCCAAACGTCTGCCTTTCTTAACATATTACTCATTCACAGAGAAGGAGCTCGGAGTAGAGATACTGATCTGCTGGAGGGATGTGCATATTTCCATTTATTGTTTAGGTACACTCAGATGCAAAAGCAACAGTCCTCATCGAGTTACAACACGTGTTTTATCTTGATTTTTGGATCAGATTGGTGAGTAAAAATTAATATACACAGTCTATGGTAAAAACACCTTGATGGGGTTGGATGCATTTGCTGTGACAAAGAGTACTTGGCTGAAAAGTGGGACTGTTCTGTGTAAATAATGTGTAAATAATGGCCAGTATAGTGACAGAACAAAACGCTGTTGTTATCTAAATTGTGACATTGTAGTTGCTTGTCATAGAATTATTCCCTCAAAATAAAATCAAACTGAAAACCTCTAGGACCTTTCTGTAAAGTAGCCACAACTCTAAATAACAAAAATACTAAACTATTCCCAATAAAATGCATTCAGCACCGAAGAAGATGATTGTTCTGCAGATCATGAGTATTATAAACAGGACTTTGAAATTACAAAATGTGTCTTGTCACCTGGGCCATGCTCAAACTGCATGTTTAACACGGGAGAAGATCCTAAAAGGCTCAATGTCTATGAGCAAAAGTTTTTCCACCAAATACCCTTGCCGCCACTTCCAGCTGCCATGTCCAAATGACATGCCTTTTAACCGGCTACGCAACTATTTTTCTTGGCTACACTGCAACCAAAACAGATATTGCCATTTGGAAAATTTGTCAAAAAGTTACATTGCCTCATGATAGTTACTTATGTAAGATTTTCATGTCAAGTCATCATTAAGTGGCCCTATATTTCAAAAAGCATTAATAAACCATGCTCTTTTCCAATACTTCTTTAGCTTATTTGAATTTCAAAATGAGATGAAAGTCTGAGATCCAGGTTGCAAGAACTCACCGCGTCGAGCTAATCTCACCGTTAAAGTAACATGTGGCCACAGGAAATCATTAATGACAAAATAAAACAAGGATTTCAATCGGGTCTTTGTGGAAAAAAAAAAGTGTTTGTTGTAGATTTGCTGTTGACAAAACTCTTGTCTATTCAGTTATTATGGTCCCTGCTATTCATCTGCATATTTGTCAACCTGAGTCCGGGAGAGTGGGAGAGGTTGTAGTGCCACTTTGGACTAGATGTTTTACATACTGCTTCTTTATTTAAGACAGTAATAAAACCTGTTTACAAACTATTTTATTTACATGTTTCAGGTGAAGAAGGTTATAAGACTACTGTTATCTTTGTGAAATTGATTTTTGAAAAGGTTTATATTGCTTTGTGGACTTGATGCTAATATAAGTCACTGCCAAGACTAACGTTCCCTGAAAAAGCTGCACTGGGAGAGAAAAAACCCCTTCAAGCTCATGTAAAGCCATATGTTGTCATGGAAATATGTGCTGAGTAAAAGCAGCTGAAAGGCAGCAAGAAGATACCAGCAACGCAACATTACAGCCGCTCTTTGGACATGTTTACGGTGTGATTTGCACGATACCATACATAAATAATGTTAAAACACTGAGATTCTCCATAACTAATTATTCCATCTCATTTCCATGTTGTTATTTGGAACATGCACACACCAAGCCTATTCAAATGCACATGACGGTGGAGAGACTGCAGTTGTGTAAGGTATCTACACTCTGAGTCAGGGAGTGGCCTCTGTGTGTGTCTTCTATGCGTGTGTCCTGTGTGTGGATGTGTGTTTGTGTGTGCAATATAGAAATAATGAATTAAGACATTACAATTTAAAACAGGTCATTAAAACATAAAAACAAACACAATGGCATTCCTTAAATCCTTAATGGTTGTTAGCTTGATTGTCCAATAACCATGTGTATCCTGTGTGTGTGTTGTGTGCCTGTGTGTCTTCTGTGCGTGTGAGTGTGTATGTGCGTGTGTATTTGTGTATCCTGTGTGTCCTGTCATTGTGAGCGGGGTGTGGCCAGGACGACCTGGGAAGACGAGTTGTCAGAGACCTGTTTTTGGCACTGATCTGAACCGTGACCTCATTAGGAAGGGAGTCATTATGAAGTGAGTTAAAAAAAAGTTTTTTGCTGTTGTTGCAGTTTTACATATCATAGCAAACAAAGCACAGGTCCTCTAATATTGTGAGTTTGTAGTCTCACCACTGCTATAGAGATTTCCCAAGTTGCATCAACCAAAAATTAAGCAGAAGCAGTTCAGCATTCTTAAGATGTGCCTCTGACCTGAGTTCAGATCCGTGGTGTAGGGGTTATTGAAGTCGATATCACACATAACCTAAGTTATGTATTTGATATCGGGGAGTTGGATCAAAACAATCATGTAGTAAATACAATAATTGATAATAGCTATATTTAGGAGCACCGGTGAATAAATCACAACTGATGACTTCACGTTATCTATTAATTGGCTCATTTATTGATTCAGTAATCTCATGAGTCCTTTCATTATTTAATGAGCTAATTAGTCCAATTCTCTTCTATAGAATCTGAAGGTATGAATTCTTTTACAAATCAGTGACCCAATTTCTGGAGTTAAATCAGTACATATATCACTTTCAGACTAAGATGTTTTTGTAGATTTAATGCAGGTATTAGTATTAGATAGCAATATGGCCTACGTGCAGGACTCTACAAGGACTCTACAAGGACTCCATGTTATGACTATGATGTGACTGTCTCTTTGTGACACGTATGTCTTTCGATGTGTGACGTGACAATGACTATATAAACTGTGTACTGAGTAAAACCAGTGGAACTTGAGAGAAACTTAAATAAACTTCCAGAGTTTGGCACACCACGATCCGTCTCTCTCTGCTAAATCCTAACAGATTTGGTGGAGAATGCGCGGCTCGGTTTGTGCCATTCTCTGGATTGTTTTGAGGGAGTTTGCTCTGTTTCTTTTCCTCTGCGTGAGAGATCGGCATGCTGTGTCTGGGAGCGGGGATTCCAGCAGGCTGGAAGAGCTGTTCCTGGATGCTTCTTGTCGCTTCTGTCACTTTTGTTTTTTAAATTGAAGATTCCGACGCGGAAAAGAGTTGGCAGACCTCTCGGACAGTCCTTGGATCCTGTTTGACAAGAATAAGGTAAGCAGACACCTTTTTTAATATGTAAAGTCTGCATAATTGGATATTAGCTAAATTTTGGTCTGTTTTTGGGGTCTGTCAAACTCTCTAAATTGTATTTGAGAAGAAGTCTCGGGGTTAAAGTCCCTTTGAGCCTCGGGGTTAAAGTCCCTTTGAGAAAGTCTCGGGGTTAAAGTCCCTTTGCTACTAGCAAAAAGTATCCGCGGCGGACCCGCGGCGGAGGTATCCTGAGATTCGCCGCGGATGCGCGCAGTCCGGGTCCGCATTGGAGTTCACTTGCACACCGCGGCGCGGTCTTGCCGCGGATAACAGTCTTTTCACTGAGGATCTGCCGCGGTGGCGCTGCTGGTCCGCTGCGGACTTGGCGGATCCGCTCAGGACCCGCTGCATATCCGCTTACCTGTTCTGTCCCGCGGATCTAATAATGTATATATTGAATTCTGCTGCATGTCATGTGAATATATACTCACTGCATGTAAACATGCCTATTGGTATTGCAATTTTTAATTAGAAAGCATTGGATGAAATAAGATTTTGTACATATTGTAACTACACAAAAACCATAATGGACACAATACATTACTCCTGTTATATAAAGTCAAATATTATTTATTATTTAATGGCAATTACAATACTTACTATATATTGCATAGTTCCTTTCATATATTCTAAACCATATGTAAGTACACAAATAAAGTATTTTTTAATAATCTATGATGCAAACTAGACATTTTAATCTTTTTAAAATCAAATATGCAGTACAAAAATTGTGGACGCAATTTTATAAAAATATAATCCAATAGATTCTGTCAGATCCAAAAGCAGCTGCAGCTCTAACAACATGGCCCTCCCTTCACACATGCTACACAATGCAAATTAGTTCACTATAGCACAGGTTATGTATCATGTATTCACTTTATCAAAAAAGACTGGGCTACATAATGGGACTGAAATGGCCACAACATTTTGTCAACAGTTTGTAGTTTCAAAGAATTGTGTGTCCGTAAAAGTCTGTCAGGTCATTGGGTTTGGGACCAATGCTTTAGTCATTAACAATTCAAAACAAATACATATCTTGAATACATTTTTTGGGGAATAGCCTCTAGTCCTCAAGTCCAAAAGGCAGCAGTAGGTGTAGATTATGGCTCTCCTTCTGCAGCTGTAGATGGTTCCACGTGGCGCCTGCTCAGATAAATCTTGAAGATTTGTCTAGTTTGGTCTGTCATGTTCCAGTAAGGTTTTCCCCTTTTCACAGCATCAGAGTCTGACATGAGCACACACAGATTAGATCAGTGGACATTTCACTTTAGTATTTTCTTCTTTTTAGACTTACCAAAAGTTGTACAGCACAGCCATTCCAAATGTCCTTGGCTCAGCGTCCCCGTCCTATTTATATCAAAAGATTCATAAAAAACAGGGTAATATTTATGTAGTAATTGTAAACACTAAACCCCAATATACTGCTGTCCTGATGCCCTCATCCTGAGGTCGCAGCCTGGACCTGACTGACCAGACCCAGATACTCAGCGAGGACACTGCAGTAAAATGAGAGTATTGAAAACAAACAAGTCTCATAATCATAGGATCAGAGTTATCTAATATACACATTAACACTGAATACTCACCAAGAAGATGAATCATGTTCCATCTTCATTATGTGCAATACTGCCAACGAGAAGAAAATCTAAAATACATAAAAGAAACATCAGATTTGTTGTTTTCTTTCAGACTCATGTTGTACAGTAATTACTTACCAATGAACTATGATCTACTTTAACCTTAAAATGAGTTGCTAAGAACCATTAAATAATCATGATCATAAAATGATCTTCTGTATTAAATATAACATATTTCCAGATTTCTCATGACCTTAGCCATTAGGATTTAGTTGAATGTAATCCACCTGAACAGCAGTCTATTTGTTTTACTTAACAAAGTTATTACAAAACATATTTATGTAAATTTACAATATTATGTACATGTGTATTTTGTAGAGGCTATCTGTGGAGCTCTACACGGCGACCAAAATGACCAGCCCAATCACACACTGAATCTCACTCAATATGGTATAAATAATTGTAATATTCAATTTGTAATTTTTTTGCAATATATAGACTTACAGAAACATGTCTCTTTACAATAAAAATAAATAATAAAGATGCAAACACAATAAACAATACCCAAAACCATAAACTTATGGAGACGGTGGTATGGGTCGGGTCCTTGCCAGACCTCTGTCTGCTGCCAAATTAAACCACCTAATGCAGTGCTTAAAAACCTCCACGTCCGTGATTGTGCGGCAGAGATTATTCCTTTTTACAGCTTCTGGAAGAATAATAACAATACAAAGAGATTATTGAGTATAATACTTTCATACAATAGGCACATTTTACATGTGCACATGTAACATTTTGATGATAAGGATTACTTCCAATTAATACTGTGTCTTTAAACTGAATTAAATTATAGATCACAAGCCATGAAATCATGGCTTATTGACACAATTTTGCTCCATTGAGGTTTGTATTTAAAAAGCAATGAACTCAAACGTAGCGAGGACCCCCAGGCACACAGTATGTCAGTATTTGACAGTATTTGAACTCACCCAAAATGAGAGTCTTCAAGGCCATACTTTTGAATGGTATTTTGCCATGAACCCCTTTCCAGCTGATTTTCTGGGCACAGCTGTCGTTGAAAATGCAGGCCAGGATATTCCACGTGACTTTTTTGTGGTCTTGCCCACCGATTGCTGAAAGCTTTTTGATCTGCAACATAAACAATCCGTTTTTTTCTCTTAGGACAGCGATTTCTTGGGGTCATACAAGTTCCCCAGGCTCCTCGAGTTTGTTAAAACCGGTACAAGCCAGGCTTTGATAACCACTACTACCTTAATACTTTCTTCCATTTGTTTTTGGATGAATGATGTTTAAATGATTTCTTATTTTCATGACTGATTTACTCATTTTCAAACTTGACAATATTAAGACAATGTGAATTATTCAAACTAATTTTAATGGCTGCTACTACCTGTTTTTGTTTTATATTGATGCACTTTAACCAAGCACTTGAACTGACTGCTGTAAAGCATTGTATTGTTTGAATCAAATGTGTAACCAACCACTTGCTGCTTCAGTTCCATGTTGGTGCCTCTAATCCATGCCTCCATCCTTTCCACATCCTCCAATGTGTTTAGTGGAAATGTTACTGCCTCTGGGAAGTTCACTTCGGATTGTGATGGAGTTGCACACACTTTGCTTTGCAAATAATTGACTTTCAGCATTAATTGCTCTTGCTGGAGCTTTATCGCTTCAAGAAGGCCCAGTATTTGGATCTGTGTAGCTGAAAAACGAGGCAAAATGTGCTTTTAAATAATGAATCAATTACCAGATTAATAAAAACCAAGCCACAAATATTACAATTTAATTGCAACTATTATTCTGTTTAATATTTATACCACCTTTTAAAAAGGTCAAATTCAAAGGTGAAGTAGGAGTGTGTTCTTTGGCCATTGCTTGTGTTGTTGGTGGTGGTGGTGGTGGAATAAATGGAGCTTTTCTTTTCTCTTTTCTTGGCTCTGGCTCAGAGCTCTCTGAGCCACTGTCTCCATAAAAGTGACTGAGGATACATTTAACAGCATTAGTGTTTTACCAGTTACCAGTAAAACAATCAAGATGAAGAGATTCTTTATTTGTGCCACAGTGGGAACATTTTCGATTAATTCACAGATTAATTGCCATTGCTAGAAATTATTGTATAAAAATCACAGTTTACTTACTTTGTTTTACGCTTCCTCTTTCTTGGTCCAGCATGCTCCTCGTCTGACTGAAGGTCAGATGTGGAGCAGGTCAGTGCCCTCTGCAAAGTTTGCCTGACTTCAAGGTACTGGTCTGCAAAACAATATTTTTTTTCTGATCTCATCACATAAACATAGTAACAAAAACACCAAAAGCTGAAGAAAACATAAAATTGGCCATATCAGATCACTCCAATATTTTGTCCAAAACCGCTGTTGATCGTAATATCTTCTTGTAGGTCAGAAGTGTCTTTATGAAGCTTACCACATGTTTTCAGGATGCGTATATCAAATTTAAGCCAGTCGTCTCCGGGAAGCTCCTTTTTCCTGCATGCCCTATCGATGCGAGCATCATTTTGAAAAGGTGGCCAAAAGCACATGCCATCTTCAACCCACACCGATGGGGCAATAGAGAGAAGCTTGTTCTCAACAAATTCAATTAAATGATACATCACAAGACTGAAACAGAAAACATAACAATTACACGTCTATCTATATGCAAAATCATAAAGCATTTATTTACTCACACTATTTACAACTTTGGATTTTTTTGACTAAGTAGTGAGGTAGTTTCCCCAGTCCCCCAAATCACACACAAACATTTAAAGCCGCTCACAACAGGTTCCATAATCTTGAATCTAGCAACTATCAACCAAGGAGTCAATCTCTGTTTTCACTTTCCGATTTCGAGGATAAAAAGCATCTGATTTGAAGTTATTAGGGACAAAGACAATATCAACATAAAAACATCTCGCCCCATGCACCCACCCCCCTCATACGCTATGTTTATAAGGTATGGCACAAGGGGAAAGCCACAAAATGATCCTTGTGGGGCAAAAGAACTACCTTATGGGTGAGCTCTTCTACTCGTGCGCACTTTACCAATTGCGATAGGTTAGATACTTTAAATATCTGCAAGAAGTCTGATTCAAAGGGATATGTAAAAAATGATGATTTTTGGGAATATTCTCTGTACATTACAAACAAACCCTCATCACACTTTACAATGTTACAGATTTCACAAACATTTTCTCCAATTGCAAACACATTATCACCCAAAGAAATTTTCAACGTCCACTCCTCAGAAACCATTTCTCTGTACTGTTTATGCACATTAGAAATGTTTACCACAGGTCCAGCAAGATGTTCCTTTTTCAAAGTTATTTTTTCTTTTTTTTCCTCAGTAACATCCATCTCTGATAAACGCCGAATGATTTGAGCAACTGGACAGTGGGGCTTTCGCAGCATTTTTTTCAATTTGTAAAGGTAGCTCTCGTAAGGAAATGAAGAAAATGAATCAAGAGCGCCATGTTTTTGAACATCATTAGGAAGATGTACTAACGAATGAATATTGTACACAAGTAGATCATTCCCATAAATGCGACCAAAGTACTGAACGAAAGATTTCAACAGAGTTTGGGCATAAATGGCATGACAAGAAAATTTTGGATTCACCAAAATAGCTATGCCACAAAAAAAAAGCAAAAAATTATCATACATTGCTCTGTCCAAAAATGAGGAAAGCATGACAGGACCTGTGTAAAGAAGAAATAATCTGAATTCAGTAGCTTTCCATCTGTCTACGTCCCGAAGAGAACGCGGTTTTCTTGAGAATTCCACTGGAATGTAGGGCCGCATATCAATTAATTTTTGGGACATTATCTCAACAATATTGGCAGGGATTCGAAAGTTCAATGAACCTCGTAACCAAATGCTTAATAATCTCCTCATCACTCCCAAACACACCAGATGCATATAATCAAGAGGGAATCCAGTAACCATACCAATTTGGCAGCCTAGAAATGGGTTTGGCCCTTGACGGTGATGTATATCATCAACCATATCTTCAAATGAAGCATCCGTTCTTAATGGAGAGTCAGTGTTTTCAAATGTCATCCGATTATTTACATATTTTCCAGGTTCAACACATTTGTCACAGCCATGATAGGCATTATGACCTTTAGTATTCTTTACAAATGATCGTGCAGGGGTGTCGCAAATCACTGCATCCAGCTTTAGTTTTAATGTCTTGTCTCCAAACTCAAAGCCATTCTCCAGGTATTTTAATTCTGTGACAAAATCCAAGAGATATTCATGAGGGGAGTTTGGTTTCTTGGGACCAGAAAACAGGGCCACAACTGCTGGTTCTTTCATAGGCACAGAAACAAGAAGAGCCAGAATAGGCCACATTTGTATGCTAGAGCTTTTAAAAAGGGGAAGGCCGTCAATGTTAATGTGGAATTTTAGAGTAGTGTTGTTTGCCAAAGAGTTTATGCATTTGGAAAGAGTGTTTGTAAGAGAGTTTAATATACCAAAATAGTGATATTGTCCACCAGCCTTGTCTACAACAACATAGTCTGTTCTTGTTTTCAAAAGGGTCCGGGCATCTTTAGGTAGGCCAGAATGATACACTCTGAGAATGGCCAATAGTGCTGTCAAAGCAACCAGGGAAATTTTGAAATGTATTGCCCAGTTTGTAACCCTATCCAGAAGGGAATCTTGGATATTTTCATTCTCTGATTCTGACTCAAAACTATAATTTGCTTCAACATAAAAATCATCACTATCATAAACAACATCATCCATCTCTCCTGGGGCCAAGTCCCGCACCTCTCCAGGGGCCAAGTCCCGCACCTCTCCAGGGGCCAAGTCCCGCACCTCTCCAGGGGCCAAGTCCCCCATGTCTCCCGAGGCCAAATCCCTTTTTTGTCCTCTGTCCATGTCTCTGATCTGTCCTGAAGCCATTTCTCCAACTCCAGAGTAAAGGCCTGCCTGTTCCCTTTCCTGGTTTTGATCAGCAATATCCTGAAGTCTCCTTGCTACATTTATCAGGGCCCTCCGTCTTAACGCCGACTTGGAAACTGGCATTGTCTTTCTATTCATCTTCTGAAAATGATTAGAGCATAAGTTAGGGCATTGGTTACTCAATAAACTATAAAGAGGATATCTTCCCAGGGATTTTCAAAATATAGTGTCACAATATTATTTTATTGTTTTCAATATGACACCATAGTTGCAATACTGTAACTTTATAGCACTTTAATAAAACCAAAGAGTATTATTTTCTAAACTGACATTGAATATATTAATTAAAATATATATTAGACATTTAATATATCTAATTTAATATATATTGATTTTAGTGAAAGGTTAGCTTCCTTTGCTCAGTTTTCATTTCTCAGCTCTAACCAGCATTCAGGATTTTCTTGCTGAGAATTTTTGAACTGTTGTCAGTCTTAGAATTTGACCTATAAATGTACATGAGATCTGGAGGATTCTACATGTCAATGCGCGATCTTGAAATACATTAGTATGGTTAATGGTTGATAAGGGAAAAAGGAATTGCATTTTAGTCTCACAGGTGCCACTAATATTGTCCCTTCCATCGTGCCCTGTCAAGTTTGAAAAAGGGATCATTGGGGACCAGTTATAAAAGAACTTCCCGAACAAGAATATTTTAGAAAAAGAATTGTCCAAATATGTAGAAACCTGCATCATAACAACAAGACAGAGTATAGAGGTGACTCCTCTTTTCTCACACTGTAATGGAGCTAACAGCACACAATGCTGGCCAGTTAATGCTCTTAATGATATTCCCACCTGATAAATCACTGGCACACAAATACACTGCACTAGTAAACATTCACAATGGCATAGCAATCACAGAACCCAGTTTTCAAGTTAGTCAGTTAATGAGCACACCTCTTAGATGATATGAACACCTAGTGACATGACTGACCCCTGCTGGACAAAGCTAATACAAACAACATTGAAGTTACTTACAGTTTATGGATAGGGTCTCACAAGTTCTCTAGTTTACTGTACGGACGTCCTGTCACCTCTGCTAATACAAAAGAACAGCAAATTGTACATTTTGTGTAACCCTGGTCAGTGAAAAGTGCCAAATATATTTGTTACATGTAGTATCTGCTGTGATCGGACAAACATGCGGACATACACACTTAAAAGTAGCTTACAGTATCCAGGTGGTAAATTATGGAATACTAATACTAATCATCTCTTTCACGTAAAAGAAAGTACAACAACTAAAAACATTCGGATAAATACTAGAAACTAACTACAAAGGTATTCCTCATAGACTGTATTACTCCAGCATCTGTCAAAATATCTTAACGGTTATACACATATGTGAATCTCTAATTTAACGCAAACTTACTGGTAAACTTTACTGCGCTCTAAAAGCAGGCACAAAACATTCACACAGACACACTATAACCCCAGTTAACTTTATAACACAACTGGGGATAATATAAATGATCTTTGACGATGTACTCACAGCGGACTTTCGGAGAATGCAGTTAGCCCCGAGTGTCAGTTTGTGCGCGTGCGAGATGCAGTTGATGCGCGGCGCGTCCGCAGCGCGGATCACACGCGTATCTCTGCGGAGGTTAGAGAGCGTCCGCTCTGTGGATCTGGTTTGAATCCGCCGCGGGTCCGCTCTGCGGATTTGATTCTGGGGCGGATGTGGCGGACCGAATGCGGATCCGCCCCGGAGTCTGTTGCTATCTGGGTAATTTTCATCATAGGTACACTTCAACTGTGAGAGACAGAATGTGAAAGAAAAAAAATCCAGGAATTCACATTGTAGGATTTTTAAAGAATTTATTTGTAAATCATGGTGGAAAATAAGTATTTGGTAACTTCAAACAAGGAAGATCTCTGACACACAGACCTGTAACTTCTTCTTTAAAGAAGCTATACCCGATTTTTTTTCTAAGTAGTTCATAAAAATGCTTTTTACTACATACAAGTTGTATCATAATACATAATTTAATTGAAAACTTGAGGTCACTGATTCAGCTGTGTATGAAATTTATGCAGTGAAAAGTGCTGAGTAGAGTCGTAGCGGGACACTCGTTCGCCTCCACTCACAGAACAAGCAGCGAACAGCCTGCGTCCTCTAGCCCCTACAGCGCTGCTTAACACCAGGGCTTCGGCTTCGAAATTCGAATATAATTCTAAATATATACATATTCAAACAAATATTAGACAGCCCTTATAATTTGAAATGTATTTCATGACTGCAAATAAAATAGTTAGCTTCCAAAGGTTTCACCGGGACGTGCTAGGCAGGTAACAGCTAAGCTAGCTACAGTAGTTGTTTCAAGGTAACTTCCGGGTTTTTCGCGATCGCTTTTTGTCACTTTAAAATAGTATTTTTGTCATGAAAACGTTGACAGCAAATTAGGAAATCGTCCGTGCATGTGTGTTAAGGATGTATATGTATACTGTATTGCCCGATTGACGTTTAATGGTGTTGATTGATTGATATGTATTTGTTTATTGAGCGTGGCTAGCTCCGCTAGCTTCTCTACACAGACAAGTGTGCAGAGAAACTGCACAGTGTAGTAACAGGCGCTGATAGCTTATTGTACTTGCGGAGTAATGGCAGTATTTTACACACCTGAATTACAGACCGAGATTGCATTGCCAAAGGGCTGCGGTCATTATTGGTTTGAGAGTTCTGCTATCAAGAAAAAATGATCGGAAGAATTGGATTCAAGTCAATGGAGTGTTCTACTGCTGCTGTGAGGAGCTGTATAGTGAATTATAATTAAATATTAGAATATCTTCTAATGTTTAAATAATACATTCGGACGCAAAACTAGCTTTATTCTTTTACTTATATATTGTGTTATCAGTGCATTGCTTTTGTACCATTTCATCAGTGATTGTTGTACAGCTTACAAGAAGTTGCGCTAATGCTAATGTTAGCATACATATCAGATCGCAAATAAAACTAGGTGGCTCCGTGGGATGAGAGTGTAGGGGAAATGAGAAGCCATTAAGCGAGCTAGGGGGCGGTGCTAAACATTCAAACATTGCAGAAACGGGTATAACGCCTTTAAGAAGCTCTTCTGTCCTCCACTCGTTACCTGTATTAATGGCACCTGTTTGAACTCCTTATCAGTCAGACTCCAAACTCCACTATGGCCAAGACCAAAGAGCTGTCGAAGGACACCAGGAAAACAATTGTAGACCTGCACCAGACTGGGAAGAGTGAATCTACAATAGGCAAGCAGCTTGGTGTGAACAAATCAACTGTGGGAGCAATTATCAGAAAATGGAAGACATAAAAGACCACTGATAATCTCCCTCGATCTAGTGCTCCACGCAAGATCTCATCCAGTGGGGTCAAAATGATCATTAGAACGGTGATCAAAAATCCCAGAACCACACGGGGGGACCTGGTGAATGACCTGCAGAGAGATGGGACCAAAGTAACAAAGGTCACCATCAGTAACACACTACGACGACAGGGAATCAAATCCTGCAATGCCAGACGTGTCCCCCTGCTGAAGCCAGTGCATGTCCAGGCCCGTCTGAAGTTTGCCAGAGAGCACATGGATGATACAGCAGAGGATTGGGAGAATGTCATGTGGTCAGATGAAACCAAAGTAGAACTGTTTGGTATAAACTCAACTTGGAGGAAGAAGAATACTGAGTTGCATCCCAAGAAAACCATGCCTACTGTTAAGCATGGGGGTGGAAACGTCATGCTTTGGGGCTATTTTTCTGCTAAGGGGACAGGACGACTCATCCGTGTCAAGTGTGGCAGTACGGGGCCACAAGGGGGCGGTAGTGTGCAGGCTTTAAAAGCCATTGGCCTGTCTCTTTCGGTCTTGGCCTGCACACTTCCTGGTCCGGTGTCGTGAACACCGTGTTGCCCCACAGGTACAGTGTTTGTTTGTTACTTTTAGAATCAGGCGTTTAGCTAATCGTTCCTTTTTTATAAATCTTAGCCCTGTAAGATGGGGATGTCTGCCATCCCGCCGCAGCTCCTGTTCAGTGCAGGTGTGGAGGGTGCGTCAGCCTCCTGAACTTCACGTGCCCTGCTGCTTTAATGGTGGTTCGTGCGAAATCAAACTATAAAAATAACAGTTTGTGTAGTAAACTATTGCATCTACCATAGATATCTTCCAAGGAGAGGAGCGGCCGCCTTGCCTTTTTTGTTTTCCTTTTATCCAAGTGGAGATCTGTGATGGCTTTAATTGTGTGCCACTTTGTCAACATGGACTAAATCTTCGCTTCTACTACTAAATCTACTAAACGCTTCTGGGGGATCATGAAGAATCTACTCAAACAGCAGATACACGTAAGCTGTCTTTTGATCTCCAAAAGCTCTCAGAAAAAGAACTGAAGCTACAGTTACATGTTGTCACTCTGTCGGATTACTGGAGAAAGAACATGATTCCTAGAGGACTCCGGTTAAATAAGTTTCCAACATTTGGCCATGACAATGAGGAATTTAAAAACAAATGGGAAGCAATTCTCAATAAATGCTCCCTGGACTTGATTCTTTTACTAATTGAAGAAGCAAGGAAACAGAAGACTATTATACAGTCACAGATTGGTGAATTGAAGGCAGTCTTGACGCAAGCTGAAACAGAAGAAACCAGATCTACAATTGAGAAGAAAGTACAAGATGATGTGGACAAATTGTCCATTAAATTAAAACAAACAAAGATTGCTAAATTCAAACGTGATCTGGAGGACTATAGGAACGGCACCACATACACCTGGGGCAAGAAATTACAAAGGAGAAGAACAGTATCTTTCAACATCCCAAGCACAGATGAAGAGGAGAATGATGAACACTTTCACAAAGAAAGTGTCTTATGAGATAGATCAAATATTTAAGGGTCCTAAAAAGACAAGAAAATATAATCTGACTAAAAAAGAACACAATGCACTTGAATGGTTATCTGAGAGAAATGATATAA